GCCGAATCTCTATTCGGCGGAATATTTTTATGAACATGATAGCCTGAGGTCCCCAGGTAAGGTCATATCACGTGATCGAGACAGTTTTTCGCCATTATCTCGTCGCGTCAGGGGAGCATTTTAACCCTATTATTTTACGATGTTCTTGTATAAAGGAAACACGATATAACTAAGAGGTATTATTCTTGAAAGTAGAATGAAGATTTATATAAGTAACATAGGCATTAGAATATAACAGAACTGCTCGAACCTGACCTCTCAAATAATTATAAAACGGCACTTATATATAGCATGACACGTGACGAATGATTCGTGACCATGGGACATGAAGATACTATTTGAATGGTTGTGAAGTCGTGGTGAAGTGAACACGTGACAATGACGAGTGATTAGTGTTATGAATCTCCAAGGTGAAATGAACTGTGCTGACTTTGTGCATATGAAGTGAATTGGTGCTGAATTCTGAAAGTGGATTGTGCTAGTGCTTGTTATTTGATGTGAAAATAATGTGTAGTGGAGCATGATGTGAGGTGATTTGTGACTATGAATGCCTATAAAACATCTAAAACAAATAACACTAATTAACAATAAAAATATATATACTCTTTAAAACTAAAAGTAAACACAACACCTATGTCATGGGGGCCGGGGTGATTCGGATTCAGCGTCCGAAAATACATCGATTGAAGTTGGTTTTAACTGTCGAGGTCCCTTTTAGAACAATCTCGAAGATCGACTGTAAACTTAAAGTGATTTAGCGCACGCTCGCGCACGGTTAGTTTAATTTGATGAAGGAGCAATCATGGTAAACTTTTGTAATTCATATTTCATTATATTGTTCATGCTTGGTTACGTTTGTAAATTTTTTTAACCGATCCCTTTAGCTCTACCGTTTGTTTTTTTTTAAAATTTGTAATTGTCCCCAAAAATACAGGGTGGGCCAAAAGTCAGTGTGCAAACGTTGGCCTGAATAGCTCAGTCACTGAGTGCCCAATTGAAATAATTTGTTCTGGTATGACTTACTACCACCACTGGTTCGAGAAATTTGTCAAATCGAAACATATTTGTGTTCATTTTTTTCAAAAGAAGGTTCATTTTCGCATTTAATTGATAGTTTGGATAGTCAGATCGAGCCAAATTTTATTGAATTGTGTTTGGCCATTTAAATTACGTTTGCCCTGGAAAAATGAGAGTTCTAGCTTCTCAGATGACCGAGATATGAACCTTAACGAGGTTATTCATTACGTGTGATCAGGTGATTGGCTTACCTGATCACGTGATTAGGTGACCCGGCCGTTAACCGTTGAGAACTGCTTCTGAGTTCTGTGCTTGCGAACATGCTGAGGAGAGGCCGGTTAATTGAGTGATGCGGCCTTACCCACATCTTCCCATCGCCTGGAGGATCCAACACTCACAACACGCAAAATGGTGCTCGTCCTCATCTTCCTGCCAGACAGTGGATATCTTCTAAATTTGATAACAGAACCATCGGCGAAGGACTAGCTGAACCCTGGCCGCCTCGAAGTCCTGACATGAAACCTCCAGACTTCTTCTTCTGGGGATGGCTTAAGGATCAGATATACAAGGAGGGTCCTGCTCACGACATCCCTGAATTAAAGAGACGTATTAAAGACTGCTGCAGGGATGTTCCGGCGGAGTTCCTCACTAGGGCTTGTCGATCAGTGAAACGGCGCTGCAATTTAGTTGTAGAGAAGAATGGTGGTCATATTGAGAATTATCTGTAGATTTATTATTGTTTCAATTATTGTGTGCATATCTTAAATAAAGTTATCCTTTTGCAACAGTTTTGTTTCACTATTCATTTGCCGCCAAAATTCTCTGATCATTGCTAAGGCTCAAGTAGCACGCTAGAAACATAGTACGGGGTACGTGATATCAGATATCCCCCCTGGGAATTTTGAAGGTAGTCCAATTAAGGTATCGTGTCACATAATCACCCAATCAATCAAGCTGACAAGCTTGAAGCTAGAATAAATTCTTGATAACTCATTTTTTCATTTTTTCAGATCAGATGCAACATTTAATAATCTACCCTCTCTGAAAAAATTAGACATCTAGCATGTTCGGGGAGAACAATATAAGTGTTTTAATATTGAATGGGCGTGGTCTAAAATATTCGAATTTTCAAATTTTGGTGACGGAATCCTCGAACCAGTAGGTACAGTAAACCATTTGCAAAGCAACAACCCTCAAATATAAAACACGGCGGAGGTATAAGACCCAACGTTTGCACACTGACTTTTGGTCCACCCTGTATCAATTACTAATTACATGATCGAGAGTAAAAACAAATTATCATAATGACAGCAATGTACAAATATTCATTATTCACATTTTCTTTGTAGGTTTACAACCTACCAGGACGCGCGCCGACTTGGACTCGTCGACGGTCCTGATATGGAACAGATATTTTACGAGTATCACCCGTTAACATTTTCTTCAACATGATTTAAGATTTTATAGGTGCTCTTAAATATGGCTGCGATTAAAACTCACCAATCATTGAGGCAAGCGGATCCAAATCACAAAATATGTATCTTCGGGCCCCAATATTGCATGACAGGACCATTTCAGATCAATATTGGATCTGACCGTTACAATATCACTGATGGTAATGGAAATACGTTTTTTCTTCAAGTGAGTATGAGTTTCAAAATGCTTTATCAAAATCATATCTGAGTAATCGGGCTTTTACTAATTCGCTCGCCCAAAAATTTCACGTGACTTTGGTTTTTATGGTTTTGCAGCTGTACAAAACGGTTTTACATAAACCCTAATCCCAACCCTAATCCCAAGGCCTAACCATAACCCCGAAGCTATCCATAACCCTTACCACAACCCTAACCCTAACCCGAGCCCTTAACAATCGAATTCATGTTTTACTAGCCTGTCACGTGACTAAAACGGTTTTTTGCCCATAACTCTCCAGGGAAGCATTTTCACCCCATTTTCACCCCCAAAGGACTTTTTCACAAGAATTTTCTTAAAATTTGGGCGAGCGATTTAGTAGGAGCGGAGTAACTGTGAATAATGGTTTTGGTGTTTAATTGTTAATGTGCATTTAAGTTCTTCATTAGTCAAATTTCCACAAGGAACTTTCATCGGATACAGAGAAATCATGGAGAGCCACCTTCGAGCGGGAAAAATCTGCAATGCTTGATGAATATGGGAACGAGCTTTGCAAAATAAAGAGATACTTGACGGGCTGGCGATACATATGGCACATGAATTGTACTGCCACTGGTGAGGGTATGAATCAACGGAGGATTACAATGGCCTTCAGACATTTTACCAGGAACATGAAATGCTACGTTCATGTCACTGATGATTATAACAGGTACCGAGAGATAAATTAAATCTATACAGTGTTCTGTAGTAATTGGATGATTTTAGCTTATAATTAATTACGGTCAAATTAATTAGAGAGTTTGTTGATTTCGGGTAGGTTAACTAGTTAAACACTTACAAGCTTAGGTAATATCTTTCATTAAAACTATTTTAAACAAATGATAATTCTTCAGCAATTCTAAGCCGGAAATAATGATGAAATGCTCTGTGACATGTACACGAGAACGAACAAACAACGTAAATATATACGATGGCGAAACTAATCAGCTGTTTGCTCGTATGAGCGGTAATAAGCACGGCTTGATCCGCCTCTCAATTGAGCCTGACATTGACGTGGCCTTCATGACAGCACTTGCTTTGATGTGGGATGTTGCCCTTAGGAATTGGGGTTAAACGGACCCTGATCTTCGTCATTAAATAATGGTGATGACTAAAAATACCTCAATGATGTGGAATCGGGGGACTATAAATAATTAGTACAAAATGGACTTGATCTGATAATGTGATATCTTTACCAAAAAATATTGTACTGTACTATGTATTTTGGTAAAAATATCAGTATTAAAATATTAAGTTTATTTGAGCTTTAATTGTAAGTCGACTTCGCTTGTCGACTTCCCTAGTGCTTACACCATTGCACTTGAAGTTGAACGATAAACAGTTTTTTTCCAGGTCTGTTCATATATATTATATATCCTGTTACAATTATTTGAATTTAATACTAATAGTCATCTGTGAGTAAAACTAAAAGAATTTTGTTGGATTCAGAGTCACAATTTAAGCTTTTCAATGACAAATTAGCTAACACTAGCAGCGTACCCGTCCTCCGGACGACAATAATTCTTTACTTTCACTGACACCACGTTTTCGCTTTCTAAATTTATTGGGTGACCCAAATGGGTCAAATTTAAAGACAGGATTTCCAAATATTAGAATTAGCATTAGAATCAAATTTACACGGCAATACGATAATAATAGTAAATAATTTAAAGATTCTTCGATCTGCTGATTCAGCATCTGCCAGTTCTAAATCGTATTTTTGTTTCGATTGGCCCCCATGTGCAAAAAACAGCACACTACTTTGGAGTCGAAACAATATTGTACTGCAGTAAGTGCATAGTTTTACATGCATTGAAAATCTTATCAGCTATGTATAAAAAGATAAGATTCAATAATTAGCGACGGCACATTTCCAAGTATAGTAGTAGCTGTAGTAGATCTGTAAATAGATATTGGTATTTATATGTTATACTCATTTGTATCTGCTAATTTGTGCAGATAATATTGTCTTGATAACGAATGTGTCAAGAGTTAGAGACTGAAATCATTATTTGACACCACTTGGGGATCCAAATTTTGGGCACTAAAATTATTGTTCCGTGGCCAATTTTTTATTTTTTCATGCTGATTTGAAAAGCATAAAAGCATTTGACCCAGTCAAAAAAGTTTCAGTTGTATATCTTTTACGGTTTTTGCGGAAAGTCGCGTTAAAGTTGATGCCGTGGTATCGTCTCGCTTTATTTATAGTAAGATGAACAAATTAATGAAGAAAATCTAAAAACTACGCTACTGATACATTATTGGCAAACAATTTTATCGAATGAACGAGAGGTCTCAAAATTTGTTCATGATCAATAATCTCCGGAGACCATACCCTACAGCAATTATAAATGATTAATAACGTTCTCAAACCGTTCTTATGTTATCAACAGTGATCACTTGTTCGCCATTTTTGGGACACCCAGTATCAAATAAAACCAGTCTTTCGTTACACTTACAAAATTCATTCACACAGTCAAATTTCTGCATTATCGTCTGAATTAGCTGGAAACTCATTTTTGCTTACACTTTCAGACGTTCGATCATCGTTGGAGGCGGCGGCGTTTTCATAAATGTTGTCAGCTTGGTTTGGGACGGCACTGGCGCTGATCGTCATTGCCTGAGTTAACGGGGCTACTGATCTACCGGCGGCAGCGGCGGCGAAAGATATTGTAGAGGTCCTCCTCTCCTCTTGAAGCCCAACCTTAACCAGCCAGTGAGACGTGACCTGGTCGTTGAGCACAATGTAGAACAGGAATACAAATATGCCCTGAAAGTTTACATGGATAATTATCTCCGTTTGTAGTGCAATTAACCATTTTTCGTCTTTAATTTTCATAATGATGATATACTTGTGTAGTGGGTATCGATATTATGATACTTTAAAGATAACATCTAATTCGGAAGAAGGATAAAGAAGGCTGTAGAAAACACGCGCATACCTGAGAACTATTAAAAAGAATGAACAGATACTGCATCCCCACTTGGAAGTGAGGGGCTGGGAGGGACATGAATATTCCAAAGAACCAGCCTGTTCCAAGCAAGACCATCACACCGACTGCTGATTTAAGCTGCCGCTGAAGTTAGTTTAAGAATTTTTGCGATATTAAAATGAAGCATATGAAAAGTAAAACAAACCAGACAACAGGCCAGATGATAAACAATTCTTCGATCATATTCAAAGACGCTAAATATTAACAACCTTAGAACTCACTAAAATTTGTCCCCGATCAGAGATGTTGCCGGATGAGTTTGAGTTCTTGATCACTTTGGCAACCAGTGCGAAGAATACAAGGTTCACCAAGATAACCAAGACAATGGGGGCTAAGAAGAGAGTGTAGAAGGATGTACTTTCAGGGCGGATAAAGCACATAGTGTCCGCTAGGTACCCGTGTTCTGTGAAAGTGAAGCTACCTACGGTGTGCCGCTTCGTGAAGACGAAATATCCGATGAATGGTATCGGTAGAGGGATACCTAGAATATGGTCAGGTAATTTGTATGATAAGAGTATATAATTATACTCTTCTTATTTAAAAACAATCGAATAACCAAGATTATGCAAGTGTTCAGATAGAGAAAATATAAGATTGAATAATAATATTAATAACATACCCCATGCCGCGAGGTTAAACTTCAGCATACACTTTGAGATATGAGATCCGAACACTTGTACGAGAGAAAGGTACATAAGGAACCCTTCGACGACCATCCAGGCGAAGACCACAAGCCATAAGTAATGCTGGATCATCGCGTACACGGCACATCTCGTCGACTTCTGAAACGGGTGGTGGTTGATGAGTCGGGCAGTATTCGAAAAGGTCTGACAACTGGATTAAAAAGGATATCTTATTGAGTTATGGTAAGCAGCTGGACTCCTATAATATTATATTCTGTCAGCACAACTTATAGTTATCATCTAACCTCTAAATATAACTCAAGCTTACCAGTTTTATAACTCCGGTATCATCAGCAGAAATGAAAGCGTCTTGGATGAGGAACATCAATGACGCCAACAAAAGCGCAGTGGTGAAACAGATGTTGATCTTAGCGGATCGAGTTGATCGAAGAGCTTTAGCAGGAAGTAGGAACACCAGAGTTAAGATGAGACTGACGATTGAAATTCCGAGTAGTACATACGTTAAGTAGCTCTGTACTTCGGCAAACCCACGGTCAATCTCGTAAGCTGACTGAAAACATTTGGTGAAGGAGTGTTTCAAGCTGGGAGATATTACTATAAGTAAGACGAGTTTGAGGCCAGTATTACATAAAATAAAACGAGTTATGTATCATGATGGTTATCAATTTCCTTCCACAGAATCTCACCATGAGGACAGCAAAGCTGGTGTTGTGAGAGCACAAACAGAGCACCCCGTCTGATGGCTTGGCAGAGTTGTAGATGGTCTCGCAACCCTCCTTCCACTTTGCTTTAACAGGGTCGTATTTTGCGCAGATGTACGAAACTTGCATTCTTTTACCGTTAGGTTCCATGGTGAGGCTTGAGCTGGTGTTGCCCTGAAGGTTGTAGAGGATTAGAAAATATACATACAAAGGAATTATTTGCGTTAATGCTGATAGGATGTATACTTGGGGGGGGGGGGGGGGGGGGGGGGCAACCATATTAAAGTATATTAAAATGTAGGATTTTTTCCAATTTTGACCCGGGGATATACTTTAATATACTTTAATATACTTTAATATACTTTAATATACTTTAATATACAGGGTGGGCCAAAAGTCAGTGTGCAAACGTTGGGTCTTATACCTCCGCCGTGTTTTATATTTGAGGGTTGTTGCTTTGCAGATGGTTTACTGTACCTACTGGTTCGAAGATTCCGTCACCAAAATTTGAAAATTCGAATATTTTAGACCACGCCCATTCAATATTAAAACACTTATATTGTTCTCCCCGAACATGCTAGATGTCTAATTTTTTTCAGAGACGGTAGATTTTTAAATGTTGCATATGATCTGAAAATATGAGGCAAAACGGATTAGAAATGACGAAGTTATCAAGCATTTTCTGTATCTCGTTAACAAAATTGACTGGGTGATTATGTGACACCGCGACACGACACCTTAATTGGGCAGCCTTCACGATTCCCATAATGTTTAACGGGGTGGTTAACGGGGTCACCTAATCACGTGATTAGGTAAACCAATCACCTGATCACACGTAATGAATATCTCGGTCATCTGAGAAGCTAGAACTCTCATTTTTTCAGGGCAAACGTAATTTAAATGGCCAAACACAATTCAATAAAATTTGGCTCGATCCGACTATCCAAACTATCAAATAAATGCGAAAATGAACCTTCTTTTGAAACAAATGAACACAAATATGTTTCGATTTGACAAATTTCTCGAACCAGTGGTGGTAGTAAGTCATACCAGAACAAATTATTTCAATTGGGCACTCAGTGACTGAGCTATTAAGGCCAACGTTTGCACACTGACTTTTGGCCCACCCTGTACTTTAATATACTTTAATATACTTTAATGTACTTTAATGTACTTTAATATACCTACATTTTCTCCATTCAAATTTTGAACCATATTAAAGTATATTAAAATGTAGGTTTTTTTTCCAATTTTGACCCGGGATATACTTTAATATATTTTAATATACTTTAATATACCTACATTATAAAAAATTATGTGAAAAATTTTGTTTTATTCAATGTATGGATTAGATTTACCTTTCATGTAAAGTTAGTCTTGTTCAAAGATATTGATACTTGACCAATTTATGAGCCAAAATATATGAAGTATGAGTTCAGGGGACTAGCAACTGGCTTATCTTCTAATCTACTAATTGTAGGTATATTAAAGTATATTAAAATGTAGGATTTTTTTACTTATATTTTTTGAGTAAAGAGGTGTAAACTGTAAATATCTCTGTTATGCTTGCCAGCACTGTGGTACTAGATGCGCACGCAACATCCGCATAAAGTTTGCACGTGCGAAACGTAAGAAATTGTCTCATTCATGATTTCGATTACTTTTTGCTTTCCGACGAAAATTGTCTGATATCGTCCAGAATCTTATTTGCCACAGTGTAAAATTAAAATTTAAGTATAATTATCGTATTTAAATAACTCACTATATTAATGGTGGGCTTCATGAAGACATTTAGCTTGAAGTCATCAGGTACTGCGTTTTGAACTTTGACCTCAGTGATGAAAGAGTTAACAAAGCTCTTTTTGGTGTCCTCGCCATCTTTCTTGGTTGCGTCCTCCAAATCATTCTTCAGGTCATCCATGATTTTAGTGACGGCTTCCTTGTCGTCTTCGTCTTCCTCTTTTGTCACGATTGAAGTCGTCCTGTCGGGCATAAGTGTCGAGTCTGTGATGAGGACCACGGCCATGTCCACATCTGCGTTCTTTTCTCCCGTCTTTGTCTCGATCTGAATAAATTTCATAGTAACATATTTTAATGATACGATGTTAAATTCATAACATTTACGCATTGCAATACTAATAACTACTGTATGAATTCTAGGTACTGTTAAGCGAGTACTAATAGAATAAATTCTGACCAATAGAATCGTGTTTTCCTCTTCGTCATCGCCGGATCCAGAGCCTACTTCGCAACCTTGAAGGTCCTTGCCACCTCGACTTGCCTTAGAAAGGGTGAGGGCGACAACTCCATTACTGCTGGGTTCACCAGCATCTGCATCTTTCTTAACATCGATCACAGCTATGCGAGGAGACTTGATAATCTTGTTCTTGACAACAGTTTGCTTAACAACGTTAACAGTCTGAGTCACCAAACTGATCGGTTAGATCTATTTATAGGTTATGATTTGTGAGGTGGCTTGTGTCTTTTAATGTACAAATGATGAAATAAATTCCAGAAATGATTAAGTAATGTATGAATGTCGAAAAATTTTGAAGTATGGTACAATTCTCACAAAAAAAAATCAAAACAATGTACCCGTCACAGATCTTGCTGGCGAACTGGGTTTCAGTGTCGTTATCAGCTGTTTTAAAGTCGGACTTCACAAGGTTAGACACGGTGTTTAGGACGCTCTGGGCCACTGCCTCGGAGATTTCCCCGCTTTTGACGATGGATTTTAGAACATTAGACACCGCCTCTACGTCACCGATACCGTTCTTACCCTCATTATTTGTCATCTTCTCCATCTGTGCCGTCTTATCTTCATTCGAGGCAGTCTGAGGAGAATGTAGTTATATGACCGGCCATCAACATAAACAATTGGAAAATTAACTATGGTTTAAGCTAGTTGTATAAGATACCATATTTAACTTTTTGTTAACTTTTTTAACTGATATGAGTCATACTAAACCTTATCGTTGGCTAGTTGTTCTATAGCTATCGTATTTTTAGTGTTCTTGCAATAGTAAGTCCCCTCCACATATAACTCCTTGTTCCTCTTCATCTTGCAAGTGAAAACCGCCGTGAAGTCATCAAACTGACATTTCTTGTACTGTGAGCTTTTACCGAGCCCCAGCCAGCCGTGGCTGAATGTTCCGTACTGCGTTCGATAGGTTTCAGAAACACAGCCTTGTCCCAGACCACCTGAAACTTAGATCATTTTTATTTTTAAAATTAAAAAAAATTCATATTTGCACTCTAAAAGTAGAAGGAGTAAAAAAAGGGGGCATTTGCGATGGTCCCGGGTCCACTCTTGACTCTACCCAATTTTTGGTTTGCTTCAAAATTCAAAATGTAAAATACGAGTTTAAGTTCTTGCATCGTATTAACCTCAAGCATAAGTATCATACTAAAACTTGTAACCTGGTTTTGGGCAACTAACCTGGTTTTGGACAACTAACCTGGTTTTGGACAACTAACCTGGTTTTGGACAACTAGGCTCCGCTAGATAAGTAAAAGCGTCTCCAGACGTGCATGTCACTTCACTGCTCCCTTTGTTGAGAGCTCCAGAGTACGAGCATGTAACTTCCACCACGTGTTGAGCACCTCCACCTCGTTACAGTGTATCACAAGCCTGATATCTGCACTTTTGGTGAGGGTGAAACGCCATATCTTGTCTGCATCACTGGGAGGTGTTATGGAGAAGTTAGACCAGGAAGGCTTGCACCAGTCGAGTTTGTATTTTAGAGTTTCGCCGAAGTTGATCCATACTTTTCCTGCATTGTACTTCCAAGCAGAGTAGAAGGACACTGTCAGGTTATCTAGACTCTGCAACTCGCTGTTGGTTTTAACTTGTAAAGGTACTGAGGCCAGGCCCCATTCTATGTACGCATCGTCATCAGGTTGCACTGGTAACCAACCTGTGTGGTATTAATAAGTGACGTCACGTCTGGTATTAAGTGACGTCACGTCTGGTATTAAGTGACGTCACGTCTGGTATTAAGTGACGTCACGTCTGGTATTAAGTGACGTCACGTCTGGTATTAAGTGACGTCACGTGAACTGAGAGAAATGAATCTCATCAGTGTGAATTTTGTGATAGCACTCCTCCGTCAATCAATGTAATACAAGGTGGTCCTATATTTTGATTTACGGTATAAAAACACGACAGTGAAGCTGAAGACTCCCTTGACAATAATTCAATTATGCCCATTATATTTATACAATCAATTTGTGCTGTTAGAGTCAGTATATAAACTGAGTCTAACAGCATACAAACAGATTAATCAGCTTCAGACTTAAGATTCGTAATATAAAGATGCTAATAACTGGTTGTTACTTTCACCCAGCTCGGGTTCAGTCTAGTGCATTCTGGTGGAGTGTTATAGCTTAATTCAAACAATCTCAATCAGATATCGTTTTATATCAAATTTAACCCAAGCACGTACCAACTCAATAACAGATCAATTTGGGAATCTTACCTTTGGTCCCAAAACATGACTTATAAGCTGTAAACCAGCCCGACCGGGAACCAATGTCCGTGTACTTTAATCTATAACACTGCCTCCTGGTCCAATGAGCTGGGCTTATAAGTACTGCTAGACAAAGTTCCTCTTCATTACACCAACTTATACAATCGTCTTTGTTGATCAGGTTTTTCTGTCCAATTCTGTTAAAGTCTCCTATGTTACCGGTGTTATTATGCCAGCAACCTGACATTACTAAGGTAAGTAACATTTTTCACAACGATAAACCCCCCTTTTGAGTCTTGGTATTTCGTTAAATTTGATAAGCGACCATCATTCATTATGAAAAATTGAAATATGTATTCTTGATTCAAAGTCATTCAAAACTAGAGATTAGGGTTAAAAATGAAATGTAAGATCTTACTAATACCTCGTGTTGCAGAGTGCAGTAAGTACGCTATGAAAACGATAACAAGCTTCATGGTATAACGCTGAACATTTTTACCTGGAAATATGACAAAACTTTTGATTGATGTTTAATGATCTCAGAGGACTTTGAAGACGTTCAACAGAAATTAAGAAATTTCGTATGCAGAGCCCAGACACTAGAAATAGAATAACCTTTTTGATCCTTTTTCTTCGACATCTGTTCACTGTTGAATAAAGTCGTTACTATGTACTAACCATTAACGCTGTTCAAGATATGAGAGCGAGCAAAGGAAACTCCGCTGAATACTGCACTGATATACGATAAAACTAAAAGGACCGATTTGATCTTTGCGTGTCATTAGCGCCCATCACCTTGCTCGATCCTGGTAAAGCAGATCACCAATTTTGAAGCCTGTAGTCTTTTATTCAACCTGAGATGCATAGAAATATCACGGCGCCTTACGAACATTTCATTGTTCTGAGATAACTAATGCACGATTAGGTTCGTGTGTGAGAGAATCAGGTCTCGTCTTCTAGTGCTGCAGATTTGAATATTTATCGAGAGAATCGGGTCTCGTCTTCTAGTGCTGCAGATTTGAATATTTATTGTTACTAGAAAACCGGCCGAGAGCTTTGTAGTACACGGCATGTAATAAAGATGGCAGATCGTGAATGGCAGCTATCTTACTTATAGGCCATTGTATGATATCATGTTATTCATGCTCGCAATAAACTTATAAGCATTGCCCAACATACCTAAGAATCTAAGATAAAGAGCTCTGGAGTTATTTCTTACGATGAGACGAAAAGTTTGGTTTGATTATTACTGATTAAGAAACAATGAAAACTAACTCGTTACTTTATATTTGTGTCCAAAAAAGGTTTATTGACACTCCATAAAGATATAAATAAACGGTAACAACTCATATTCATTATCTATCTGTAGAAAACAACATAAAAACCGTTCTTTACAATAATAGACCGTGATCTAATTTAAACTACAGTTACAGCTCTATCGTAGTATTGTAAAACTTCTATTTTAATTTGGTTCTTTTGGAAAAAATTTGTTTAGTTTTACAACTTACGAATATAATAGACTATAGAAATCTTATCGGTATCAAATAAATAATTAGACAGACTCAATTAATACATTTCCAGAATGAGGGGAAAATTGAACCGATTTTTAGATCAATAACAACACGATTACCAATTAATTACAAAACTACAAATCTATTACATTTATTGAGTATTATCAATTATGTAATGGGAGGGAAGCTTTTTAACCAGGTGTAGCTAGTCCACAGCCCTAGCTCTATAATACGAAGAAATTGTTTCAATTCTAACTGAAAAGCTCTAATATAATAAATCACAATCTATTATAGAAATTAGGGATTCACCGACATGATGAAGAACCAAGTCTGATGTAGCCCATATCAGATGCCACCACAGGATCGGTTACTATATAAGACTCCAGACAATGTCAAAGCAAATCGGTATCACGGGGTGAGGTGTTGTTTTCACTAATAACAGTTTTCACTCAGTATCATATCAATATTGTCAAAATTCAACTTATTATAGATTTAATCAAAATTTTATACAAAATGCTGGTCTTAGCGCATGCAATGTTAGACAGTTACTTGATTTAACTTATTTACAGCATAGTCGGAAAATAATTTACCCTTCTGTAAGCAAACCAGAAAGCAGATAGATCTTCTAAATTTAATTTATACTGTTCTAATGGATTTCACAACTTTTAATTCTTTAGAAGAAAATTGACATAACCGTGTATTGCGCTGGCAATACCAATTAATTACAAGAACATGTTTTTAAGATTGCATGTAACAAACTAATAAAGTTAAACCATAGAATTTTAACCATTTAATTTATCAATTAAACGACTACAAAACTGTGCTATCTTGTGTCCCTTCCACTATTACTGAAAGTTTTGCCACCGCTAACTAAAAAAGCAGCCTCTCTCTTCAGATCAATAGCATACTGAATGTCCTGACTGATCTTGAGGCTAGTTTTCTGAGAGTTACAGTTGAGTTTGGGACACGAGTCAGGAGCCATGTTAAAAACACCTGGTGGAGGCAGAGTATCGTAGATCTGTATAGCTAGGTTATGTTCTGTAGTTCCACCGTTATTCCGGGGAGCATACACGCACTGTCCTATCGAGTCTAACATGATCTCCTTTACAACCTTGTTACCAGATTCTCTCTCGATAAGTCTGACCCGCTCACTGGACACCAGGATCTTGAGGCGGGTGTTCACCACACACCAGGAAATGAACTGTTCCTCACGTGACTTGCGGTTCAGTTTCCACAGAGTAGCCATGCCTTGTGCAGTGTCTGTGGAGAAGATTGCCAGGATCTCTCCACTGCAACATCGAGGCAGCCGTATTCTTTTTATCTCTCCTGAGAAGAAGAAGAATATCGTTATGTTTCTTCCTGTTTATTGTAATTGTAAAACAAAACGTGTTAACACCAAATTATGGTTATACTGTTTGGTTGCTGAGTAGAAATTAACTTACCGATACTGTGACTAGATCGAGTACTCTGCGTTATGGCCAGTGTAGTCCCTGAGGCAAAGTCGAGTAAACCAGCAGCTGGTTTAGCAACAGTTCCAATGAGACCTTTAGCTAGTCCGGTCACTGCCCCCGTCACTCCGTCTTGGTTAATCCCTCTCACTATAGAACTGGGAATGCTGGTAAGCCCTCCGATAAGTCCACTTCTTAACCCCTGCCATCCTGCTCTCAGACTTACACTTGAACCATCCAAAACCCTCAGAGCTCGCTCCACTTCAACTGTGAAGTCTATGTGTCCGGGGGTGTCTATCAGGTTCAACTGGTTACCTGTGAAAAAAATGGAATTTCACAATTTATTCATACTCTTGATTTATTTCAAAATTTAAAAAGAGGAAAAATGTATTTAACAAGTTGGATACTACAGAGCATCCCAGTTAATCAGAACTTAACTCGTTTCACCACCAACCTTTCCACAGCAGAGATGTAGCAGCAGATTTAATGGTGATTCCTCGCTGCTTCTCCAGTTCCATACTGTCCATCTTAGCTCCTACACCGTCCTTACCTGATACAAACATTTCTTAAACCTAACCGACTCTGTAAATTGGGAAAATTTTGACGGTAGTTATTGTTAGTAAGAATATATACGACGGTCATTAATTGACCTAATAAATAGCAAATGATCGTGAACCAGAACAACAAGTTACCACAAACCTTTGACATCGTGAATAGCGTCTATTCTCCCGCCGTAGAAGGTAATTCGTTCTGACACCGTGGTCTTGCCGGAGTCAATATGTGCTGACATTCCTGACAGATAGTTTAGTTAATAAGGTAATCTAGTGACAAAAACAGTCATACTTTAAACAGATTTACCCGGATTTTATTAATTCATTTGGTTTCAAAATAGATGGCTTAGAGCTGTGAGCTAAGCTTTTGAACTCCGGCGAAATCTCGGCCAACTCAATCATCTTTATATCGAATTTGAATAAAATGTTTCAAAAATCCAACAAACCAATATTCCTGATGTTTTCTACTTTAGTATCGTCAGGGTTGAAGACTTGATTCTGAAGACGGCGGATGTGGTGAGCGTCTGGTATAGTTTCATCTAGTACCTCGAAAACACTAAATTTTGAAAATTAGAAATTTTCAGAAAATGTGTTATTGGACTGGTTTGGGGAGCGGCCTAGGGCGCTTTAATAATTCTTGCCCATCATCAGCCGCTGCCCCGGTCCCCGAGACTTCATCTTTACTTTCGTCTGGTTTTCCACTCTCTGTTCAATCATCAAGTTACTAGCTAGGTAACATGATAATCGAGCTGAGCTACAGTTTTCAACGTAACAACGATTTCGAGGATGGTTCAGACAAACCCACGCTCTAACCATTTGAACAACAAACCAGTGCACTGCCAACTGTACACGGTCCTCACACACTTTCATTAAACCAAAGTTACTTTTATACCCACATAGTTGACGGAACATTTACTTGTGCGTACGGCTGCCCTGCAAGCGATAAACTGATGACCTAGCTCCTCCCATATAAGGCGTGTAATTAGGTGTGCAAATATCACGTGCTAGATGCAGCAAGCAAGAGATACCCTGCAAGTGATACACCGAGAGCTAGCTCAACAGTCCCCCTGTTAATTATGACTTATATGGCCCGCGTAATTACCTGTGCAAATATCACGTGCTATATGCCGCCACTAAGCGCGCTCAATCGCTATCTCGTGACTCTCACGTGACAGCTATCAAAGGAAATTCCCTATATGGCGCCTCCGGTGTAAACTAGGAAAGAGCTAGTTTGAGCATTAACTAGGCAGGACAATTCTCAATCTGTAGTTTAATCTGATTACGTTAACGACTCAAACAGTCGACGATGGAACAGATAAATTTGCGAGCATTTTCTCCTACGAGAATAGCACGCTTCACATATTCTGGCGAACCTTCCTTTAAAGGAGGACTCCAATGAAAGTTACATCAGGAATTATAGTATGGGATTAAGTTACAATAAAGTAAAATTTATGAATCTGACAAAGCCTTGCGGCCAATCACTCAATGTGAGACTCATATTTCAAATTGTCCAGGATTCATATGTCAATAGAAGAAGGAACCATTTGTTAATGAAACCCATAGTGTCAACATTTAGAACCATTCCAATTTCCGTGTTCTCATTCAACTCAAGAAATAAGTTAATTAATCGCCATTGGTGCTAGAGCCTATCCTGTAGACTGTTGTAAAGATGGCAGATCGTGAATGGCAGCTATCTTACTTATAGGCCATTGTATGATATCATGTTATTCATGCTCGCAATAAACTTATAAGCATTGCCCAACATACCTAAGAATCTAAGATAAAGAGCTCTGGAGTTATTTCTTACGATGAGACGAAAAGTTTGGTTTGATTATTACTGATTAAGAAACAATGAAAACTAACTCGTTACTTTATATTTGTGTCCAAAAAAGGTTTATTGACACTCCATAAAGATATAAATAAACGGTAACAACTCATATTTATTATCTATCTGTAGAAAACAACATAAAAACCGTTCTTTACAATAATAGACCGTGATCTAATTTAAACTACAGTTACAGCTCTATCGTAGTATTGTAAAACTTCTATTTTAATTTGGTTCTTTTGGAAAAAATTTGTTTAGTTTTACAACTTACGAATATAATAGACTATAGAAATCTTATCGGTATCAAATAAATAATTAGACAGACTCAATTAATACATTTCCAGAATGAGGGGAAAATTGAACCGATTTTTAGATCAATAACAACACGATTACCAATTAATTACAAAACTACAAATCTGTTACATTTATTGAGTATTATCAATTATGTAATGGGATGGAAACTTTTTAACCAGGTGTAGCTAGTCCACAGCCCTAGCCCTATAATACGAAGAAATTGTTTCAATTCTAGCTGAAAAGCTCTAATATAATAAATCACAATCTATTATAGAAATTAGGAATTCACCGACATGATGAAGAACCAAGTCTGATGTAGCCCATATCAGATGCCACCACAGGATCGGTTACTATATAAGACTCCAGACAATGTCAAAGCAAATCGGTATCACGGGGTGAGGTGTTGTTTTCACTAATAACAGTTTTCACTCAGTATCATATCAATATTGTCAAAATTCAACTTATTATAGATTTAATCAAAATTTTATACAAAATGCTGGTCTTAGCGCATGCAATGTTAGACAGTTACTTGATTTAACTTATTTACAGCATAGTCGGCAAATAATTTACCCTTCTGTAAGCAAACCAGAAAGCAGATAGATCTTCTAAATTTAATTTATACTGTTCTAATGGATTTCACAACTTTTAATTCTTTAGAAGAAAATTGACATAACCGTGTATTGCGCTGGCAATACCAATTAATTACAAGAACATGTTTTTAAGATTGCATGTAACAAACTAATAAAGTTAAACCATAGAATTTTAACCATTTAATTTATCAATTAAACGACTACAAAACTGTGCTATCTTGTGTCCCTTCCACTATTACTGAAAGTTTTGCCACCGCTAACTAAAAAAGCAGCCTCTCTCTTCAGATCAATAGCATACTGAATGTCCTGACTGATCTTGAGGCTAGTTTTCTGAGAGTTACAGTTGAGTTTGGGACACGAGTCAGGAGCCATGTTAAAAACACCTGGTGGAGGCAGAGTATCGTAGATCTGTATAGCTAGGTTATGTTCTGTAGTTCCACCGTTATTCCGGGGAGCATACACACACTGTCCTATCGAGTCTAACATGATCTCCTTTACAACCTTGTTACCAGATTCTCTCTCGATAAGTCTGACCCGCTCACTGGACACCAGGATCTTGAGGCGGGTGTTCACCACACACCAGGAAATGAACTGTTCCTCACGTGACTTGCGGTTGAGTTTCCACAGAGTAGCCATGCCTTGTGCAGTGTCTGTGGAGAAGATTGCCAGGATCTCTCCACTGCAACATCGAGGCAGCCGTATTCTTTTTATCTCTCCTGAGAAGAAGAAGAATATCGTTATGTTTCTTCCTGTTTATTGTAATTGTAAAACAAAACGTGTTAACACCAAATTATGGTTATACTGTTTGGTTGCTGAGTAGAAATTAACTTACCGATACTGTGACTAGATCGAGTACTCTGCGTTATGGCCAGTGTAGTCCCTGAGGCAAAGTCGAGTAAACCAGCAGCTGGTTTAGCAACAGTTCCAATGAGACCTTTAGCTAGTCCGGTCACTGCCCCCGTCACTCCGTCTTGGTTAATCCCTCTCACTATAGAACTGGGAATGCTGGTAAGCCCTCCGATAAGTCCACTTCTTAACCCCTGCCATCCTGCTCTCAGACTTACACTTGAACCATCCAAAACCCTCAGAGCTCGCTCCACTTCAACTGTGAAGTCTATGTGTCCGGGGGTGTCTATCAGGTTCAATTTATTCATACTCTTGATTTATTTCAAAATTTAAAAAGAGGAAAAATGTATTTAACAAGTTGGATACTACAGAGCATCCCAGTTAATCAGAACTTAACTCGTTTCACCACCAACCTTTCCACAGCAGAGATGTAGCAGCAGATTTAATGGTGATTCCTCGCTGCTTCTCCAGTTCCATACTGTCCATCTTAGCTCCTACACCGTCCTTACCTGATACAAACATTTCTTAAACCTAACCGACTCTGTAAATTGGGAAAATTTTGACGGTAGTTATTGTTAGTAAGAATATATACGACGGTCATTAATTGACCTAATAAATAGCAAATGATCGTGAACCAGAACAACAAGTTACCACAAACCTTTGACATCGTGAATAGCGTCTATTCTCCCGCCGTAGAAGGTAATTCGTTCTGACACCGTGGTCTTGCCGGAGTCAATATGTGCTGACATTCCTGACAGATAGTTTAGTTAATAAGGTAATCTAGTGACAAAAACAGTCATACTTTAAACAGATTTACCCGGATTTTATTAATTCATTTGGTTTCAAAATAGATGGCTTAGAGCTGTGAGCTAAGCTTTTGAACTCCGGCGAAATCTCGGCCAACTCAATCATCTTTATATCGAATTTGAATAAAATGTTTCAAAAATCCAACAAACCAATATTCCTGATGTTTTCTACTTTAGTATCGTCAGGGTTGAAGACTTGATTCTGAAGACGGCGGATGTGGTGAGCGTCTGGTATAGTTTCATCTAGTACCTCGAAAACACTAAATTTTGAAAATTAGAAATTTTCAGAAAATGTGTTATTGGACTGGTTTGGGGAGCGGCCTAGGGCGCTTTAATAATTCTTGCCCATCATCAGCCGCTGCCCCGGTCCCCGAGACTTCATCTTTACTTTCGTCTGGTTTTCCACTCTCTGTTCAATCATCAAGTTACTAGCTAGGTAACATGATAATCGAGCTGAGCTACAGTTTTCAACGTAACAACGATTTCGAGGATGGTTCAGACAAACCCACGCTCTAACCATTTGAACAACAAACCAGTGCACTGCCAACTGTACACGGTCCTCACACACTTTCATTAAACCAAAGTTACTTTTATACCCACATAGTTGACGGAACATTTACTTGTGCGTACGGCTGCCCTGCAAGCGATAAACTGATGACCTAGCTCCTCCCATATAAGGCGTGTAATTAGGTGTGCAAATATCACGTGCTAGATGCAGCAAGCAAGAGATACCCTGCAAGTGATACACCGAGAGCTAGCTCAACAGTCCCCCTGTTAATTATGACTTATATGGCCCGCGTAATTACCTGTGCAAATATCACGTGCTATATGCCGCCACTAAGCGCGCTCAATCGCTATCTCGTGACTCTCACGTGACAGCTATCAAAGGAAATTCCCTATATGGCGCCTCCGGTGTAAACTAGGAAAGAGCTAGTTTGAGCATTAACTAGGCAGGACAATTCTCAATCTGTAGTTTAATCTGATTACGTTAACGACTCAAACAGTCGACGATGGAACAGATAAATTTGCGAGCATTTTCTCCTACGAGAATAGCACGCTTCACATATTCTGGCGAACCTTCCTTTAAAGGAGGACTCCAATGAAAGTTACATCAGGAATTATAGTATGGGATTAAGTTACAATAAAGTAAAATTTATGAATCTGACAAAGCCTTGCGGCCAATCACTCAATGTGAGACTCATATTTCAAATTGTCCAGGATTCATATGTCAATAGAAGAAGGAACCATTTGTTAATGAAACCCATAGTGTCAACATTTAGAACCATTCCAATTTCCGTGTTCTCATTCAACTCAAGAAATAAGTTAATTAATCGCCATTGGTGCTAGAGCCTATCCTGTAGACTGTTGTAAAGATGGCAGATCGTGAATGGCAGCTATCTTACTTATAGGCCATTGTATGATATCATGTTATTCATGCTCGCAATAAACTTATAAGCATTGCCCAACATACCTAAGAATCTAAGATAAAGAGCTCTGGAGTTATTTCTTACGATGAGACGAAAAGTTTGGTTTGATTATTACTGATTAAGAAACAATGAAAACTAACTCGTTACTTTATATTTGTGTCCAAAAAAGGTTTATTGACACTCCATAAAGATATAAATAAACGGTAACAACTCATATTTATTATCTATCTGTAGAAAACAACATAAAAACCGTTCTTTACAATAATAGACCGTGATCTAATTTAAACTACAGTTACAGCTCTATCGTAGTATTGTAAAACTTCTATTTTAATTTGGTTCTTTTGGAAAAAATTTGTTTAGTTTTACAACTTACGAATATAATAGACTATAGAAATCTTATCGGTATCAAATAAATAATTAGACAGACTCAATTAATACATTTCCAGAATGAGGGGAAAATTGAACCGATTTTTAGATCAATAACAACACGATTACCAATTAATTACAAAACTACAAATCTGTTACATTTATTGAGTATTATCAATTATGTAATGGGATGGAAACTTTTTAACCAGGTGTAGCTAGTCCACAGCCCTAGCCCTATAATACGAAGAAATTGTTTCAATTCTAGCTGAAAAGCTCTAATATAATAAATCACAATCTATTATAGAAATTGGGGATTCACCGACATGATGAAGAACCAAGTCTGATGTAGCCCATATCAGATGCCACCACAGGATCGGTTACTATAGAAGACTCCAGACAATGTCAAAGCAAATCGGTATCACGGGGTGAGGTGTTGTTTTCACTAATAACAGTTTTCACTCAGTATCATATCAATATTGTCAAAATTTAACTTATTATAGATTTAATTTTAATTTTATACAAAAAGCTGGTCATAGCGCATGCAATGTTAGACAGTTACTTGATTTAACTTATTTACAGGATAGTCGGCAAATAATTTACCCTTCTGTAAGCAAACCAGAAAGCAGATAGATCTTCTAAATTTAATTTATACTGTTCTAATGAATTTTAGAACTTTTAGTTCTTTGCTTTAGAAGAAAATTGACATAACCGTGTATTGCGCTGGCAATACCAATTAATTACAAGAACACGTTTTTAAGATTGATGAAGTTAAACCATAGAATTTTAACCATTTAATTTATCAATTAAACGACTACAAAACTGTGCTATCTTGTGTCCCTTCCACTATTACTAAAAGTTTTGCCACCGCTAACTAAAAAAGCAGCCTCTCTCTTCAGATCAATAGCATACTGAATGTCCTGGCTGATCTTGAGGCTGGTTTTCTGAGAGTTACAGTTGAGTTTGGGACAAGAGTCAGGAGCCATATTAAAAACACCTGGCGGAGGCAGAGTATCGTAGATCTGTATAGCTAGGTTATGTTCTGTAGTTCCACCGTTATTCCGGGGAGCATACACACACTGTCCTATCGAGTCTAATATGATCTCCTTCACAACCTTGTTACCAGATTCTCTCTCGATAAGTCTGACCCGCTCACTGGACACCAGGATCTTGAGGCGGGTGTTCACCACACACCAGGAAATGAACTGTTCCTCACGTGACTTGCGGTTCAGTTTCCACAGAGTAGCCATGCCTTGTGCTGTGTCTATGGAGAAGATTGCCAGGATCTCTCCACTGCAACATCGAGGCAGCCGTATTCTTTTTATCTCTCCTGAGAAGAAGAAGAATATCGTTATGTTTCTTCTTGTTTATTGTAATTGTAAAACAAAACGTGTTAACACCAAATTATGGTTATACTGTTTGGTTGCTGAGTAGAAATACACTTATCGATACTGTGACTAGATCGAGTACTCTGCGTAATGGCCAGTGTAGTCCCTGAGGCAAAGTCGAGTAAACCAGCAGCTGGTTTAGCAACAGTTCCAATGAGACCTTTAGCTAGTCCGGTCACTGCCCCCGTCACTCCGTCTTGGTTAATCCCTCTCACTATAGAACTGGGAATGCTGGTAAGCCCTCCGATAAGTCCACTTCTTAACCCCTGCCATCCTGCTCTCAGACTTGCACTTGAACCATCCAAAACCCTCAGAGCTCGCTCCACTTCAACTGTGAAGTCTATGTGTCCGGGGGTGTCTATCAGGTTCAACTGGTTACCTGTGAAAAAAATGGAATTTCACAATTTATTCATACTCTTGATTTATTTCAAAATTTAAAAAGAGGAAAAATGTATTTAACAAGTTGGATACTACAGAGCATCCCAGTTAATCAGAACTTAACTCGTTTCACCACCAACCTTTCCACAGCAGAGATGTAGCAGCAGATTTAATGGTGATTCCTCGCTGCTTCTCCAGTTCCATACTGTCCATCTTAGCTCCTACACCGTCCTTACCTGATACAAACATTTCTTAAACCTAACCGACTCTGTAAATTGGGAAAATTTTGACGGTAGTTATTGTTAGTAAGAATATATACGACGGTCATTAATTGACCTAATAATAGCAAATGATCGTGAACCAGAACAACAAGTTACCACAAACCTTTGACATCGTGAATAGCGTCTATTCTCCCGCCGTAGAAGAGAATTCGTTCTGACACCGTGGTCTTGCCGGAGTCAATATGTGCTGACATTCCTGACAGATAGTTTAGTTAATAAGGTAATCTAGTGACAAAAACAGTCATACTTTAAACAGATTTACCCGGATTTTATTAATTCATTTGGTTTCAAAATAGATGGCTTAGAGCTGTGAGCTAAGCTTTTGAACTCCGGCGAAATCTCGGCCAACTCAATCATCTTTATATCGAATTTGAATAAAATGTTTCAAAAATCCAACAAACCAATATTCCTGATGTTTTCTACTTTAGTATCGTCAGGGTTGAAGACTTGATTCTGAAGACGGCGGATGTGGTGAGCGTCTGGTATAGTTTCATCTAGTACCTCGAAAACACTAAATTTTGAAAATTAGAAATTTTCAGAAAATGTGTTATTGGACTGGTTTGGGGAGCGGCCTAGGGCGCTTTAATAATTCTTGCCCATCATCAGCCGCTGCCCCGGTCCCCGAGACTTCATCTTTACTTTCGTCTGGTTTTCCACTCTCTGTTCAATCATCAAGTTACTAGCTAGGTAACATGATAATCGAGCTGAGCTACAGTTTTCAACGTAACAACGATTTCGAGGATGGTTCAGACAAACCCACGCTCTAACCATTTGAACAACAAACCAGTGCACTGCCAACTGTACACGGTCCTCACACACTTTCATTAAACCAAAGTTACTTTTATACCCACATAGTTGACGGAACATTTACTTGTGCGTACGGCTGCCCTGCAAGCGATAAACTGATGACCTAGCTCCTCCCATATAAGGCGTGTAATTAGGTGTGCAAATATCACGTGCTATATGCCGCCACTAAGCGCGCTCAATCGCTATCTCGTGACTCTCACGTGACAGCTATCAAAGGAAATTCCCTATATGGCGCCTCCGGTGTAAACTAGGAAAGAGCTAGTTTGAGCATTAAGTAGGCAGGACAATTCTCAATCTGTAGTTTAATCTGATTACGTTAACGACTCAAACAGTCGACGATGGAACAGATAAATTTGCGAGCATTTTCTCCTACGAGAATAGCACGCTTCAAATATTCTGGCGAACCTTCCTTTAAAGGAGGACTCCAATGAAAGTTACATCAGGAATTATAGTATGGGATTAAGTTACAATAAAGTAAAATTTATGAATCTGACAAAGCCTTGCGGCCAATCACTCAATGTGAGACTCATATTTCAAATTGTCCAGGATTCATATGTCAATAGAAGAAGGAACCATTTGTTAATGAAACCCATAGTGTCAACATTTAGAACCATTCCAATTTCCGTGTTCTCATTCAACTCAAGAAATAAGTTAATTAATCGCCATTGGTGCTAGAGCCTATCCTGTAGACTGTTGTAAAGATGGCAGATCGTGAATGGCAGCTATCTTACTTACAGGCCATTGTATGATATTATGTTATTCATGCTCGCAATAAACTTATAAGCATTGCCCAACATACCTAAGAATCTAAAATAAAGAGCTCTGGAGTTATTTCTTACGATGAGACGAAAAGTTTGGTTTGATTATTACTAATTAAGAAACAATGAAAACTAACTCGTTACTTTATATTTGTGTCCAAAAAAGGTTTATTGACACTCCATAAAGATATAAATAAACGGTAACAACTCATATTTATTATCTATCTGTAGAAAACAACATAAAAACCGTTCTTTACAATAATAGACCGTGATCTAATTTAAACTACAGTTACAGCTCTATCGTAGTATTGTAAAACTTTTATTTTAATTTGGTTCTTTTGGAAAAAATGTGTTTAGTTTTACAACTTACGAATATAATAGACTATAGAAATCTTATCGGTATCAAATAAATAATTAGACAGACTCAATTAATACATTTCCAGAATGAGGGGAAAATTGAACCGATTTTTAGATCAATAACAACACGATTACCAATTAATTACAAAACTACAAATCTATTACATTTATTGAGTATTATCAATTATGTAATGGGATGGAAACTTTTTAACCAGGTGTAGCTAGTCCACAGCCCTAGCCCTATAATACGAAGAAATTGTTTCAATTCTAGCTGAAAAGCTCTAATATAATAAATCACAATCTATTATAGAAATTAGGGATTCACCGACATGATGAAGAACCAAGTCTGATGTAGCCCATATCAGATGCCACCACAGGATCGGTTACTATAGAAGACTCCAGACAATGTCAAAGCAAATCGGTATCACGGGGTGAGGTGTTGTTTTCACTAATAACAGTTTTCACTCAGTATCATATCAATATTGTCAAAATTTAACTTATTATAGATTTAATTTTAATTTTATACAAAAAGCTGGTCATAGCGCATGCAATGTTAGACAGTTACTTGATTTAACTTATTTACAGGATAGTCGGCAAATAATTTACCCTTCTGTAAGCAAACCAGAAAGCAGATAGATCTTCTAAATTTAATTTATACTGTTCTAATGAATTTTAGAACTTTTAGTTCTTTGCTTTAGAAGAAAATTGACATAACCGTGTATTGCGCTGGCAATACCAATTAATTACAAGAACACGTTTTTAAGATTGATGAAGTTAAACCATAGAATTTTAACCATTTAATTTATCAATTAAACGACTACAAAACTGTGCTATCTTGTGTCCCTTCCACTATTACTAAAAGTTTTGCCACCGCTAACTAAAAAAGCAGCCTCTCTCTTCAGATCAATAGCATACTGAATGTCCTGGCTGATCTTGAGGCTGGTTTTCTGAGAGTTACAGTTGAGTTTGGGACAAGAGTCAGGAGCCATATTAAAAACACCTGGCGGAGGCAGAGTATCGTAGATCTGTATAGCTAGGTTATGTTCTGTAGTTCCACCGTTATTCCGGGGAGCATACACACACTGTCCTATCGAGTCTAATATGATCTCCTTCACAACCTTGTTACCAGATTCTCTCTCGATAAGTCTGACCCGCTCACTGGACACCAGGATCTTGAGGCGGGTGTTCACCACACACCAGGAAATGAACTGTTCCTCACGTGACTTGCGGTTCAGTTTCCACAGAGTAGCCATGCCTTGTGCTGTGTCTATGGAGAAGATTGCCAGGATCTCTCCACTGCAACATCGAGGCAGCCGTATTCTTTTTATCTCTCCTGAGAAGAAGAAGAATATCGTTATGTTTCTTCTTGTTTATTGTAATTGTAAAACAAAACGTGTTAACACCAAATTATGGTTATACTGTTTGGTTGCTGAGTAGAAATACACTTACCGATACTGTGACTAGATCGAGTACTCTGCGTAATGGCCAGTGTAGTCCCTGAGGCAAAGTCGAGTAAACCAGCAGCTGGTTTAGCAACAGTTCCAATGAGACCTTTAGCTAGTCCGGTCACTGCCCCCGTCACTCCGTCTTGGTTAATCCCTCTCACTATAGAACTGGGAATGCTGGTAAGCCCTCCGATAAGTCCACTTCTTAACCCCTGCCATCCTGCTCTCAGACTTGCACTTGAACCATCCAAAACCCTCAGAGCTCGCTCCACTTCAACTGTGAAGTCTATGTGTCCGGGGGTGTCTATCAGGTTCAACTGGTTACCTGTGAAAAAAATGGAATTTCACAATTTATTCATACTCTTGATTTATTTCAAAATTTAAAAAGAGGAAAAATGTATTTAACAAGTTGGATACTACAGAGCATCCCAGTTAATCAGAACTTAACTCGTTTCACCACCAACCTTTCCACAGCAGAGATGTAGCAGCAGATTTAATGGTGATTCCTCGCTGCTTCTCCAGTTCCATACTGTCCATCTTAGCTCCTACACCGTCCTTACCTGATACAAACATTTCTTAAACCTAACCGACTCTGTAAATTGGGAAAATTTTGACGGTAGTTATTGTTAGTAAGAATATATACGACGGTCATTAATTGACCTAATAATAGCAAATGATCGTGAACCAGAACAACAAGTTACCACAAACCTTTGACATCGTGAATAGCGTCTATTCTCCCGCCGTAGAAGAGAATTCGTTCTGACACCGTGGTCTTGCCGGAGTCAATATGTGCTGACATTCCTGACAGATAGTTTAGTTAATAAGGTAATCTAGTGACAAAAACAGTCATACTTTAAACAGATTTACCCGGATTTTATTAATTCATTTGGTTTCAAAATAGATGGCTTAGAGCTGTGAGCTAAGCTTTTGAACTCCGGCGAAATCTCGGCCAACTCAATCATCTTTATATCGAATTTGAATAAAATGTTTCAAAAATCCAACAAACCAATATTCCTGATGTTTTCTACTTTAGTATCGTCAGGGTTGAAGACTTGATTCTGAAGACGGCGGATGTGGTGAGCGTCTGGTATAGTTTCATCTAGTACCTCGAAAACACTAAATTTTGAAAATTAGAAATTTTCAGAAAATGTGTTATTGGACTGGTTTGGGGAGCGGCCTAGGGCGCTTTAATAATTCTTGCCCATCATCAGCCGCTGCCCCGGTCCCCGAGACTTCATCTTTACTTTCGTCTGGTTTTCCACTCTCTGTTCAATCATCAAGTTACTAGCTAGGTAACATGATAATCGAGCTGAGCTACAGTTTTCAACGTAACAACGATTTCGAGGATGGTTCAGACAAACCCACGCTCTAACCATTTGAACAACAAACCAGTGCACTGCCAACTGTACACGGTCCTCACACACTTTCATTAAACCAAAGTTACTTTTATACCCACATAGTTGACGGAACATTTACTTGTGCGTACGGCTGCCCTGCAAGCGATAAACTGATGACCTAGCTCCTCCCATATAAGGCGTGTAATTAGGTGTGCAAATATCACGTGCTATATGCCGCCACTAAGCGCGCTCAATCGCTATCTCGTGACTCTCACGTGACAGCTATCAAAGGAAATTCCCTATATGGCGCCTCCGGTGTAAACTAGGAAAGAGCTAGTTTGAGCATTAAGTAGGCAGGACAATTCTCAATCTGTAGTTTAATCTGATTACGTTAACGACTCAAACAGTCGACGATGGAACAGATAAATTTGCGAGCATTTTCTCCTACGAGAATAGCACGCTTCAAATATTCTGGCGAACCTTCCTTTAAAGGAGGACTCCAATGAAAGTTACATCAGGAATTATAGTATGGGATTAAGTTACAATAAAGTAAAATTTATGAATCTGACAAAGCCTTGCGGCCAATCACTCAATGTGAGACTCATATTTCAAATTGTCCAGGATTCATATGTCAATAGAAGAAGGAACCATTTGTTAATGAAACCCATAGTGTCAACATTTAGAACCATTCCAATTTCCGTGTTCTCATTCAACTCAAGAAATAAGTTAATTAATCGCCATTGGTGCTAGAGCCTATCCTGTAGACTGTTGTAAAGATGGCAGATCGTGAATGGCAGCTATCTTACTTACAGGCCATTGTATGATATTATGTTATTCATGCTCGCAATAAACTTATAAGCATTGCCCAACATACCTAAGAATCTAAAATAAAGAGCTCTGGAGTTATTTCTTACGATGAGACGAAAAGTTTGGTTTGATTATTACTAATTAAGAAACAATGAAAACTAACTCGTTACTTTATATTTGTGTCCAAAAAAGGTTTATTGACACTCCATAAAGATATAAATAAACGGTAACAACTCATATTTATTATCTATCTGTAGAAAACAACATAAAAACCGTTCTTTACAATAATAGACCGTGATCTAATTTAAACTACAGTTACAGCTCTATCGTAGTATTGTAAAACTTTTATTTTAATTTGGTTCTTTTGGAAAAAATGTGTTTAGTTTTACAACTTACGAATATAATAGACTATAGAAATCTTATCGGTATCAAATAAATAATTAGACAGACTCAATTAATACATTTCCAGAATGAGGGGAAAATTGAACCGATTTTTAGATCAATAACAACACGATTACCAATTAATTACAAAACTACAAATCTATTACATTTATTGAGTATTATCAATTATGTAATGGGATGGAAACTTTTTAACCAGGTGTAGCTAGTCCACAGCCCTAGCCCTATAATACGAAGAAATTGTTTCAATTCTAGCTGAAAAGCTCTAATATAATAAATCACAATCTATAGAAATTAGGAATTCACCGACATGATGAAGAACCAAGTCTGATGTAGCCCATATCAGATGCCACCACAGGATCGGTTACTATAGAAGACTCCAGACAATGTCAAAGCAAATCGGTATCACGGGGTGAGGTGTTGTTTTCACTAATAACAGTTTTCACTCAGTATCATATCAATATTGTCAAAATTTAACTTATTATAGATTTAATTTTAATTTTATACAAAAAGCTGGTCATAGCGCATGCAATGTTAGACAGTTACTTGATTTAACTTATTTACAGGATAGTCGGCAAATAATTTACCCTTCTGTAAGCAAACCAGAAAGCAGATAGATCTTCTAAATTTAATTTATACTGTTCTAATGAATTTTAGAACTTTTAGTTCTTTGCTTTAGAAGAAAATTGACATAACCGTGTATTGCGCTGGCAATACCAATTAATTACAAGAACACGTTTTTAAGATTGATGAAGTTAAACCATAGAATTTTAACCATTTAATTTATCAATTAAACGACTACAAAACTGTGCTATCTTGTGTCCCTTCCACTATTACTAAAAGTTTTGCCACCGCTAACTAAAAAAGCAGCCTCTCTCTTCAGATCAATAGCATACTGAATGTCCTGGCTGATCTTGAGGCTGGTTTTCTGAGAGTTACAGTTGAGTTTGGGACAAGAGTCAGGAGCCATATTAAAAACACCTGGCGGAGGCAGAGTATCGTAGATCTGTATAGCTAGGTTATGTTCTGTAGTTCCACCGTTATTCCGGGGAGCATACACACACTGTCCTATCGAGTCTAATATGATCTCCTTCACAACCTTGTTACCAGATTCTCTCTCGATAAGTCTGACCCGCTCACTGGACACCAGGATCTTGAGGCGGGTGTTCACCACACACCAGGAAATGAACTGTTCCTCACGTGACTTGCGGTTCAGTTTCCACAGAGTAGCCATGCCTTGTGCTGTGTCTATGGAGAAGATTGCCAGGATCTCTCCACTGCAACATCGAGGCAGCCGTATTCTTTTTATCTCTCCTGAGAAGAAGAAGAATATCGTTATGTTTCTTCTTGTTTATTGTAATTGTAAAACAAAACGTGTTAACACCAAATTATGGTTATACTGTTTGGTTGCTGAGTAGAAATACACTTACCGATACTGTGACTAGATCGAGTACTCTGCGTAATGGCCAGTGTAGTCCCTGAGGCAAAGTCGAGTAAACCAGCAGCTGGTTTAGCAACAGTTCCAATGAGACCTTTAGCTAGTCCGGTCACTGCCCCCGTCACTCCGTCTTGGTTAATCCCTCTCACTATAGAACTGGGAATGCTGGTAAGCCCTCCGATAAGTCCACTTCTTAACCCCTGCCATCCTGCTCTCAGACTTGCACTTGAACCATCCAAAACCCTCAGAGCTCGCTCCACTTCAACTGTGAAGTCTATGTGTCCGGGGGTGTCTATCAGGTTCAACTGGTTACCTGTGAAAAAAATGGAATTTCACAATTTATTCATACTCTTGATTTATTTCAAAATTTAAAAAGAGGAAAAATGTATTTAACAAGTTGGATACTACAGAGCATCCCAGTTAATCAGAACTTAACTCGTTTCACCACCAACCTTTCCACAGCAGAGATGTAGCAGCAGATTTAATGGTGATTCCTCGCTGCTTCTCCAGTTCCATACTGTCCATCTTAGCTCCTACACCGTCCTTACCTGATACAAACATTTCTTAAACCTAACCGACTCTGTAAATTGGGAAAATTTTGACGGTAGTTATTGTTAGTAAGAATATATACGACGGTCATTAATTGACCTAATAATAGCAAATGATCGTGAACCAGAACAACAAGTTACCACAAACCTTTGACATCGTGAATAGCGTCTATTCTCCCGCCGTAGAAGAGAATTCGTTCTGACACCGTGGTCTTGCCGGAGTCAATATGTGCTGACATTCCTGACAGATAGTTTAGTTAATAAGGTAATCTAGTGACAAAAACAGTCATACTTTAAACAGATTTACCCGGATTTTATTAATTCATTTGGTTTCAAAATAGATGGCTTAGAGCTGTGAGCTAAGCTTTTGAACTCCGGCGAAATCTCGGCCAACTCAATCATCTTTATATCGAATTTGAATAAAATGTTTCAAAAATCCAACAAACCAATATTCCTGATGTTTTCTACTTTAGTATCGTCAGGGTTGAAGACTTGATTCTGAAGACGGCGGATGTGGTGAGCGTCTGGTATAGTTTCATCTAGTACCTCGAAAACACTAAATTTTGAAAATTAGAAATTTTCAGAAAATGTGTTATTGGACTGGTTTGGGGAGCGGCCTAGGGCGCTTTAATAATTCTTGCCCATCATCAGCCGCTGCCCCGGTCCCCGAGACTTCATCTTTACTTTCGTCTGGTTTTCCACTCTCTGTTCAATCATCAAGTTACTAGCTAGGTAACATGATAATCGAGCTGAGCTACAGTTTTCAACGTAACAACGATTTCGAGGATGGTTCAGACAAACCCACGCTCTAACCATTTGAACAACAAACCAGTGCACTGCCAACTGTACACGGTCCTCACACACTTTCATTAAACCAAAGTTACTTTTATACCCACATAGTTGACGGAACATTTACTTGTGCGTACGGCTGCCCTGCAAGCGATAAACTGATGACCTAGCTCCTCCCATATAAGGCGTGTAATTAGGTGTGCAAATATCACGTGCTATATGCCGCCACTAAGCGCGCTCAATCGCTATCTCGTGACTCTCACGTGACAGCTATCAAAGGAAATTCCCTATATGGCGCCTCCGGTGTAAACTAGGAAAGAGCTAGTTTGAGCATTAAGTAGGCAGGACAATTCTCAATCTGTAGTTTAATCTGATTACGTTAACGACTCAAACAGTCGACGATGGAACAGATAAATTTGCGAGCATTTTCTCCTACGAGAATAGCACGCTTCAAATATTCTGGCGAACCTTCCTTTAAAGGAGGACTCCAATGAAAGTTACATCAGGAATTATAGTATGGGATTAAGTTACAATAAAGTAAAATTTATGAATCTGACAAAGCCTTGCGGCCAATCACTCAATGTGAGACTCATATTTCAAATTGTCCAGGATTCATATGTCAATAGAAGAAGGAACCATTTGTTAATGAAACCCATAGTGTCAACATTTAGAACCATTCCAATTTCCGTGTTCTCATTCAACTCAAGAAATAAGTTAATTAATCGCCATTGGTGCTAGAGCCTATCCTGTAGACTGTTGTAAAGATGGCAGATCGTGAATGGCAGCTATCTTACTTACAGGCCATTGTATGATATTATGTTATTCATGCTCGCAATAAACTTATAAGCATTGCCCAACATACCTAAGAATCTAAAATAAAGAGCTCTGGAGTTATTTCTTACGATGAGACGAAAAGTTTGGTTTGATTATTACTAATTAAGAAACAATGAAAACTAACTCGTTACTTTATATTTGTGTCCAAAAAAGGTTTATTGACACTCCATAAAGATATAAATAAACGGTAACAACTCATATTTATTATCTATCTGTAGAAAACAACATAAAAACCGTTCTTTACAATAATAGACCGTGATCTAATTTAAACTACAGTTACAGCTCTATCGTAGTATTGTAAAACTTTTATTTTAATTTGGTTCTTTTGGAAAAAATGTGTTTAGTTTTACAACTTACGAATATAATAGACTATAGAAATCTTATCGGTATCAAATAAATAATTAGACAGACTCAATTAATACATTTCCAGAATGAGGGGAAAATTGAACCGATTTTTAGATCAATAACAACACGATTACCAATTAATTAAAAAACTACAAATCTATTACATTTATTGAGTATTATCAATTATGTAATGGGATGGAAACTTTTTAACCAGGTGTAGCTAGTCCACAGCCCTAGCTCTATAATACGAAGAAATTGTTTCGATTCTAGCTGAAAAGCTCTAATATAATAAATCACAATCTATTATAGAAATTAGGAATTCACCGACATGATGAAGAACCAAGTCTGATGTAGCCCATATCAGATGCCACCACAGGATCGGTTACTATATAAGACTCCAGACAATGTCAAAGCAAATCGGTATCACGGGGTGAGGTGTTGTTTTCACTAATAACAGTTTTCACTCAGTATCATATCAATATTGTCAAAATTCAACTTATTATAGATTTAATTTAAATTTTATACAAAATGCTGGTCTTAGCGCATGCAATGTTAGACAGTTACTTGACTTAACTTATTTACAGGATAGTCGGCAAATAATTTACCCTTCTGTAAGCAAACCAGAAAGCAGATAGATCTTCTAAATTTAATTTATACTGTTCTAATGGATTTCACAACTTTTAATTCTTTAGAAGAAAATTGACATAACCGTGTGTTGCGCTGGCAATACCAATTAATTACAAGAACATGTTTTTAAGATTGCATGTAACAAACTAATAAAGTTAAACCATAGAACTTTAACCATTTAATTTATCAATTAAACGACTACAAAACTGTGCTATCTTGTGTCCCTTCCACTATTACTGAAAGTTTTGCCACCGCTAACTAAAAAAGCAGCCTCTCTCTTCAGATCAATAGCATACTGAATGTCCTGACTGATCTTGAGGCTAGTTTTCTGAGAGTTACAGTTGAGTTTGGGACAAGAGTCAGGAGCCATATTAAAAACACCTGGTGGAGGCAGAGTATCGTAGATCTGTATAGCTAGGTTATGTTCTGTAGTTCCACCGTTATTCCGGGGAGCATACACACACTGTCCTATCGAGTCTAACATAATCTCCTTCACAACCTTGTTACCAGATTCTCTCTCGATAAGTCTGACCCGCTCACTGGACACCAGGATCTTGAGGCGGGTGTTCACCACACACCAGGAAATGAACTGTTCCTCACGTGACTTGCGGTTCAGTTTCCACAGAGTAGCCATGCCTTGTGCTGTGTCTGTGGAGAAGATTGCCAGGATCTCTCCACTGCAACATCGTGGCAGCCGTATTCTTTTTATCTCTCCTGAGAAGAAGAAGAATATCGTTATGTTTCTTCCTGTTTATTGTAATTGTAAAACAAAACGTGTTAACACCAAATTATGGTTAGACTGTTTGGTTGCTGAGTAGAAATAAGCTTACCGATACTGTGACTAGATCGAGTGCTCTGCGTAATGGCCAGTGTAGTCCCTGAGGCAAAGTCGAGTAAACCAGCAGCTGGTTTAGCAACAGTTCCAATGAGACCTTTAGCTAGTCCGGTCACTGCCCCCGTCACTCCGTCTTGGTTAATCCCTCTCACTATAGAACTGGGAATGCTGGTAAGCCCTCCGATAAGTCCACTTCTTAACCCCTGCCATCCTGCTCTCAGACTTGCACTTGAACTCTGGTATCTGTCGGAGAAATGAGAATTTGGTTTGCTTCCACAATCGACTGCATTAATAAAATATAAATATGATACAAAAAGGGAATTGGAAAGAAAAAAAGTAGAGAAAAGAGATCGCATCAGAATAGGAAAGAGCACACGAGAAGAGAAAGAGACGCACAAGAAAACAAAAAGAGAAAACAGTCTCCTACCTGGAAGCTCTAAGTCTGTCTCTGTCGGCTCTGAAAGCATCATCTCCACTAACATACGTTAACACAGTACTAGCAGTTGAACTGAGTTTACTGGCGGTATCTGACATGCCGTGAGCAACACTCTTTACCATTCCTGACACGTCACCATCCAGCCCCACTGAGAGTCCACTCAGTAGATCGTTAAACAGCCCTCCCATGTTACCTGGTGTCAAGTGAGGGTGAAAGGTTGTTAAAGTTTACGTTATCATGGTAGTAACTAGTAGAAACAATGAAATTTGAGGTAAAAGTGATGAAATCAAGTAGAAGGTAAAGTGTCAAACCTGTCATTTCTGAGTTGAGGACTATTTTGAGTTTATGTCCAACTGCGCAGTCCCTGTAGTGTCGTATGATGTTGTCCCTTATAGTACTAGTAGCTGCTATCACATTACTGGTATGGTACTTGTTCAGCTTAAAAGTAACGTCGGAGAAGTTCAGATAAGATCTCATTCCTAATCTTGTGTGGATGTCCTTGAGGTCGTCCTCTAGAACTGGAGCCACGATCAGACTGACATTAACCTGGGTCTGGTGAATTAACATACTCTCAACTAACACGGGATTGTACTCCAACTTCCTCGTACTCAACTTGTACTCCGCTTCTGGATCGTACTTTGGGTCGTCTTTATTTACATCCCCAGCCATCTCAAAAAACTGTATGAGTTTCAGAAGTAAGACCTCGTCGAGCTGGGAGCTGAAGTTTGCGAACAGAGCCTGGACCTCAGGGTACACGACTAACCTGCCATCGCTCCTAACCTCCCTGATCATCCTGAAGTGTACTGTATGTTCTCCATCCCTCATTACCGGGTAGATAACAACAGGAACCAGTGCCTCCCTACACTGATTATCAGCCTGGAATCCTAGCAGATCAAAAACAACAGTAGTCTTGTTACCCGCCAGCTCGGCGTCTAAAGAGAGCCCAGTCATGCTGAGATACAATATCTCCTCAGGGAGGTGGTTGATAATAGAGAGGCCTACACCTCCCAGTAACTTTACCTGCAGCTGGAAGGGTTTGGTAACATCCTCCTTTTTAGAGGTGGAGTCCGTGTAGACAGTTTGTTCTCCTGCCACAGCGTCCAGTAGCTTGATAACCACTGTGGGACCGTCTAGAGAGGTGGTCATCAGCACGGCTCCACAACCTGGTCGGCGCTTGTGGAAGTAGATGTGAGGAGGGTTCTTGCTGACCATGTCTAGTACAGCATCAGATCCGTCATGTAGTAGACCGTTGCGAGGTGAAACAGCTAGCCCTGGCAGCTTGCAGGTTAGATAGCCGTTATCCCGGAACCTCCAGCACTGTGTTTGGTGCCTGTTCTCGTCAGGAGGCTTCACGATCAGGCTGGCGTATGTGCCAGGGTTGGGAGCTCTGCCTGGTATGTCCAGGAATAACTTGGTCTTGAAGTGCATGAGCTGACCTGACTCCTTAACCTGCCACAGCTGACTAAGTGAGTGCGGGTTGTACTGCTTAACAAGCACCTGAACCCCCTGTGGAACGTCCAGCACGAGTCTGCTGCTCGAGCTGGCTAGTTTCTCGTCCACCCTGATAGCTCTAAATCCGGAACTGGAGAGCTGGTTGAGGGGGATGTCCCTCATAGCTGGGGCACCTCCCTTCCAGGTGTCGGAGAGGGTCAGGTAAACTGCGTTCTCGTAGACTAGTGCAGAGAGGTGGGTGTAAGGGGTGGGTGTTATCATCACCTTCATAGGCTCACCTCCCGTCACTTTTAGATCTAGTTCGTGGGGTTTCAAGACGGGCTCATCCCAGTGATAAGGGCACCAGCTACCAGGTTGTAATGTGGACATGTCTGACCGACTCTCTGATTGTCTGTACTCCACGCTTACCAGACTGTGGTTTTCTATTCTGCAAAATTATTTCCTTGCGTTTGAATTGAAATAAAGACGATCCTGTGTTTAAAATAACTGGATCTTAACTCTAATGATACGTTCTTATGCAACCGAAGCTTTCGCTTTTACAAGGATAACATCTTCAAACTATTTCTGATAAAATCAATTCCTTACCGGTAAGGGGTAGGGAGATCATTGAAGTCGGAGAATACGACATGATAAGAGCTCCGCTGCAACACCACAGTGCACTGGAGGAATATCTTCCTTCCTCCGGTCCCTCTCATAGATACAACACTGCTTTGTGGGTTGTTTATACAGAATCCACCCGACCACTCACAGTCTACCACGTCAGGAATACATATTGATAGTAGCTGAGGGGGTGAGTGGTAACTAGTAGTAACTAGTGGTAACCAGTGGTAACTAGTGGTAACTAGTGGTAACTAGTGGTAACTAGTGGTAACTAGTGGTAACTAGTGGTAACTAAGATTATACCACAAAACAGGAATAGTTAATTATTTTTAAAAGTTTAAGCAAAAATCTTAAATAATGACCGACCTGATCTAGATCGTTACGAGGCCAGGAGAAGGGCATGATAGAGTTTGGAGCAGCCTTAGTGACCGGCTCTTTGTCTGGAGTCCAGTCTGAGGATTCAGCCCTGGGGGATTGTGGACTAGATATTGGGGGCGACAAAAGTGATAAAGCACTTTAGAGGACCAATTGTAAAGAGTCAAATGTTCAATTCTAAACAGGATATCATCTTGTGGTATATAAGGACTAACTCAGCACAAGAAAATAGGTTCTTAAGTCCTGGCTATAAGAAGCTTGGTGACTTTTCTAATATTTCGAGGTGTTTGTTCGTGGGAAATAGGAATATATTATAAAGATGTGTAACCCCCTCCCCCCGGCCTAATTCAGTATTGATATCATTACTTATAAGGAAAATCATAATAATTTCGATCTAAACAATTATTCAGTAAAGAAGTGAGACCTGAACATTAAAAAGGGGGAATGGGGATTATTTCTTGGGGATTTTAATGAGGAAATTGTATGCAGGGCTAAAAGCGTGGTCACACACATTTATTTTATTATCGTTATAGTTTAACGTTGATAGTAGAGGCTGTGTTTCCTGGTGCGCTCGCTACTCTTTACACCATCTTGGTCCATAGCTCATGTTTAGAAACTTCTGTGAGTATCATTAGGCCTGACATCACAGCTCAACGGTACTCACAGAGGACGCAGTACGGGGTGGTGGTTTTCCGGAGCAATAGCTCACAGCTCATTGCCGCGATCTGAGAGCCAACCAGATCCTCGTATGAGGTAGGTTACCTAATATGAGGATTCTGGTTGGCTCTCAGATAAAGATAACTCGGGTAACGATCTGGGAAAGTTCGCGATTGGCGGCCACTCTAAACTAATGGTGTGCCCAGTGTGGCCATTATATTATAAACTTGGAGATCTCTGTTGCAACTCCTAGTGGCCCTGGGCTTCAAGTATTTTAAACATATCATTGTTGTTGAGAGATGACGTGGTCACTGGTCATATGTCATTTGTCAGTGGTCAGTGGTCACTGGTCATATGATTCACGTACTCTCGACACGAACTTCTGTACGTGTCGAACTAAAGTCCAGGTACCGTACTCTAGTTCGACATAGTCGAAGTTTAGGACTTGTTGAACTATCCGTCTTACCAATCCTTATTCCTTGCTTTTACAGAACTATAATCTTAGCCAACGATCTACTGCAAATCTTATGTTTTCTCTCAGTATCTATACCAGCATCCTGTATATTATGTGATTTAGTCCCCCTGTCTTATGCCAGAGGGAGCTGTAACAATTTAGTTCAGTGTAAGCACGAAACGGCTTTAATGTCTACATAGCTGGTACTTGTTATTCTGACTTGCCATCCATTCTTTGGGAAAGGTCCGCCCTAATGTCATAGGATGGGTATACGACAGTACGGGGTGGTGTTAAAGGCCAATTCAGCGCAGCTTTCAGCGCAATCACATGACACTCATATCACTAGTCATCATTTTACGGGGCCATAACTCACGATCTGAGAGCCGACCAGGATCTTCATAGACAAGAATCGGGGAAAGCTCACGATTTGCAGCTACTCTATGCTCTGTTTTTCATAGATTTCTCCGCCATCCTAGACATCTTTTAAACCTATCATTGTTGTTGTCGAAGAGACAGATGGTCATTGGTAATGGCTAATGTCACTGGCCTTGTCACTGGTCACTGGCCAAATAACTCTTTAACGAACAGACTTGACAATAACGCGAAGCAAGTGGCGAGTATCAGCTGCTCTAAGTTATCTGTCAGTATCAATACCGCGACCGGTATTTTGTTTATCCTGTGACTTATTCCTCCTGTCTGATTCCAGAAGGAGCTGTCTGTAGTTAACCTTAAGGTAGAACGACCATCTTGCGATCTTTGATTCATAATTGTCGTCGGTCATTTTGGTATTCGTGCCATCTTTCAACTTAACCAATGAAGATATAATTCTCCCCATATCGTTTCAATCAATGAAACATTGTTATCATTAGAAAAAAAAAGAAGTTTCAAAATTGTTTAATTTAACCGTCTATGGCCATTCATTTCTTAACTTCCTACCCAGTAAAACCAAACATCACTAATGATATGAAAGGGAGGGGGCCGGGGGGCGGGGGGGGGGGGGGGGGGGGGCCAAGGGGAGGGGCCGGGGGACCGAGGGGGGAGGGGTCGAGGGGGAGGGGCCGAGGGGGGAGGGGCCGAGGGGGGAGGGGCCGATGGGGAGGGGCCGAGGGGGGAGGGGTCGAGGGGAGGGGCCGAGGGGGGAGGGGCCGTGGGGGGAGGGGCCGAGGGGGAGGGGTCGAGGGGGGAGGGGCCGAGGGGGAGGGGCCGAGGAGAGGGGCCGAGGGGGGAGGGGCCGATGGGGAGGGGCCGAGGGGGGAGGGGTCGAGGGGGGAGGGGCCGAGGGGAGGGGCCGAGGGGAGGGGCCGAGGGGGGAGGGGGAGGGGGCAAGAACGGAAAAATAAACCCTCCCAAAAGTCAGTACTCACATGAGAGTGTGGTTGTTGACTTGGTACCACTGAGCGTAAAGGAGCCGTTGTGAAGAGTGGTTCTCTAGATGGTATCTAGACACTATCCTCACTGTTGTGGTGTTAGAGAACAGACCCGCTCCCACTGAACACTCGTAACTTAGGTCGTACACCTGCAGTCATGGTTCTTATCACTTCCGTGTTTGGAAATAAGTATTTACTCAGTAATGTTGGTAGTGCCATTAGGTGTGCCCAACGAAGTAAAGGGATTATTTTGCAAATTGATATTATCAGGAACAACAGATTTGTTCATTAGATTAAGTTTTAAGGGCTAGCAAAATTGAAGCAGCCAAGTTAATGGTGCGAAATCTTCAAGACCAACATGACATGAATATAAGTAGATGACTTACTTTGTCAGGCCGCATTTGCCCCTGGGCACACTTGAGAGAGACCAGCCCCAGAGGCTTAGCAAGGTCGATACCAGCACTCCAGTGAGGTCTTACCTGGATAGAGTGAGTATTTGAATGTTAAAAAACAAAATTAATAGTTAAAAAACTAAACTAAAAAAACTAAATTAATAGTTATCTCATACAGATTGGTATAAAAATTCGGCAATTAAGTCGTTAAATCCTAGTCTTCTAATTAGTTCAATACAGGCCAAGGCGAATAAATAAAAGATATAGTGATCAAATGAGATATAGACTGAAAAACAGGTCGTGATACCTTGCGATACTGCTTGCCAATGCGTATGCTCAAGCTTTGAGGCTGTGTCTCATTGCTGTAATCAAACATAAGGGGATGAAGACTTCTCGCAGCCTCGTGAGCTTCATACTGACATGCTGCACCCTCTCCTGAGCTGAGGGAGATTGGGTTATGGTACCCAATATTATGGTAAAAGAGCATCTTTTATCATCCTTCAAATGATATAAACCGAATAACCAAAAGGCATGGTAAAACATGAATGGCTTACTTCTGTTGAGAGAATACGAGAGGGTAGACAGTAAGGTTGACCACCACAAACTTCACATACAGCACAATCTTCCAGCAGAACTTGCTGACTATCTCACATCTCACGTGTATGGGCAACTTCCTATCCTTCTCATCGCTTGTCATGAAGGTTTTACGGGAAGTTGAAGTGCCGAGATAAGGGAACTGGAGCTTGTAGAACTGGGGGAAACCGTCTAGTTGGAATGCGCAGAAGATGTCTGTAGAGGGGTTTATGTCGTAGAATGAGAGGGATTTGGAGTGCTGGATCACACCACCTGCAAGGCAGTGTGTTAATTTTTTTGGTTTTTGAGGGGGTGCAATGAATTTCAGTTTTAATCTTTCGTTGGAGATATCTAACGGTCTAGATAATCGGCTGGGAAGTAAAATGGCCCAAATATAACGAGTTTGGAAGAAGTTTTTGTGCTTTGATCCAATCAGTTGTTTGAATTTTAATTCTTATCTGCTGTAGATAAGCGATGTAAACAAGTTCGACTATGTGATGTTATCTATACTTCTACTGGTACTGACTCTCTGCTTACTGACTACCAATGCCAATAAAGGTTAGTACCCATTATTATTATAGTTGTTAACAGTTCTTACTTTACAACAGTGATATCCAATACAAGGAGGTGTCACAACAAAAACATTTACTCTCAAATTAGCTGCACGTTTAGATTAGTTACTTGATTACAACTAATATTATACATTTATCACATGCCTTCTCATGCGATATCAAAACTTTCGCCCACGAGGCTTGCCGAGTTAGCGAAAGTTTCGATATTTCCCGAGGCTTGCCGAGGGTTATATCGACATTTTCAATCACGAGGCTTGCGATATCAACATTTTCAAAACTCGGCAAGCCTCGTGATTGAAAATGTCGATATAACCCTCGGCAAGCCTCGGGAAATATCGAAACTTTCGCTAACTCGGCAAGCCTCGTGGGCGAAAGTTTTGATATCGCATGAGAAGGCATGTGATTAATGTTTTATCACACTTTCTTTGGAGCCAAATTTGGCCGGGAAAGCAGAATTTGATCAAACGTTAGTTATTATGTATGTATATGTATATGTATAGTTCTCGATGAGTTAGTATTTCAGATATCGAAGATACAATACGTACAATTAGGATCTCACGTGCTCACATGTTTATGACACAGTGAATGCTGTATGCCGCGCTGAATTTGCTTTGTACTGCTACCTAGTGCATGCAATATTAATGTGTTTTCCGCCTATGGGTCTTGTACTTATGAGTCTAGAATATTCCGCGGCGAGCGCATTTGATACGTAATTTCATCCTGCAAATCAATTGATGTGAGGTGATTCTAATACTTTATTTCTATTAGATACTTTTAGAGTCATTAAAACTGTAGATGCAGTATAATGTATAGAACATCCGTTTAAGTGTTGATTATACATCACAGTCCTTATCGTATAATCTGTATCTGCGATAAGGTGAAAGAATTTCCTGGTTGTTAAATTTGAATAAAGCTGTGGCGCCATGATTGTCTATTTATCAGTCCACATTATACACTGCATACCCTAATTTACACCAACAATATTATCGTCCGTCTTGATTCTTGATTGTCTGTTATTTCAGAATGATTTAATCAATGCAACTTGTGATCGTTGACTTAGAATTTTATCAAGTATTCTGCTTAGTTCTTAGTCAGTATACATCTTTACTTGCCATTATTTGCCATTATTTGGAGCCAAACTTGGCCTGGAAAGCAGAATTTGATCAAACGTTAGTTATAAATCTCACCAAAGCAAAACTAGACATGTCGAACTTATTTATGTTTATAATGTCCAAGCTATATATAGCTCTCGATAAGTTAGTATTTCAGATATTGAAGATACAATACGTGAAATTAGAATCTCGCGTTTCACATTTATGACACAGTGAATGCTGTGTGCCGCGCTGAATTTGCTTTGTACTGCTACCTAGTGCATGCAATATTAATGTGTTTTCCGCCTATGGGTCTTGTACTTATGAGTCTAGAATATTCCGCGGCGAGCGCGTTTGATACGTAATTTCATCCTGCAAATCAATTGATGTGAGGTGATTCTAATACTTTATTTCTATTAGATATTTTTAGAGTCATTAAAACTATAGATGCAATATTATGTATAGAACATCCGTTTAAGTGTTGATTATACATCACAGTTCTTATCGTATAATCTGTATCTACGATGAGGTGAAAGAATTTCCTAGTTCTTGTATTTGAATAGAGCTGTGGGGTCATAATTAGTGTCTATTTATCAGTCCACATTATACACTACACTCCCTAATTTACATCAACAATATTATCGTCCGTCTTGATTCTTGATTGTCTGTTATTTCAGAATGATTTAATCAATGCAACTTGTAATCGTTGACTTAGAATTTTATCAAGTATTCTGCTTAGTTCTTAGTCAGTATTCATCTTTACTTGCCATTATTTGCCATTATCTGCTTCGAGCTAGAAATTATCTGAACTGGAAATTATCAGAACATTTGTAATATTCAAATGTATCTCTTCAACATTTTAGAACGCAGTACTCCATCAGCCTATAACCACCCTGGTCATGGCCAGGTAGTTCACCCGTACTGTTACCAATATTGAATTGGTCTAATGAATGGCAGCACATTAATCATCTGACCTGTTTGCGCCAGTGCCCAGACTAATTTATAACCAGATTAGCTGATTAAGTCACGTCATTCGTCCCTTGATATATTTATATAAATAATATATTTTATAGGATGTTTTTATTGCACTTATTTGCACTAACTAAAATTCAGTTAAAACTAGTCCTGGGATAGAATTTCCGCTCTTTACTGTACAGAATCTACATATAAGTCTCTTTATCAGTCTGTTTATAGATCAGCTACGAATTTCGCAAGCTGATCTAGGCGTAACCGGTTTGGAAAAGCCAAGTATAATTTCTGCACAATTTCTATATGGAATATGGCTCAAAGAAGGGATCAGAGGGGGTTAAAATTGAGGTCTGAAATGGTTGAAATCTGGCTTTGTTTTGTGTGTTTTCTTCGTTCGAATTAATCAAACATCGTCTAGTGTTTGCTATTTTTTGTGAGGGTGACTGTAGTTTGTTCTGACACTTCCTTTTTTATTTCAAGTAAGCGATTAAGGAAATTAATGAGCCTGATTGATTGTATCGCTGACAATTACCAAAACTTTGTGCAACTTTCAAGTCTGCTTGTAAACTTTGATCTCGTTTTCAGTAACCTTAAGTCGCTTGGAACTCATACAAACCAGGAAGTTTTTACTTTGTTTCATCATCCGAAGCCTAATTAGGTTTTGAACTATGAAGTGCAGTAAAAAACAACAGCTTGAAAAAGTTTTACAACAAAAAATTGTATTTTGCTTAACACATCTCAAACGCAAGGAAATGTTTTTAAAACAAGGTATAAATATATATTTTTCCTGATTCTGGAAAGATTATCTGATCATTGCATTTACGGTCATAGACTACTTCAGGTTATTGATTTAAATCTTAATTTAAATCAGTACCTCACAGTAGTAGAACAGTTGTTGAGAGTGAGTTCCTTGTTCCTATGGGAATATCGGACTCTCTCTGAGCAACTTATTGATATTTCATGACCCAGGGTGAGAGCCAGTGCTCCCCATCGGGGCATGTAATATCAATTCTGATCTCTGCCTTATTAGGCTAAGAAGTACAATAGAAAGTCAACATTGGGAGGAAGTTTTACAAGGAAAGTTTTTATTTCGCTTGACGCATCTGAAACGCAAGGAAATATTTTAAGTTTTAGTATAAGAATACATTTTGCCAACATTAACAAATTCTCTCCGACCATTGCATTTAAGGTCGTAGACTACTTCAGGTTATTGATTTAAATCATTATTTAAATCAGTACCTTACAGTAGTAGATCAGTTGCTGAGAGCGGGCTCCTCGTTTCTATGGAGCACTCTCTGAGCAACTTATTGATATTTCATGCCCCAGGGTGAGAGCCAGTGCTCCCCATCGGGGCATGTAATATCAATTCTGCTTTCCTGCCAAATTTGGCTCGAAAGTGTGATAATTTAAGTTTTAGTATAAGAATACATTTTGCCAACATTAACAAAATCTCTCCGACCATTGCATTTAAGGTCGTAGACCACTTCAGGTTATTGATTTAAATCATTATTTAAATCAGTACCTTACAGTAGTAGATCAGTTGCTGAGAGCGGGCTCCTCATTTCTATGGAGCACTCTCTGAGCAACTTATTGATATTTCATGCCCCAGGGTGAGAGCCAGTGCTCCCCATCAGGGCATGTAATATCAATTCTGCTTTCCTGCCAAATTTGGCTCGAAAGTGTGATAATATTAGTTATTAATTATCATAACACTTAATAGGGAAAGTGACCCTGATAGCTACTTGTGACGATGTCCTGGAAGTGTATCTTGATGGAGTTCAACATGAACAACAAGACGGTACCCTTAGAATTTGGTATCGATCGACAGCGTTCCAGACATCAGAAGCATTGAGGGTGATAGCATTGAAAGGCAGTGACCCAGGTCTTAATAATTATGGTATATTAGCATCACTACAGAACGAGGAAGGAGAGACAATCTTCGTGACAGACACTAACTGGAAATGCTCATCGGTCGAGGAAGAAGGATGGGAGCTGCCAGGATTTCAAGATAGTTCAGATAACTGGCAGATTGCTTTTAAGATAGCTGACCACGGTGCCAATCGCTTTGGTCAAATAGCTGCAATATCAAGTGATGCAGACTGGATCTGGGCAGTCGGAGGTACAGCAGGTTCCACAGTTTACTGTCGCGGAGTAGTAAGACCAGGTCAGAAAATACATTTTAGTGGGAGCTGGGATCGTTCTGTTGACTTTTGTTCTGTTGACTGTAGTGAAATGTATCAAGTTGTACACATTGACAACCGGTGCGGTGGGAAATATTGTTTAAATGTAATTTATTTATTGGCAAAATTCATGAAAAACTTCAGTCTAGTACAGAATTATATTGACATAAACTAGCGTATAAACTATAATGTAGATAATTTATGTATCATAATCTCAGAATGCACCACTCTCGACTCAACATGGGGAAACGTTCAGACTGAGCCAGTACTGCCAGTTGACCTCGATATAGAGATAAAGTTCACTTGTCTATCAGACCATATCCACAAGGGTGCCAGCGAGGGAATCTGTCAGAGATTTGTTGTAGTCCCGACTAACGGACCTCCACCTCAGTGCTCTTCAATAGGTAAGTTACACAACTTTACAAACTTATGGTGCCGAGTTTAATTCTGGGGAAGTCTCCAATCAATCAATTCAATCATAAATCTATTCAATACAACAAACTGAAAACTGTCGGAGTTGAGACACAGTTAATAAACTGCGGAGTGACTAAAATGCAGTACGGTAAATTGGGGTACGGTAAATTGGAGTATGGTAAATTGGGGAATGGTAAATTGGGGAATGGTAAATTGGAGCTTTTCGGTAAATTGGAGTACGGTAAATTGGGGTACGGTAAATCTTTTACTGTATTACTACCTTACCTAGATATTATATATTTTCCCTGTATGAACTTGAAAAAGGTGTAAAATACAGCGAACTGTGCACGATATAAAGAAATCTCTTCTTTCTCACAGTACGATATTACAGAAGTAAGTAGCTGTAATATATTTCGCTTCATTATGTTATGATAGTCATTACTATTACAAATAGTTAATAATCTGAAAATTAAATATTTTTTAGATTACTGGGTAAGTTATGTTAAAATTTTAACGCTAGATATAATATTTAATGTCAATAAATGAAGTTGAAAAGTGACAGGGTTTAGAATTAACACGTGACCAAGTTTAATCTAAATCTGGGTTTCAGGTGTGATACAACTGTAAGCTGGTCCGTAAAGAACCACGTAGATTTTAGAAGCACAGCAAGGTCGCAAGGAATAATAATATCCGCTGAGTTCGCCGGGTAAGGCACATTACCAACAGCAAAATACACAAGTTGTTTTATAATATTACTACTTTGCAGTCTTTGCTATTACTATACAGTTATCACGATTGCCTATAATACGAAATGATTGAATTGCCTGACCAATCCAATTCTAACAGGACTACTTTTTTCAGAAGATCTAAGAAAGGTTCAGTTTAAAGGCCTACACATGACCCTGGTGGTGGAGATAGCCGCTGTAGCTGTTCTCATCAGTGGACAGTCTTCAGATTCCACCTAACATCGCTAAAAGTAGCACACAGAGCCCCCCCCCCCCCCACAGAGCTCCCCTCCCCCCACAGAGCCCCCTCCCCCCACAGAGCTCCCCTCCCCCCACAGAGCCCCCCCCCCACAGAGCTCCCCTCCCCCCACAGAGCCCCTCCCCCCACAGAGCCCCCCTCCCCCCACAGAGCTCCCCTCCCCCCCACAGAGCCCCCCCCCACAGAGCCCCCCCCCCCCCCCCCCCACAGAGCCACCCTCCCCCCACAGAGCCCCCCCCCCCCACAGAGCCACCCTCCCCCCACAGAGCCCCCCCCACAGAGCCCCCTCCCCCACAGAGCCCCCCCCCCACAGAGCCCCCTCCCCCCACAGAGCTCCCCTCCCCCACAGAGCTCCCCTCCCCCCACAGAGCTCCCCTCCCGCCACAGAGCTCCCCCCCCCCCCCCACAGAGCCCCCTCCCCCCACAGAGCCCCCCTCCCCCCACAGAGTCCCCCTCCCCCCACAGAGCCCCCTCCCCCCACAGAGCCCCCCTCCCCCCACAGAGCTCCCCTCCCCCCACAGAGCCCCCTCCCCCACAGAGCCCCCCCCCCACAGAGCCCCCTCCCCCCACAGAGCTCCCCTCCCCCACAGAGCTCCCCTCCCCCCACAGAGCTCCCCTCCCGCCACATAGCCCCTCCCCCCACAGAGCCCCCCCCCCCCCCCCCACAGAGTCCCCCTCCCCCACAGAGTCCCCCCTCCCCCCACAGAGTCCCCCTCCCCCCACAGAGCCCCCTCCCCCCACAGAGCCCCCCCCCACCCCCCCCCCCCCCCCCACAGAGCCCCCCCCCCCCCCCCACAGAGCCCCTCCCCCCACAGAGCCCCCCCCCCCCCACAGAGTCCTACCTGGACCACACATCTGATACTCAGTCAGCAGCTGACTAAGAAAGACTCTAAGAAAAGAACTTTAAACTTGAAGTATGGTCCTGAGCACAGCATTATTTTGTATATCCTGGATTGTGGACAGTACGTCATAAGATTTAACAAAGTATTCTGAATTGTTGGTTGTTTGATTTCGATTTCACAGAATTTGTTGCAAATGATATATACAAAATTGATCGACTTTTGATTTTATTTTTCTCATAAAATATGGTACCTTGGAGGTTCTTCATGGACGGTCGACGGACATTATTAGAGTACTGACAAATAGAGTCGTGCATAACTGTTTCTACTTGCAATAAAGTCCGTCCTAGTAGGGCCTTGAAAGTATTAGGGCTTAATTTGTTTTACTACTTACGTCCCTGAGTTATTGTTTTAAAGGTATATTGTGTTGTATTTGATATTTAAATTATTCGGTTTATTCAGTATTTTATGAGAACTGATATTACGTGTCTCATTTCAACCAAGAATGAAATAAATTTCAAGGTATGTTCTTATCTCAGATTAATAAAAAAACAAAAAGCGCACAGAGACTCAAACGTTAAAGACGGATCTGTTTCATCAGGCTATAAGCATAAGCACCCGACTTTCATGAACAGTTTCACTAATTTAAAAACAAATATGGATAAGGCGCAACTATGTAGTACTAGTAACTTGCGTAAACACACGAATGTGATAAAATAAGATCCACCTCGTTAAAATCATTAACGGGTGATACTCGTAAAATAGGATGTTTTAATAGTTCGCCCGAGGATGTCACATCTTGTTTTTAGTGTGGAGTCTATGTGGATTTAATTAGATAGATTAGTTCTGCATTTGGTCGTTTCATCATTTCTAATCGAAATATTTTCCAAAAATAAGATTCACCTCGTTTCTCAGTGTCTCCAGCGAGTAGCTTGTAAGTGAGCTCGACAGGGAGACTGTTACAGAGCCGGACCGGGGTTTCAAGAGAGATCACATGACCTGGAAGGTAGTCCCCCTTCGGGTAGTTGCCTCGCTCTATCACTGCTACTATGTACAGCTTGTCACCCTGGAATTCAGGTGGGTTAAAAGCCCATAGGCTGGCTGTAAACTATGACCTTCTCTACGCGGATAAAGTCTAAAGACGGTTAAATTGGGATGTAACTGATCTGAATAAGCTGAGTCACTGCTCGTGTGTTACTCACTGATATGTTGGCGAATGAACACTCGTAAAGGTCGTTCATTGTAAGGGAGGTTCTCCATTTCAAACTTCTCGAGTACATGTACCCCATAGCATGGGGACGAATCCTAAAAATACAGTAAAATAAGATAATCAACGTTATAGTTTATTTTAAAAGTTACAGGGAAACAAATTATTTTAAAACCGTAACTTCACATTTCACGATGATTTCACCTGATCATCCAGTCGACCTTGTCAACAGGAATATGACACTCGTCCCCCGCAGAGAGAAGAGGGAGGAGCTGAGAGGGAGTGGAAGCAGAGGTGGGGTTCTCTAACAACACCTCCACAGGAAGATCTGTCCTGTTCTTCAGTGAGAGTCCCGAGTGAACCGTGATACACTTCCTAGCACCCTCCTCTAGGATGAGATCGTATACAATCCTGATAGAGTTGATCTGGTCCCCACCGTACCTGGCGCCTGTAAACCGGGGGTCTCTGAAGAAGCGACCAACTTTGTCTACTGAAATGTTGGTCATCTCCTCCCAGTTCCCCACAGAAACTCTCAGCGATCTGAACAAGAATTGCACTTTATTGATATTAAATTGTACTTTAAATTAGAAGGACAATTATTAATAAGTCCAGGAAATCGAATACCGAATTGAAAAGCTTGAAAAATGAAAACTGTTCATGATATAAAGGCTAAGCCTTAAATACAGTCTATAATCCTGATATTGCCACTCACCGGCTCTGGAGAGCGTTAGAGACCTTGTGTCGCTGTAACCTTCTGCCACCCTCCTGGAATGCGAACATGGCCTCGTCTCCGTGCCTCACAGACACCCACTCCGACAACACACATCGGGGACGAACAGAGGAGAAGGGGTTGGGGTCGTTCAGTGGATGTGTTCTCGTCTCTCGTGCAAACCTGAAGAGACAAGGGTCTGGCTTATCTTGGAGTGAACAGATTTATTGCAGAATAATAAATAGTGCTTGCTTGACTTAGGCGGATTATTGTATCCATTGTACCCAACTACGTGAAACTTAGGTCCATCGTAACGGTCATAAAAATCACAATTATTTTTGGTTCTGTGATGTTTCCGAAGAAAACTAACCGTAACTCGTGCCCAGTCTGGTTTCTGATCAGGAAGGGTATGAAAGGTTTGCGGACCACTTTACGGTCCACACTGACTTGTCGGGTCAGCACAGGTTTCAGTCTCTCCACTGTGGTTAGAGCTAGCTTGTAGAACGAGTGTGTTAGGTTCAGGTTCAGGGCAGACGCGGCGTCCATCTGTCCGGGGAGTGGGTTAGTTCAAACACACTTTTAAGTAAATATATTCCACCTTAACTTGAAAATTTCAATAAAACCATTAAGGTAAGTTTGATTGATGTTCAAAATTTCTTTTATAACAAATTGCAAGTTAGCGTACTTTAATAGTTGAGTATTGAGGAGTGGAGACGTAATGTAAGTCCACTTTCCAGGGTTCAACTAGCGGCTCCCACCCGGAAACGTACCTGAAATTAATACATTATAGTTATTCCATTATGTGGAGCTTGATAATTGAAATTTATAATGCTCCTCACTTCCTATTATGTTGCAAACAAGCAAGATAAATGGTGCTACTTAAAATTAAGAACATCACCCCTGCCTAGATCTCCTAGTGAATGGAAGAATCTTACGAGTTGTAGTAGTCGACACCAAGCGTATTGGAGAGAGAGGAGACGTCCTTCATATCGTACCACATATGTAGTCCTGCTAGCAGTACTCTGAGGAGAGGGATGTCTCTGTCACCGTAGTCGTCTATCACACACAGAGACACTGAGTTACACTTCACCTGGGGGCGGGGTTGGTTACTGTGGTTACTGTGGTTACTGTGGTTACTGTTAGAACTTTTCGCAGAATTAGTTAAACATTTGTGTTGGTTGGTAGCCGTTGCGCGCATAATTCGTGAATTAGGAATACCGTGCAAAGAATTCCAACTCCAGGTCACCTTGCCTATTATTCACGAGATTTAGAAATCATAAACTGAAAGTTGAGAAGCCACTTAGCAGCTAGTTGCGATCATATACCGACTGCCAATATTCTATCCGCGACCTAGAGGCCTGTAATAGTAGAATACTCACTTCAACTCCTACAAGGTTAACCTTGTTGTCGGGGGTATCTGAAGACTCTTCACTTGTTTCTATGGCAACCTCATCAATCGTAACCATATGGTCTGATGGTACATCTGGAGGATACACGTAGTTACAATAACATAAACCCGCCACGCAAAGGGTTTATATAACAGATCATCCCGCGCTAGCGGGATGATCTGATAAACACATACGAGTGCGCGCAGCGCACGAGTTTTGTGTTAATATGTAATCCCGAAGCGCCAGCTGAGGGATTACATTTATTTAGCCCTGAGCGTGAAGTGTTTATGGATTATAATTATCTCCGGCGATTTCGACAAGGGATTTATACTTTAGAAGAGAGTGAACAGGAATTTGGTCAAAGTCATTGAAGTCACGAGCAAATCTGGATGACTGAAGCCAAGAATTAAATTTGTTTAGAGCCCAGTTGTTGACTCTAACTGTACTGTCCGGAACACGATTGGAAAGCAGTTCATCAATCTGAATGTCAAACCGATATAGTGGAGAGCAATAGCTTGAACGTTAGCAGGAACAAGAGCTGGAAGGAGAGCAAGCAAAACAATACTATTTTTAGGGCACGGACAAGGGTAGCTGGCTAGTCGCCAACTTCTCACGCCACGCGTTGGAGAAATTCCAAGAATTAGCTGCTTTGGCAACGTTCCCAGGAATTTGCGTGTAAAAGAAGTGGACGGTTACGATGTTTCATATCACGTGGTGCGCTTTCGTGTCACGTGGTATAGACTCGGCGTATGCTATTGGTGGCACGTGGTACGCACTTGACGCGCCCACGTGATCGCGCGTCTAACTGTTCTACTATTATCGAGTTCTAATCAGCAGTATCATTGATTATTGTAAGTCGGAGAATTGAATGATAAACATCAGTTACGACTAAAAAGCGGGCCGGGTTTATACAAATTTCCGGGGCGGGATGATATCACCTTAAGATGTTTATCTAACAGCGGGCCGGGCTGAGTGATAATATGATCCCGCGTCGAAATCCCGGAGATATTTATACTATTGCTACTACAAGATCAATACAGATAACGAGAATAATCAAATCTTGCGTGTAGAAGTAAACTATAACATTTATAACCTAAATTAAATAAAACTGCCCCAGCACACCGATCCAGGAAAGCACTGTGTTATTTATAAATAATTATTATGTAAGTATACTGTTATCATCTTAATACAATAACAACTCCGTTACCGGTGAGCGGGGTATCCAGATCAGTGGCAATAACCACAGCAGTGTGTAGTTGTCTCTTAACAGACTCCACAATGTTGTAGAAGAGCAGAGCGTCCTGGTAACTTAGTTTCGTGTTCAGATCCTCTAACTGAAGCTCCAGCGCTGACGACTGAGGAGGGGTAGTGAGGAGGGGCTGGGAGTGAGGGGTAGTGAGGGACGGTGAGTGAGAACAATTTGGGAATTTTTGTTCATTTATAATGCATTTTTGTCGGTATCTGTTTAACTGAATTCTAAAGCAAGAAAGTAATCTAAAATAGTATATTTCAAAAGGGCAAATGTTAAGCCCTATGAGATTGGTCACAGTTAATTCTCATATTGCCAGGGCTCCTCTCTTTTACCTGTGTAGACTCCAGCAGGGCCCCACTCCTCAGACTCCTGCTGCTGCCCAGATCGTGTCTCAGCTCCACAGACATGGCCCCCACATCTACTATAGACAGGGCTGTGTCAGGACTTCCGCAGGTGCAGGAGAACATCTGAATGAGGAGGTGGATTTGAGGGGTACGGTAGAAAAAGGGTAGGAGAAATCAAAAATGTAATAGAGTTTAACGAAGGTGTGAGCCCCTGAAAAGACGCAAGTTAACACACCTGAACATCCTCGAAAGTGACGCTAAGTTTAGGTCGGGTATAGAACTGTTGTCGGAGGACGATGACGGTTGTCAGCTGCAGGACCACAGCCTGACTGTCCGGTTGGGAGCACGATTCCGGGAGAACTGGAAAACAACAGTGTCAAGACTCGGCAGTTGTCACGTGATAACGGTGTCAGGATAATAAAGAACAAAGCTTTAGCACGATCCAAAATGTTTCAGAAGTGATACCTTGAGAATTAATATAATTTACAATAAACCCACCTAGCTCGGTGCTGATAACAGACACGTTGATATCAAAGTCTCTCTTATCCACCTCCTTGACAGGAGCAGGAGCCACAGGGGGGAGCCCTGATATGTGCTCCTTAAGGAGCCTCTCGGGAGAACTAACATCGCTCGTAATGAACACCTTGACTAGGGTCAGGAAGTCCATTACTCCGTGTACTTTTACCTTGTTCAAAACGAAACTCCAGTGTTTCTTCTCTGGGGTGTTCCGCATGTTTACCTGTAATAGGAAGGTGTACAATAATAATTGGGGGCAGCAAAGTTGTACAGGTAATTAATACTGGTAATTAATACTGGTAAAATTCTGGTTTAAACTCGGCAATAAACTGGTTAGTAACCAGTTTAGTAAGGCCAGTAAGAGTAGACAAAAAGCCTGTTAAGAGCCGGTCATGGTTACCATGGTTACCATGGTTACCATGGTTACCATGGTAAGAGTCATGGTTACCTCTACTTGAAGAGACTCTGGTTGAAAGCTGTCCCGGTGAGTAACAACAAGAGGAAAAGAGTTGCCACTAGCCGGTCGTGTGTCTTGTACAGTTAACAGTCTGGAGGTTAGCTTCACTACACTGTGCTTGTTGGAGTATGTCTGGAATGCCAGCACTGATGTTGTCAGGTCGAACCTGGGGTTATTAGCAGGGTTTTATCTGAGTTCTCATGTTGTTTGCTGATGCTTTTACAAATTAAAATTTTAAAATAGAATAAAAAGGGAAATATCCAAATTTGGTCTCGATAACAAATCAGGCAATTTGTTAATTGCTTGATAAAGACAATCCTGATATTCCTAAATTAAGTATCTACCGATAACTTACTTGGCAAGTGAGTGATCGGTCTTCCTGTGAAGCAGCTCAATACTAACATTGTCTAATTTAATAGCAATGTCTACATCTAACCAACATCTTGTTCCGTCCAGATCCAATCTGAGATAGTGAGATTAAGTTGTGGGTTGAAGTTACTTATTAACCGGAAAAATGTATGAAAGAATTATTTTAATTGTAACAAAGTAAGAGATCCTTTAAATAGTTGGTATAAGATAGCAATATTACTTAAATAGTTGGTATAAGATAGCAATATTACTTGTGTACGTTTACTGTATCCGTGATGTGTTCACGTGATATAACGAACTCTCCGATATCTTCTGACAGATTGTAGCTCAGAAAACCTTTAACTTTAGCCAGGTCAGATTCGGTGATCCTGAAAATGTTTGCTAATGTTTTGGGACGGACATTTGTAGCTGACGAGGATATTTGCAACTTATCTCCAATCGTAATTAAGCAACCACATCTTACTGAACAACATTGACAGGTCACAGGTAGTTTGAACTTCTAAATTAGAGGTGTTTGGAACCCAGATCCCTGGCTCCTTGCCAAGGTGCACCCAGTGAGTGTTGTCGGCGAATGGACTTAATTGTTGTTAATTGTAATACTGTATGTGCCTGTTAAAGACACATAATTTGTCTAACCAGGGCCACAACACAAACCAGGCACCTAGATCAATGTCCAGATTCTCATGTATATTTTATACATGAACATTGTGACAGAGGTCATGGTTCCTTGGCCCTACCAAGAGGCCCTACCACGAGGCCATGGTTATTTAAGGATTAAAACAATGGGGTCGCAGCATGAAATTAAGAGGTAGCAACACCACGACCTTTAGGAGATATTGGGCTTTCTAAAGCTGCACAGTAAACCGTTGACATGTTCGTTTAGGTGTTTCACAACTACAGGTCCTTTATGAGAGGTCCTTAAACCGGTCAAGTTTTATTTATATCATTCACGTTTTAAATCACAGATGCTGCGATTTGTAGCGATAATATCTAATTGTTCATGCTTCAATCGTTTATAAGAGTTTGTGAACAATGAGCATACAGCCATATTATTCAAGTGTAATATCCGGATTGGAACATTGTTTAAAGTTTATTAGTTGCATTATTGTGATGTTTCTGATGGAAATTTCTGATGATTCCGTGTATTGCGACAAATGAAAGACGCTCTTTTTATTTTATTTACCTACTTACCTACTTACCTAATTACCAAATTACCAAATTACCAAATTACTTACCTAATACCAGTAGTGCTGAGTTCCCCTCGAACACACAAGTTAGGTGAACTGTGGTTGAAGGAACTGTCCAAGTTCCGCCTCACTTCCAGGGTCAGCAAACACTTCTCGTTCAGTAGTGAGGTCACGTGTTTAATCTCACTGCTATCCCACACTCCTGATACCACGTCCATGTCACTGTGAGTGGAGAGTGTTAACGATTGCAGAGTGAAACTCCCATTATAAATTATAACATACAGTTGTGATAATTAGAATTTGGAAATTAAAATGAAATAGATGATATTTAAGCTGTGATTAAAAGTGAGAATCATTGGTGTAAGTCGTAGGACCATGAGGGGGGATAGGGGGAAATCCCCCAGATATTTTCTAGGGGGATTAGTATACATTCCCCCTCCCTGGATTTACCTCAAAATTACCTCAAATGATCAGTCATGATCCCAATTAGCGATTCGAAGTACATATTTGGTTTTACAAACAATCGACCCTCGTGTTTACTTGCTAATGACCCAGCTACAACAACATTTTCCAACGAGCTGATTGGCTGATACCATGATCTCATGCAAGTAAAATGTACTGTTTTGTTTAATAAACAGTTCACCTAACATTGTGTAATCAGTTCCTGTCTCTGGTTGTTTTGACTATTGAAATGCCTCCTATCACCAGCTCTTTTATGAAAAGTAAAACAATCCCGTTCGATTAGCAATGAACCAGTTTGTGTAGTTGATATGCCAAAAAAACCACGAATATGGCCAGGTAGCGCAGTTGGTTAGAACGCGTGTCTTACAATCGTTAGGTTGCGAGTTCGAAACCCACTGACTGCCTGGTCGTGGGGTGAGCGTCGTCGACGTTCAGCTAAGGATCATGAGTGGTCTATGCAGCCCCCCGGTCTACTCAGCCGAATACTCGAGAAATCGGGTGTGAGGGTTAAATGAGGAGCTGCACATTGCAGCAAAGTCTCGGACGAAGAAAGTATGGTACACACTACCTTAACCGTCACTGGCCAAAAAGATCCTTCGGCTTCCTGTAATTGGCTGGTTGCACTTGTGTAACATTGTGGCTGTTGGAATACACCGAAGTAAAATAAGTGTCTAGATAAAAAAAAAAAAAAAAAATGAACAGCCAATTCCCCAGTTTTGATAGAGAGTTTAGGTACAGTAATTGTTGTATCTTAATTGGCATAGTTTTAACAACACTAAAATAGAACTCAAAGTTGTTTCTGAGACTAAATTTTGGAATAACGAAACAATTTAGACTGTCGAAAGACGATGTGTCGCGCTTGGTTCAATGAATTTAAAAAATTTGTCCCCCCTGGTTACCTGAGCTTGATATCCAGGCAGTCAAGAAGACATGGCTTACTGTTTCTTTCTCTTCCAGATTCTACAGTACTGGCTAGTGTTTCTTCTGTTGTTGCAAACCTATTTACATAGTATTAGAAATTTGCTCCTCGCATTGTTCACGAGAAGACAATACAAGGAGCTGTGAGTAAATCTTCAATTCAAGTCTTACATAACAAACACCACATAACATCACATAACACCACAAAACACCACATAACACCACATAGCACCACATAACACCACATAACATCACATAACACCACATTACATCACATAACACCACATAACACCACATAACACCACAAAACACCACATAACACCACATATCACCACATAACACCACATAACACCACACAACATCACATAACACCACATAACACCACATAACACCACATAACACTACATAACACCACATAACACCACATAACACCACATAACATCACATAACACCACATTACATCACATAACACCACATACCATCACATTACACCACATAACACCACATAACATCACATAACACTACATAACATCACATAACACCACATAACACCACATAACACCACATAACACCACATAACATCACATAACATCACATAACACCACATAGCACCACATAACATCACATAGCACCACATTACACCACATAACATTACATAACACCACATAACACCACATAGCACCACATAACACCACATAACACCACATAACACCACATAACACCACATAACACCACATAACACCACATGGCACCACATAACACCACATAACACCACATAACACCACACACCTGAATGAGTTGGAGACAGCGATGTTGCCGGGATACCCGACCAGCACGTGGGCGCTGGAAGGTGTAACCGGTACTACCACTACCGGGCTGCTCATCTGGATGTCTAGCAGGATCCTGTGACCATGCTTAGGGACCACTGCTTGGTATGTTCCTGTTATCACTGCTGTTCTGTTTACCTGGTGGGTTTATCAGTGTTGTTACGTGATCACAACGAGATATTGACATATCCATTAAAACTCGTTCAATGTGACAGGAAATGAAGGTAGTTTTTTATAGGTTTTAAAAAAAAACTCAACAAAGTTAGTTGTCAGCTCAGTAGATTCAACAATATATCACCTGTAAAGAAGTGTCCAGGACAATATATCACCTGTAAAGAAGTGTCCAGGACGCTATATATCACCTGTAAAGAAGTGTCCAGGACGCTATATATCACCTGTAAAGAAGTGTCCAGGACGCTATATATCACCTGTAAAGAAGTGTCCAGGACGCTATATATCACCTGTAAAGAAGTGTCCAGGACGCTATATATCACCTGTAAAGAAGTGTCCAGGACGCTACATATCACCTGTAAAGAAGTGTCCAGGACGCTATATATCACCTGTAAAGAAGTGTCCAGGACGCTATATATCACCTGTAAAGAAGTGTCCAGGACGCTATATATCACCTGTAAAGAAGTGTCCAGGACGCTATATATCACCTGTAAAGAAGTGTCCAGGACGCTATATATCACCTGTAAAGAAGTGTCCAGGACGCTATATATCACCTGTAAAGAAGTGTCCAGGACGCTATATATCACCTGTAAAGAAGTGTCCAGGACGCTATATATCACCTGTAAAGAAGTGTCCAGGACGCTATATATCACCTGTAAAGAAGTGTCCAGGACGCTATATATCACCTGTAAAGAAGTGTCCAGGACAATATATCACCTGTAAAGAAGTGTCCAGGACAATATATCACCTGTAAAGAAGTGTCCAGGACGATTCAACAATATATCACCTGTAAAGAAGTGTCCAGGACGATGAAACAATATATCACCTGTAAAGAAGTGTCCAGGACGATGAAACAATATATCACCTGTAAAGAAGTGTCCAGGACGATTCAACAATATATCACCTGTAAAGAAGTGTCCAGGACGATTCAACAATATATCACCTGTAAAGAAGTGTCCAGGACGATGAAACAATATATCACCTGTAAAGAAGTGTCCAGGACGATGAAACAATATATCACCTGTAAAGAAGTGTCCAGGACGCTATATATCACCTGTAAAGAAGTGTCCAGGACGACAATATATCACCTGTAAAGAAGTGTCCAGGACGCTATATATCACCTGTAAAGAAGTGTCCAGGACGCTATATATCACCTGTAAAGAAGTGTCCAGGACGCTATATATCACCTGTAAAGAAGTGTCCAGGACGCTATATATCACCTGTAAAGAAGTGTCCAGGACGCTATATTAGTGCTTTTCATGCAACAAGTAAAACAAATCCTTTATGTCATGTTTCCAGGGTTTGGACTGGAATTGCCTGCTTAAAGAACCTCCATCGCATTACATTACATAATTTTCTGAAACATATATTACATTTACAATAAATTATGCAATATCACAACATTACAATCAACAAAATAAATTTAATCGCAGAATCTCAAATGCAAATAATCGTAAATTAAACACAAAAAACAAATTAAACATGCAATAAATGAATATACGAATGCGCATCTTTTGTCAACTTACTCCTTCATAAAATTAATTTTTGACAAAAAAATTTTTTAGACGGTAAAATAATGGTTACTAATTTATAAGTCACAAATAATAAATCAATACAAATTAATCACAAATACTAGAATAATTAATAGATATTAGGTAACTAATATAACTGAAAAACAATATATGTCGATACAAATTACAAAATAATATTAGGTGATTGAAACATTTCAATAAATTCATCATAAATATCACTACCATATTTACCCCAAATATTTAATCTTGATTTATAAAACTTGACAAACTTGTTGCGCAAAGCAGCTAACTTAAATCCTTGCGCAACCAATTTACCTAAAAGTTCGGTAACACAATTTTTGAAACCCTTCAGTGTCGAATTAATTCTGGCTAATCGTACTAATTGAGAAATAAATATTCCATAAGACAAATTATTTGGAACGTTTCCATCCAAAAAAGGATAAGATATAACTTTAAAATTATAATCTTTTCTTTTATCATATAACGTCACTCTAAACTTTCCTTGATAAATACTAATGTTTAAGTCTAGATAGCAACATTTACGAGCCGAAATATTAGTATTATTTACTATCATTTCCTTAGGATAAATATCTTCTAATACATTCTGTAATAAATTGAAATCATTAAAAACTATCAAATCATCTTGATAACGAAATGTGTCTTTTAATCTTTTTAGATTTTCTGTATCCCCTTGTTCTATCAAAAGTTTAATATATTTATATTCGTAAACATGTAAATAAACATTAGCTATTTGTGGTGCTGCATTGGTACCCATTGGTATTCCAATAACTTGTCTATAAATTTGACCCTGATAAGTAACATAAGAATTATCAATCAAATAATTAAGACATTCCAAAAGTGTATCTTTAGAAAAATGAACTTTATTTTTACTAACATTATCAGAGAAATAGGCCTTCTTAGTATAAAGATTAGGAATAATATAAGACTTATCTTTAAAATCAAATACTCTTTCTACAAACATACGAAGATTATCCTTCAATTGAATATGAGGAATAGATGTATATAAAGTTGAAAAATCATAAGTACTGACAGACTTTAAACCTTTCTGGGTATTATCATAACTAAGAAAATCTAAGATAGGCTCATTATTATCAATAACAAAATAATCATTTCTAACGTGAAATTTATTATCATATATAGATTTATTTTTAGCTGAGTGAAGCATAGATTTAATACAAATGCTAAGATAGACTGATAATTGTTGTAAACTACTTCCACTACCAGACGTTATATATCTAACTCCAACTGGCTTTTTATGCTGTTTTGGTGTAATATATAAATAAGGTAATTTGCTATTATCTTCATCAAATTTAATACGATGTTTAAGTAAGAATGCTTTATGCTCATTAATTATATCATCTTCTGAACGATTAACTTTATATCACCTGTAAAGAAGTGTCCAGGACGCTATATATCACCTGTAAAGAAGTGTCCAGGACGCTATATATCACCTGTAAAGAAGTGTCCAGGACAATATATCACCTGTAAAGAAGTGTCCAGGACAATATATCACCTGTAAAGAAGTGTCCAGGACGATTCAACAATATATCACCTGTAAAGAAGTGTCCAGGACGATGAAACAATATATCACCTGTAAAGAAGTGTCCAGGACGATGAAACAATATATCACCCGTAAAGAAGTGTCCAGGACGATTCAACAATATATCACCTGTAAAGAAGTGTCCAGGACGATGAAACAATATATCACCTGTAAAGAAGTGTCCAGGACGATGAAACAATATATCACCTGTAAAGAAGTGTCCAGGACGATGAAACAATATATATCACCTGTAAAGAAGTGTCCAGGACGCTATATATCACCTGTAAAGAAGTGTCCAGGACGACAATATATCACCTGTAAAGAAGTGTCCAGGACGCTATATATCACCTGTAAAGAAGTGTCCAGGACGCTATATATCACCTGTAAAGAAGTGTCCAGGACGCTATATATCACCTGTAAAGAAGTGTCCAGGACAATATATCACCTGTAAAGAAGTGTCCAGGACGCTATATATCACCTGTAAAGAAGTGTCCAGGACGCTATATATCACCTGTAAAGAAGTGTCCAGGACGCTATATATCACCTGTAAAGAAGTGTCCAGGACGCTATATATCACCTGTAAAGAAGTGTCCAGGACGCTATATATCACCTGTAAAGAAGTGTCCAGGACGCTATATATCACCTGTAAAGAAGTGTCCAGGACGCTATATATCACCTGTAAAGAAGTGTCCAGGACGCTATATATCACCTGTAAAGAAGTGTCCAGGACGCTATATATCACCTGTAAAGAAGTGTCCAGGACGATGAAATGGTCCAGAAAAGCGAGAGTTTCAGCCAGGAACCGCTTAGTGTGCACGTAACGTATAGCACTCATGTGGAGGAGAAGTGAACTGTCGTACCCTCGTGCTAACTCACCATCCTCTATCTTGTACTTTTTGAAGTCGAACTGAGATGTTGGGAAGGTTTAAATTAACAGAGATTACTGCCTCCTTCGTCACGTGCATTATCGAATGATAAGACAGACAATTAGCTCAATATCTTCTTGTCTGACCCTGAACTTACCTGTAGGACCTCGTTTCCCAGGACAATGAATTTGTCTTTGTAGAGACCAGCAGATGGACTGAGATCCTTCACAGCTAGCCCTGACATCCTCCCCTGACATTCAACCTGTATATACAGGGCGTTTAGAAATCATTGTAGCTTAATTTAAATAATTCCATAATCAGGGTCAAAACTATTTATTACCGGCTAAATAAGTGAAAAGTAGTGGTAGGTGATGACCAGGAGAAAGAGAAAGAGAAAGTCAAAGAGTAGTTACCTGATTAGAGTCGAGAGTAAGTTTAAGAGCGATACCCTCGATTAGGCAGACAGCTAGAGGGTACTCTCGTTTATTGAGGGTAATATTCAGTTCCTTCATTGTAACACAAACTGTCGTCTGACTTTGCTTCTCCTCCTCTATTGACGAGTCCTGGGATATTTCTTGCTATTAATCCGGGTAATTAATGAAGATCCTCCGGAGAAATCAGCCACATTTATTCTAAAGTTATTGACTGCACAGACTAAACATGTAAAAATGAATATAATCATAAATTTAACAAAGTTAAATGATAAAGTTAACAAAAGTCAAGCAGATTTAGAGAGTAACGCCTTGCTTACATCCAGGTCGCTGACTCTGTTAGGGTCACTCATATCATTCAGAAAGTCGGTAACAGCTTGAGAACCTCGAATCACTTTTTCGTTGACAGTAGGTGAAAGGGTCATGAAGTCTAGCAGCATGACCCAAGTCTGCAGGTTCACTGTAACGTCAACGCAGTTCAGATCAACTACCACACATTTGCCGTCCGTACCTCCCTACGGATAGGTATGCACTTTTACATTATCAGTTTAGTGTGATTCAGTGCTAACTGCTAGAGTGTTTAAAATAGCATTCAACACAAGTCCCCAGATTAAGTATAAGGATATATTGTGGTATATTCGTTAAAGTATATGAACTGTGTCAAAATTTCAACGGCTTAATTATTTGTAGTTCAATTAATTCTAAGCTTTTCAGTTTTGTTGTCGCAGCTCGGTAACAAATGCGAGCGGTGTTTAATAGATATAAGAGGTACCTCTTCTTCTGCAACGTTATCTGCTATTCGTATACTGACAAGAGCTTTCATATCGCTCTCTTTTTTGTAGGGTGACATTTGCGGACTCTCGCCTGGGGGTGGTAACACATTCTTAGTGAATAAGTAAATAAAGTATGAAAATTGAAATGGTATCTCTTAAGGAGTTATGACTAATCGAAACATAGTCTCCCTTTTTACAGGATAGAATATGGACAATGTCATTATTTTCTCATCCTTTGTTTGTGAATGACCCACAAACAAACAACCACAGAATTCGGGTATGCCTGGAATGCACCAATTATATCTAAAAGTATAATAATAGAATAAAGTTGTTAAGTGGCAAGGCTGTCAACCACGATGATGCTCCCTTATATTGAGTTGCTTCGAAATATCGTTTGGTCAAAGGATCAGATTTCTTTTCTCTTTGTCATTCTTGATTTCTGCTTTTACTTGTTTTATTTCTGTATAATCAAAACTTGGCAAGGTTTTATCATGTTGATAGATGACTTCTGTGAGTCGTTTGATAAATTTTACAGATGCATCATATTCATACTGGGCTCAGTCTTCCGTAACACATTCTTAGAATGTAAAGAGAAGTATGATCAACATGGTATCGTGACAGTAGCTCGTTTTTATTGCATTCTTAGGTTTGGGTCGTATTGATCACATTGTACTTCACCTTGCCTCATCTTAGAGACCAGAGACTTTTCTAAATTGTTAATAATTATAGATATATCCCATAGGCATCTATGATCAAAGCAAGCGCAGCTCAGCATGCGGCGGCGAAACGGTAGTGCGCGCTATGCTGACAATAATTTGAAGCCAACATTTTAATGACAAAATGTCAGCGCGCGTACCTGAGCATACATTTTTTAGTGTGACCGCATGATTATGTGGGAAATTCACGGACCAAAACAAACCTTTAAAATAACGTTTTTACCCCGGAAACATCCCAAATATAAATGCAAGATCCTTCCGGTCACCAGTCAGCGTTTTGTGTAAGGTTTTAAAGCGAGCAGTAATAAAGTATCAGTAATAAAAGTATCAATATTTAACTGTAACTGGGTTTTAATTAAACTTTGAGAGAGAAAATTAGTAGCTAAAAGGACGCATGATTTAATGAGGAGAGTTAAAATTTGGGGACCAATGATTGAGGTTATTGCCCTAACCGTTAGGGCTGACATTTAACAGTCCAGTTTTATTGCGAAGCCTGAGCTGAACTCTACCATAGTTTATTTTCATTTGATGTCAAAAATTGGACAATAGTTTAAATGTTATATAAATAACTGATCTCCATACCGCTCTCCTGTGTGTAATGTAGGCTGTGATGTGATTGGCAGCTTGTTACAGCTTGTTAGTGTACGGCTAGCATGATCCTGTCCTCAAATAGTCAATCACGTATCGATGGATCAGATCTCAATGGATCAAATCAGCATTATATTAGGACTGTAGGAGCAACGTCACAAGATTACACGTGAGCTTGTGAAATACGAACGTGATCCGAAATTGCAAATGTGATCCGAAAGTTGGACAGATGTCGCCAAAAACGACTCCTATCTGACAGCGACTCTTGTCCGAAACCGGTAATTCGACTGTCGGACAGATGTCACCCAATCAAATCTGTGGTAGTTAATACAATGTGAATCATAATAAAATGTATCGTTCATTTCGTCTAAATATAATGAATCAATCTATTGGCAATCATGTTCAACATGATAGTCATAACATCATAATTTATACAACAACATAACGGATTACTAATATCGGGTTGCACCAAGCACCCACAACAAAATGAGAAGTTTGTATCGCATGAAGTTAACGAAAGCTTAAACGACAAATATCAATGCGAATCAAAATGTATAATAGCGAAAAGAGATATACATGCGCGACGTACACGATTTATTAGCTCGATTCTTGGTATAGAGTACACCTTGACATAAAAGCATTGTAAAATGCGCGCGCGACCATCAAGTGATAATTTGTAAAGGAGCACGTGTTTGCGGAGGTTAATGCATGTTTTGCTTTGTGACACGACGAAAAACCTATACCCACTATACCCATTCTCAAATCCTACCACTTCTAACCATCTATTGCCTTTTTAGGCGATGGAAAAAATTACGTTTTTACTCCGGAAACATCACAAATATAAATGCAAGATCCTTCCGGTCACCAGTCAGCGTTTTGTGTACGGATTAAAAGCGAGCAGTAATAAAGTATCAGTAATAAAGTATCAATATTTCAACTGTAACTGGGTTTGAATTAAAACTTTGAGAGAGAAACTAAGTAGCTAAAAGGACGCACTGATACTAATGAGAGACGTTAAAATTTGGGACCAATGATGAGGTTATGCCCTAACCGTTAGGGCTGACATTTAAAAGTCCAGTTTTATGCCGCAAGATTAAGTGAATAAAATTGGATTCGAAATTATTTTCTCGCCAATCATCTTGAGACATATTAACCAAACGAAACACCAAGATTAAATAGGTCATACTCACTATGTCTTCGTTTAGAAGGTGTACTAAACAGCAGGTTGCTGGTAGTAGAGATACTGGCAGGTAATCTGGCTCTGTGTCTACTTTTAAAGAGGTATTTTGCAGGAGAGTCTGGTGGTTGTAACATGTCCACAATGTTCAGCTTGTGTAGGGTGATGTAAAGGTCTTTAATTTCTCCTACCCTGTAAAATGTGAAGTTTAATGAGTTGGTTGAGTGAGATATCGCTAAACAACTATTGAGGTTTTCTGTAATCATCTTCATTAAAAATTCACTTTAATTGAGCCAATTCGTGGTTTTCTGAAAATCTTGAATAGAAGTTTAAAACAAGAATTTCGCCGCGGTTAAACCACGCACGATCAATTTTCCCTACGATGTACTTGTACCATTAACTCATTGATTCTTTGGAGTGAAAAGTGTGACTGGAAAAAAGTGCACCATATTTACATACTATGTTTTTTATAAATGAGTGGGATTCGTGCATGGCAAAAATTGACGATTTATTTGACCAACGCAGCGCCGCGCATCAACAATAAATGAATCCAGAAAATTGCGGAAAATAACTTTGCGAAGGAGGAATTTCACTGTAATTAATTAACACATGGCTAGCGTCGCGCGCAGCATAACAGACGCTTCCTATACACATAATTATAGGGGAGTGGTCTATATTGCGAAGGAGCAGACTTTTGTCATCATCGCAGGTCCATCGGGCCACCTCATATGTCCAAACCCGATTACTTATTCCCTACGATCTTTTTGCCTTCGGCAAGAGTAGGGAAAAAAATTAACAATAAATAAGTAATCTTCGGTTATGGGTATGAAATAATCATAGCTATTAACAATCTCCCTTAACTTTGAAGTATAGTTAATAGCTCTTTAGTAATTAGTAATGCACAATCACCGTGTAAATATATCATAACTTATTATTCACACTGTATCACATTATCGGGAACCGACAAAAATCCGGTTCAGTCGGATCCAGTCGGGCATGGTTTGGTATTTGGCCTATTTGGAGACCTTGTAGCTCTAAGGAACTGGTTACATGACGGGTAAAACCAGATACTTAACTTCACGCCCTGACTACTAAGCTACTGCTACTACGACAAGGTCAAAACTAAGTCCTATTAAAACCAGTTACTTAACTTCACGCCCTGACTACTACTACTACTACGACAAGGTCAAAACTAAGTCCTATTAAAACCAGTTACTTAACTTCACGCCCTGACTACTACTACTACTACGACAAGGTCAAAACTAAGTCCTATTAAAACCAGTTACTTAACTTCACGCCCTGACTACTACTACTACTACGACAAGGTCAAAACTAAGTCCTATTAAAACCAGTTACTTAACTTCACGCCCTCACTACTACTACTACGACAAGGTCAAACTAAGTCCTATTACGCCAGATAACCCCCTCCGGCCTCCATATATTATCTCTGTCCCGCATCAGGGTTCACAGTTCCTCTTTAGAGTTTGTCCCAACTTCCTTCAGTATTCAGTAACGTATACAAATAGCTTTTTTTCGGTCGGCCTAGCTGTGCTCTACCATGCAAAGCTTCCCATAAGACTATTTCACTGACCAGTAGCTCAGTATGTCTGATGCAGAGTCCCGCCATTTTTTCATCTGCTGCTTTGTAACTGGTTTGACAGTAAACTACCATAAACTAACAATTGGGTCGGAGATCAGCTAAACACTGATCAATTGTCTCGATTAGTTCTCATTAATATGTACATGGTTGAACAGCATGAGATAAGTGGGAACAAACGGACGAATGAACTAAGTCCATTCGTCCGTTTGTTCCCACTTATCTCATGCTGTTGAAACCTTGTTAGTTGAAGTCCAATTATTGGACTTCAACTAACAAGGTTTCAATTTTTCAGATACATTTTATAACTTTTGTTAGCTATCCTCTTATTTTTTGTTTGCTTTGGTTTTAACAAATCAGCCTCACCAGTTTCAGAATGAACTTTGTGTGCTATGTCCTTATTACTGATGCTGCAAGTATAATTCATAGTGACTACTCACGATCCATTTTGGGGCTTTCAATTTTAGAGGTGTTAAATGAGGCTTCAGGTATCACATCACACATGGTGTAACATTTACATGATTCGCAGTGCGTTTTCAATAATTTCATAGTGTAATTTAATTATTTTATGTATTCTGGGTAAAATTATCTTTATCCCGGTTGTTGCGACAAGTAAAAATGCTCTTATTAGGGAAAGGAGATTACTCGACGTTTCAATGTAACTACATCGTATTCATGATCTCAAATTATTTGTTATATAGTAGTGTTGAAAGTATTTTAATACTAAAATACTGGGTAAAAGATAATTTTACCCAGAATACATTACAACAATGCGACTCATAAATAATACTCCAATCCGGATTTTACATTAATTATTTTACTTTATTCTCCTTTCTAAAGAATTATTAAGTGTTTATTTAGACCGATTGTATTGCACCTCGACAATTACCTTCATCACTACTTTATCAACTACAGAGGTTAACAGTTTTACCGGTCATACATCCGGATTCCGGATCCCGACGGCACTGTCGCGGCACTCTCGTGGCACTGTCGCGGCACTGTCGCGGCACTGTCGCGGCACTATGGCGGCACTATGATACGTCACCAGATCAGGATTGTAGATCACAAAGTCACAAGGTTCCGACCAGGAGGTGACCGGGATTGGCAATTTTGAGCTATCCCGGTCCCGGTCCCGGTCCCGGTCAAATGCTGATTTATTTATTTATGATCCCGGTCCCGGTCCCGGTCCGGTTAATTCGGGATTCTTGGTCCCGGTCCCGGTCCCGGTCCCGGTCCCGGTCAATCACTCAAATTTGCCGGGATTTTGACCGGGATCTTTTACATAATTTCATTCACTGCGATTTTAAGTTTTTCCTTTCATTCATTGTGAATTTCATCTTTAACCATCCTCTGAGCCAAATACAACAATGTTTAAAATTGCTAAACAAGTTTGAGTAATAAATTATGATCATGAATTAACCAGTAATCGACCGGAATTCCCGGTACCGGGACCCGGTACCGGGATTGGCAATTTTGAGCTATCCCAGTCCCGGTCCCGGTCCCGGTCAAGTCACATTTTTCATCCCGGTCTCGGTAAATTGATAATCTCTTTGAATCTCAGTCCCGGTCCCGGTCCCGGTCAAGTCACATTTTGTATCCCGGTCCCGGTCACGGTCAGGCCTGAAATCATGTCCCAGTCACCTCCTGGTTCCGACAAGGCTAGTAAATAAAGGGTCATACTTTTATGACACCGTGGTTATTGTGAAAAGATAATAATGAAGGTATAATGATTGTCTTATGACTTATGCTTTTGAACGAACATTGATCGAAAGTTGGCACTATGCCGCCAGAGTGCCGCCAGAGTGCCACCAGAGTGCCACCAGAGTGCCACCAGAGTGCCGCCAGAGTGCCACCAGAGTGCCACCAGAGTGCCACCAGAGTGCCACCAGAGTGCCGCGACAGTGCCATCGGGATACGGATGTATGACCGTTTTACCAACTTTTGTGTTGACGTTATTATTCGCCCTCTTTGTCGTTTTTACTCTGTTGGACTCTCTAGTTTTCTTAAGGATAGGGGCGGTAGTTAAGTGTGTCCCATATCCTATCACCTTACCTAATCGTCCGATATACAGGGTAGTCATTTACTCTGGGCCATATTTATATATATTCTGAAGTTTATATTCTATGCATTACACGATTGTTAAGTTTTAGACAACAAATAACTCACAAGGTTAATGTGTATTACACTGCGTAAAGCTACAATTATCCTCATGGAAGGTTTTACAATAAGGGTAGGATGACAGGGGATGGTTGAGTTGGCCATGAGTATAATGGAGGCATTCAATATTGTAACTGTAAATCATTGTAACACATTATGTGTATAAGCTAAAACTCCCGCTAACTGTAATATCATCTAATTATATCTTAACTATAATACATCATGACTAAAGTGAGTAAATTGTTTTATTGTTTGCATTGAAATGTTTGCATTGTCTACGCGTTTAACACGGATATGTTTAACGTTCCATGTAAAACTGCCCCGGTAGTGACTTACCCGATTTCCACTATTTCATCATTTCCTGTTCTACTGTAATAGATAAAAGACGGTAGAGCAGATTTTATTACTCACGAGCTGTTGTAGTTCCAATTTACATTAATTGACAATGCACATTTTGTTAGTGTGCCTGCTAGTCAATAAACCCATGACCTATTGGCAATCGTCCAATTAGAGCAATGACAGATACATATTATACTGATAACGTATTTCTTACTAGGCTTACTAGATATTATCTTTTGCTTTTGTGTATATTAAATTTGGCAGTTCTATTTTGAAAACTGATAACCCATTTGCTTAACGTCAATAATATCAGATATCAGTTTTTTGACACATATTCTTTCTTGAAATTCATGATAAATATTATTCATTTTGAATATTTAAAGCTGTTGGATTACCCGTTCTTCTAGCAGGTGCAAATAAGACATGAAGAACGTGTAAGCAAGTAACTTATAATTTAAGGCCTCAATTATGTTGAGGCCTTAAGGTCATAATATGTTGCAGCCAGCCAGACGTGATAAGCACTCAATATTGGTATTTGATACATACACAGTACACTGTATAGTGTCTATTATACACACCACCAGAGATTACATAACAGCATTACTCTTTTAACATATTTTCAATCTCTAAATTTGTTTGTACCCAGTTTTTACCAAGCTGCCATGACAGCTTTGACACAATATCTAAAAGTGTTGTAAAAAGTAACAATAGGGCAGTACGCTCATTAGTACAGGAACAGAGAAAGCTTTTGCTTTGGGCCACTTTTTACCACTTTTTCCGCCTTTTTTGTTTGTAGAATATCTTAGGTTGTGAACATCGTCGAACGCTGTGAATGTTTATCGTATCAATGAGAAAAACTTTTCCCGTCAGATAATCAGTCAATTGGATAATTACGTAATTAGCTAATTACCAAAAATGTAAATAATTTTATTGGCTCATAGTGACCGAAATTGAGGAGAAAAGTAGTTTCTAGAAAAACATTTTGCAGGAAATTTGGTAGAATTATTATTGTTATTTGACAATATTTGGTTTGATCGAGGACACCAATGTGCAGATATAATCCGGCAGTAATTAATATTCCGTTAATTTCAACGACCTGTAACAAAATAAAGAAGGCAAAAGAAGGGCCGGTCATTATTTAATTGATATTGCCTGCATATGCAGAAAAAAATGTTACAAGATAACTCATCCGCAATCCGCATTTAATTTAATTGTGATGAAGGAGCACTAAGAGATTAAGAGCAGCACATACGAACTTTTGACTATGGAATTTAATCAAAAGTTCGTAAGTGATCTGCTAATCAGACTGCAACACTGTTTTCTGTAACTCAACGACTACAGGCCATAAAACTCGTGTTTTGAAAGTTATCCTCTGTACTTGTATCACTGACCCACGCTTTTTTGCATATTATATGTATTTCAGCCCATTTTTTATTATGTTTGTTTTGATTTGCTGTACATATTTATATTATGCTATTTTATATTATAATTTTGTAATTTCATGATACATATCATGTTTAATGTTTAACCATTCCGATATATTATATTATATTATGTGAAACTCTCCGAAAGAAACTCGTTGCTTCATCATCAATTACTAAATTACAAATTACTAAATTACAAGTTCAATATCGTACTTGGTCCACGAGACAGTGAAGTCCTCGAACTTTATCTGGGCTAAGTTTGGAGTAGAGGTATCCAGCAAGTCTCCTTGTAGTTGTATCAGTACTACTGGCAGCACAAAGTCGGACTTTATCTCTGAAACAGTGAAATAGTGAAATGGTGTTAGTCGTTAGAGGTGAAATGGTGTTAGTGAAATGGTGTTAGTGAAATGGTGTTAGTGAAATGGTGTTAGTGAAATGGTGTTAGTGAAATGGTGTTAGTGAAATGGTGTTAGAGGTTCGTACAAAGACGAGCTGAGCTGCTGTTTATTTGGTATTTTATCGTGAATAAAATAACCGAAATTATGCTTAGCTTAGGCTAGGTTTGACAAAAAACTACCGAACTTTTCGCCAAATTATTCCATAATGTTTACCAAATGCTCATTCAGGATGGTAAAACTATTACATACACATCAGAAAGCTGAACAAAGACCCGATTGTGTTTTAAAAGTTTTGGAAGTTCCAAAAGACACCCTCAGACTAATACAAAATAAGACCTCTAAACTGGGAGTAGAAAACAGTATGAGATCAGAAAAAGATTTAGCTGCAAAACTGATGAATTCAGAGGACGTTTGGGCGAGGGAAACACATAATGTAACGGTTTTTAGTGACACATTCATAGTGACATGCCTGTTTCCTCTTACAGTCATTGGGGTTATGTTATTTACATTATTACTTTATTAGTGTTATGACTTATTTTTAATTTATGACATTATGACAGAGCTCCTATTATTTTATCAGATTTTTCAGTGTTTTTAAGATTTGAAAGTGGGGATGATCGTTGGAATGTTAATTTGCGGAGAATCGCAGAAAATTCTGTAAAAGAAGGGATTTAAATTTAGTATTAATCTTCTTATGTTTTGTACAGTTATTTGAAGTAAATTAAATTCCATGTTTCATATATGGGTAGAGTACAGTTACATGGCGTATTGATCAATGATCATTGACCATAGATTACATATTTGGTTTTCCTGCTTCAACAGATTACAAATGTGTTACCTAGCGTTATGAGCGGAAGATTCGTATTCATTTTAAAATTTGAAGAACCAGAATCTATAAATTTTGTTATACAGTATACAGTGTTTAAATACAGTATTTAATACAGTATACACATTACACAGTTATCTCTGGGCACAGTATCTGGATAGTATTTAAATTAATGGCAATTAATTAAATCTCGATTAATTTTATTACTGCTCAGCGTTTTCATATTACAAAGGCAATTATGAGATAGGAGCAGGCACAATTATCTAGATAGGCATAATGGAACAGCGAGCGTGCCAACCGAATATCAGGTGAGGCTTACCACGTGACAAATCTGCAAAGCACGTGGTAAAGAACGCAGCTTGCACGTGACAGGTTGCTATCTTTACCTTACGCACGTGGGCTATGGATCGGGGTCACGTGTAACCCCAGAAGATGTACCACGTGGTGCACGTGCACGTGATCATACTAGTGGAGTAGAGCAGTGTGATGTCACGTGGTGGGGGGCACGTGGGCAGTAATAAATTAGATGTATTGTACAGTACGTAGCTATCATTAGGTTGTAAAATTGTACTGCTTCTGATGTCCTGTCATCAGAGTATTTTGTTATGTTTGATCTATCACTGTACCTTTCATTGTACCTTTTATACTTGCTTCAGCTACAACCAAACGTTTTGCCGCCCTGCTATTTTAATCAAATAACCAGTTCTTTCGTCTTATTTAATAGCTAAGTTCGAGACAGTATATAAGTATTATATAATATAGCATTGTCTACAGTGCTCTGTATGTGATGCCTGAAACCTCTTTGTCAACTTATATTTTAGTGTATAATCGGGCTCATCTAGTTCTAAATTTGAGTTTTAATCACGATATTAATTAACTTTAAACGCTGTTATTCTGAGACTATTTACATGAACTACGTTTAACATTTTTAAATCTGTATCAAACTTCATGACGTACGACAGTTGTTGGTACCTACCGCAGATAATGTGCACGGTTTTTCTCATTTAAAAACTTATAAAACTTTTGAAACTTTGATCAAGTTATGCCCGCTCTAGAGATAAACCACGCCTAATGTCGCACTTTGATAATTTTGTTACTATACCAGTAATCTATCCTGTAAATGTGAATTATTTGATAATCTACTTCCTTTAGCTTACAATAATCCTAGTTTATGTTGTCGTTCCCGCTTGATACTCTATAGTCTATACTGTAGTCTTACGTTATTGTATGTTACGAATTTCTTGGTATTATGGTATCGTTTTAGTTGTTTAAACTAAAATACAATCTAAAGTTTCCAATTAACAAGGCCTATAGAGAAACTAGCCTAATTTATAACAACTTAAATCATTCCATCCGCTCACAAGTTGTAGGACCATGGTAGATTGAACAAAAACTAAGAGATATGGGAAAAGACCAAGAAGCTCCCCCGACTTACGAAGAGGCGGTCCAGCCAGGGTCTGAACCGCACTCTGGCGCCGCCCTGCCGCACCCAGCCGCACTACACACCGCCCCGCCACCATCCTACGTGCCAGTAGAGGGCTACCCTGCTCCGCCAGAGAGTTACCAGCCGGGGGGATACAGTGGTTACACAACAACAGCAGGGTACCCAGCACAACCCTACCCAGCACAACCCTACCCAGTCCAAGTACAACTCTACCCTAGTCAGCAGTACCCAGGATCATGTCATCCAGTACAACTGCACTCTGCCTACAACGCAACCCCCTCAGTTACAGTTGTAGGAGCTCAGATAAGGAGGGGCCCTGATTACTCGGACAGTACTAGCGACTTAAGGAACGTGGGTAGGTTATAAGAGTTAGTTGGGGGTTTCAACCTCGTTCTGCTTCATTTTGCCTCATCCCAATTTTGCCATTTTTGGCTGCCCGAATGAGGCAGAATGAGGCAAATTTCAGCAATTTTATCTCATTCCCTAAACGTCCAAGAGACTTGAATGTTAGTTTAACATAACCGCAAAAGCCACATTTATATACAAGTCATAAAGCAACACAAGGTCTCCAGTGCTTTGTTTGAAATATATCGACAAAAAACTGTTTTTTGGCTCAGCGAGCCAAAAATAGCACTCGATTTTGGTAACTTGAGCTAGGAAGGCCGTAGGGAACTTATGAAGCAATATAAGCTCTTCAATGCTTATTTTTAGAGATATCGACTAAATTCAGTCATTTTGGCTGCACGCACAAGGAAAGGTATCAAATTAGGCAACTAGTTTGATATTTTTTGTGCTCAAATTATCAAGATGTGCTTTTCAGTTGCGAATAAAGTGTTCTCTTAATAAGTTACCCTCAAATTAAATATGGAGTTCCACCAAAAAAAGCACCGAGGGATTAAGGTGATAGGGGTTAAAGACCCTGAAATTACAGGCGATGGGTGAGACAATTGTTTGAATTTGGTCATAAAATCACTTTTTACTCTCATCATATTTGATCAGAGCTGCTGGAGACGAACAAGAAGAATAACCGGAATATGAGGTTAACACTTAAAATTGAATTTGGGGTAAAGTTAACCTCATATTTCAAGAACAAAGGCAAAATCAAAATCCTGAACATAACGTTTTTGCGTGACACCCCAAAAAACACATGTGCCAAGTTTCAGCTCTTGGTTGTGGCCAGTCTTTTTTTCAGTTTAAGTTAAAGTTTTACATGTAATAACAGGTAAACCTCAGTATTTGGCGCGCGATATCTCAAAAACATAAGGTCAGATTTCGGTCCGGTTTTTTTCTTCTTGTTCGTCTCCAGCAGCTTTGATCAAATATGCAAAAACTGGAAAAATAATTTTTACCCAATTATAGAATGCAGGAAGTATGGAAATGTAACATTTCTAACCAGCCCTACTCCCAGGAATACTATCCATGATAACCTGCCTATTCTGCTGCTGTCCATTTGGCACTATCGCCCTGTACAAGGTGTACCAGAGCAATGAGTACGCTAAGATAGGGGACAGACAGTTAGCGGATATATCCCTCCACTCTGCGAGGAAGTGGGCACTGCTGGGCATCATTATAGGCATTGCTACGTACATCATGTGGTCAGTAAGGAACATGCTGGGATAGACATACACCATAACATGCTGGGATAGACACCAGGATGCTGATGCGTGTTTTAACCAGGACTTGTTTTTAAAACGTTAAGATTCCAGAGCCACAGCTGAGTTGCTTCAATGCTCGCTCTCTGTTGAGAAGAAAAGCTGCACGATTCTGGGTGATCAATTGTTGTGAGAATACTTATGGGTGTGTACGATGATACCCAGGAACCAGATTTCCAATCAAAATGTCAGAATCATGTCATAAAGACGTACTAAATACAACATTGTTGCACTGGTAGTGGTACCGTGACCTAACAAGACATTTCAAACTTTATTTGAAAATGTAAATAGTTTGAGCTCTTAGATCTTTAGATAACAGGTTTGTGGTGCGGTGATGAAAGCTGAACAAGCTGCCGTCAAGAGTGAAATGAACCTACCTACTTTGATACGTCTGTTACAATATATTTGAGGAGTCCTCACTCTCCTCACGTCCAACAATGGCGTTTCTCTTGTCGCTAATATGTATAATATATATAATATCCATTATCCAAGTTTCCTATTTTCACTAGGATTTAAAGATTTAAATAACAATTGGTACAAAATTGTAAGATGCTGCTGTTTTTTATTTTACCTGCATTTGTTCTTCTGTTTTTTATTGTTTTATTGGATTAAACCCGAAATAGTGGTTTTTCTCGAATCGCACCATAAAGTCAAGTTTCAAACATTTTATTGCAAAATCAATCAACATTGCATCAATTGCATGTATGATATGTAAATTGCTGATCTGGAACAGAATTTGCAAAACCTATAAATTAAATAGGATTGTGGATTGATCACAGAATTATATTATCCATAATATACATATTTGGAAAACTAGAGTCATGACGACTCGACCGATAGCCATTAATACCTCAAAACTCACTGTTAATTCGCATTGTAGAATAATGACATTATAGCAACGAAAAAACAATTAATGCAGGTTTGGAAAGAATTGTCATATTTATCTTGTCGAATTTGAAAATTAGGATGTCGCATGTTGACCTTCTCGCGCCTTCTCTTCTATCCCGTCTACTCAATCTCACTAAATTACATATTCAAGTAGAAGAATCAGAAAGGTCGGGAATCACCGGGAAGCTTGAACAAATCTCTAGTCAGTACGAACGTGGCGTTTTGTGGCATCACTGCGTTTAAGGAAGACTTCTCTCAATCTAGACTAAGTTCAAGTTTACCTAAGTCAAGTGATGACGTTAGAGATGACGTCATTTTCATCGGTTAGATGGTTTTTTCAAGCCAACCAAATTCAATTCTTAAGTAATGTTTATTTCCAGTCAGGGCTGAATCTGTCTACTAATTATAACTTGAAGACGATTGGTTCTTTTAAAATTCTCCAATAAATCACCACTTTTACCCTTGTCTCAAGTCTCGAGAGAAGGGTTTCCTACAAGTGACTGATGTGTCTTGTGTCATGTGACATTGTCATCTTGAAATCAATATTACTATTAGGTTCGGAAATGTTATAACCAACGTGAATAATCAGCTTAGCTCATAAACATTTTGATGTCTCAAATCTTTTGAGTGGTGAAACCTAAAAGCTTAGTGAGCAACTTTATCAAAGAGCGTTTAAATATGTATTTTCCTGTTGTAAATTATAAATTCCCCGTTTAAAAGTCCACAAGTAAAGTTTAAGTTGTTTGTCTGTGAGTAAGAACACACATACCAGTACTCTGTTTAGAGACCGTAACTTTAACTACAGGTATGAGCTGAGGTTTAGAGAACGTACCTTTAACTACAGGTATGAGCTGAGGTTTAGAGTACATATACCTTTAACTACAGGTATGAGCTGAGGTTTAGAGAACGTACCTTTAACTACAGGTATGAGCTGAGGTTGAGAGCTGCTGTCTAGATCAGGTGGTACTGCGGAGGTAGTTCGGACTCGGTTTATTGGCGTTCTCAGGGAGGTCGCATACCTGGGTAAAATAAATATCTTTAAAGTTAAGTAACTTATTTAGGGAGCGGAGGTCGTGTATCTGGGTGAAAAATCTTAAAGTAACTCAGTATAAGAAATCCTCTTTAAACATTCAGACAATTATTTAATGTTTGTTGGAGTGTACCACTGTTTTTAATTTGTAATAATATAATGCTATACTAAGTTTTTGTTTAAGAAAACAAAACAAAACAGAATCAAAATTTAACATTTTTCAGGTTCTTACCGCATAGTTTCTAGTAACTGTTCGTAGAGCCGCTTGGAGAGGGTAACTTTGAGTCCTTGTGGTATCTTAGCGCTGATATTTGTTTGTACAACTGATAACTGCAAAGTTATTTGTATGACTGCAAAGTTATTTGTATGTGAAAGATGGGTCTAGCTACTCGAATTTTTTAGGGCGAATAATTTCAAATAAATTAAAATTAAAAGATTCCCGTCCCTGAGTTATCTACAAAACATGAGGATTCAAATAACGGGTAATAATGTAACTGATAGCGTGTTTGGTAACTGGTAAGTGGTAACCTTTAGAAAAGTCAGGCCCCGTTTTTATTTAAAATCTTAACGAAATGATGATCGTTCATCATCCAAAAGAAAAAAAAAATTAGGGATTGCAGGAAACTACTTGCAACCTCGACAAAATCCCCAAAATAATAAGCCCAAACCCTTATAAAAACACGACCTTAAATAGGTTTTTTAGTCAGAGCTAGCAAGCAGCAGAGAACGAAAAATTCTCCCACATAGCTGATAGATTCAACCAGGGTCTAGCAGCACGGAACATACATGTACCTACTTGTAATGTACCTACTTGTAATGTACCTACTTGTAATGTACCTACCTGGTTGCGGTGAAGGACTTGGCGCTGTTCTATACACACGTTAAAAGTAGTATCGTGTAAAATAGGCTTGTCATCTATACTCAAATCAGTAGCCGAGGTGGGCAGTTTGGCGGAGTAGATGTGAATGGTGTCTATATCCACACACACCTGAAATAAGTAGCCGTGAGACACGTGGTGTGACGTCATTACACGTGTTGTGACGTCATAACACGTGTTGTGATGTCATAACACGTGGTTTAATCTCATAACACGTGGTTTGATCTCATGAAAAGAGGTGTGACGTAAAATTTTGCCATTTTCCCGCATTAGGTATTTCAGTATTCTTGGTGTTTTTTACAATTTACAATCAATCGTTCGACGTATTAGAAAACATACAATATCCCAGTCAACTGAACGTTCGGTCGAAGCGAAAAAAGATTTCGGTTGAAAGATACTATCAGGGCTATTATAATAGGCTAGGGCCAGGGGGGGGGACCAAAAAACAACATATAATTGTAGGGGTTAAAGAAGTTTTTGTAGCGGAGGGGGGGGGGGGCGGATGGATCGGGAGTTACGCCACTGACACGTCTTGCTGTGGCGTCATATTTTATATGAATAAGTTCAATAATAATTTTTGCATAATAATTGCAATTTTCTTATTTTATTGTGGTTGAGGGAGGAAAATATAATATAGTAAAACCCCGATTTACCGCGAACCCCGATTTACTGCGACTGTTTCCTTTCCCCAAACTCCGTGATAAATGCGGGTTTTACAGCGTATAGCGGACAGCGTATACCGTTGTTCGCATTTAACTATTAACACGACAGAGCAAGGGAGCAAATGTTATCTTAGGAAGCGCTGGGGTGGTTATTGATAACAACGGCGGGATAGGGTGGGATAGAGTGGTACATTAACTTGGTTAGAGTGGTACATAGAGTGGTATATTAAGATGATAATAATGGCATCCATGAAAATGCTTTTTCGAACAGACACCAGGAATGCAGTTAACAGTAATTGGTACGCGCCATAACGACGAATAATGGTGCTTCGGCTATTTGAACTTGTGGAATGTACGTAGGTTCTCACACTCTCTCTCTCTCTCTCTCTCTCTCTCTCTCTCTCTCTCTCTCTCTCTCTCTCACTCTCAACCACCCCGCGGTTCTCCCCCTCTTCTCCCCCAGGCCTGCAGCCCTTCTGCTCTTGTTCTGAAGCCCTTTTCCTCACATTCTCCAACGCTTGCTCTATGATCAGACAGTACTCCACTATTTGCCCTAATTGTGGAGCTTTTGACAGTGTCTGCACCAGAGCGCAGCCCTCTAATAACAGGATCTGTTAATGGCTGGCGCAAGGCCGTTCAAAGTATAATACATACTGTTAATGGCTGGTGCAAGGCTGTTCAAAGTACCGAACATATTGATACTTTGTTATTACTGATAATTGATAAGGAGTATCAGGTCCAGCCAACAGGGCAAAGTTGTCTTTGTGTAATGTCTGGCCGACAAAATACAAATAGTAGAGTACGAGATATTTGGATAAGTAGATACTAATTTCACCTTCAGTGCTTAACTAGTTAATCGTTATCGCCACCACTTTCACTCTGTCAAAGTGACAACTCATTTTTTTCACTCTTTTTCCTGAAAGTTTCTCCGAATAACCTAGGAGCACAAAGTGTTCTCCTGGTTTGTTAAATAGCTAATACAGCTACAATAAGGGATTGCATAATGCATAATGAAGCAGGTTATGTGCGAAGTGTGATCCGAGACCGAGTTAGCTGTGTCATCAGTGCGAACTGATGCTTGTCGGTATTCAGTGCTGTAGTCGCCAAAGTGGACCGGGTGTCAAGTGATTCAGCCACACCAGCGGGTTTGTTAGTGAGTCTGTAGTTAACTAACAGTGGGGTTAAGTGGTTCTGTTAAGCTTGTGATTAGTGAGTATTGAGTCTGTATGAGCCAGCAGATCGCGTGATTTAATGCGGGAAATTTACAGTTAATTTATTGACTCAATGATTTAAAGATATTCTGGATTACCGTACGGCAATTGTACGATAAGAAGCTGTAACCCCTCTTTTAGCTCTTCAAGCAGCTGAATACATACAGTACCTATTAAACCTAATTTTGTTGTAAGTTTTCTACTTGACATTTTATTACGATGTTAACGGGTAAGTTATATCAGCGAATCTGGTCTCTTTCCGAATTATAATAATAGCGGTGGTAACAGAAAAGTCAGACTTTTTCCGATAGACAAGAAAATAGAGTGGGCGAGTGTGCGTCGCAGTTAAGAGATAAAGACAGACGAAAACAGGCTTCCCTTGACGATTAGGAATGTAACCATGACAACAACCGTCAACCCGTGCTACCAGGCTTCCTAGTCCAAGTAGGTACTCCTGACAAAGCTCTATCAGGACCTGTTTTGACAGGTAAGGTAGGGTGGTTACCAGGGTTACGACAGCTTTCCTCGGGATCTGTTACATGTTTTCTCAAATCTGGTCGGTTATCGGTGGGAATATTGACATATTGTCGGTAAATTTGAGAATATTTGGTAATGTCGGAGTGAAATGTGTTGACATAGACCAGGAATAACGAATACTCAAGTTCCTACTGTCATACTCCGCTACTCCTGTACCTTCTCTCTCTCTCTCTCTCTCTCTCTCTCTGTACCTTATAACTGTACCTTACTAAAGTTATTTGCTCTATCCTGCGTGTAATGTATGAGACATCACTGTTTAGTCGCCGTAAACTTGTTTTGAACCACGATTTTCAATTTTACATACAGCTATAGAAAGACAAAGCTATCCTCTTATCCTGTCATTTTTAACGCTGATATTTATTGTTGAAATGCATTTTATTGCCTCAAAGTTTGATGAAAGCTTTGAGACGGTTGTAGCAGCTCAGACGCAAAACTAACTAGCGAACTAAAAAAAATCTATTTTTATCACATACGGTCAACACGATTAGCAGTTCAGACAAATCATTAGAGTAATAATTATTGTAAAACAAGTTCTGATTGTAAAGTAAGTTTTTTCCAACCTTATGTACAGTTGAGCGTTGTTGTTTCTCTCCTTCTCTTTCCTTATCTTCTTCTTCGCAGTACATGTTTTTTATCGTCACATTACCTGGTGAGTTGTTTGTTTTTGTAACAATGAATTCATGATCGGTTCAACTTTCGTTACAGAAATCCAGAATAATTTTAAGTCGATTTAAATTGAGTGAATAATTTACAGTTCTGCACGGTAAATACCCAGAATAGTTACTTCACATAGGCCAAGTTTGCTTAGAACACGACGTGTAAGTATCTCGTTAGCAGTTAATGAACAATACTCAATAATTAATTAACATTAAATTTACCGAGATGGCCCACGAGAATGTCACGTGACCCTTGTCCCCGAGGTAACTGAACTACAGGGCTCTCTATAAGAACAGTGAAGTGAACCTGCTCCGAACCCCGTACCCCTGAAAGAGAATGTCACGTGACCCACTGAAAGAGAGAGACATTGTCTAGATCACCAGTCTATTTAGTGCTACTTTATTGTTACATTGCAACTCCATGATGACATGGGTCAAATATTAGCGGTAACATTTGCGCACTTCTCACCCAGGCACGAAAAACGTCTGACAAGTTCGCTTCTATAGACCTTCCGGTTGAAGATTCGGCTTTGTTATATGGTTCCTGTCTAAACTTTAGTTTTAACATTGAGATTCTATGGTAGAACCATGGTTACCATGGTTACTGATTCTTTGGATACCTTGTCGCGTATTGTTACAGATGCCAGTCATCTTGCCACCAGCGTGGACATTGAAGTGGTATTACTTACGTAACTAAAGGATTTTGATAAACCACATAGAGTAGATATAATATAATATAACTTTTCCTTGTGTTTTAAAACTGGTACAAAATACTCAGACCGCAAATACTTAACTTTACGAATACCAAAAGCGAATTTGATCTCAAAATCTAAGATTCATTGTCAGTCAGTCGAGAAAATTGTCAGTCAGGCTATATGGCAGCTTTGTAGATGCTGTGACAATGCTAGTAGTGGTCCCAGGCTTGCGACTGGAATTGCGGTGTTAAATCGATTAAAACTGGTACGTACCACTGCTCATGACTCTGTTAGCCGCTTGACTAGCTTTGCTGGATATTTGGGACACTTGCTCCTCCACTAAAAGTAACAAGCTGTTCACACTGCTGATTACAGCTGAAGTAAAGGCGGGGGAGTGGAAGTACTGAAGCGAGCCCACCACCACATCCACTGAGGTCTGCGGGTGCCGAGTCTGTGACGTCATGTCACGTGATGTGACGTCACCACACGAGTCCTTTGATAGGGTGATAGAGAGAGCTTGGTGAGAATCCGAGTCCTGTTCCCTGATTGGAAGTTAACTGTCAGTGAAATGTGATGAAAGAAAATTTAATGGTTCTTGTCAGTGCCTTGCCTCAAATTAAAGGCTAGAGCCTTGAGTTTAAACACCATTTTGATTTACCAACCGCGACCGGTGTTTGATGTCTGTTTCAAATTCTTTCTGGGTACCTGATTTTAAGTCAGACGAATCAGTATCACTCATACCGGTATTTGTTGTATTTAGGATTTGTTAGATGCTTATACAGTAATATTTGAGCACTCGTTACAGTACCTACCACCTGAATACTCACACATGATTGAAAAATACAAACTCACATTTGGCCGAGTCCGAGGACACACATCTCACTCTCCATTTCCCTGAGCTGGATCCTCCCCACCCCGAACCTCACGCCCCGGACACCTCCCTCTCTCTTGATATTCAGGGTTACCCCCAACATGGCAGCAGTTCCTATCTTGTTCCGGGAGGATCTGGGGTCTAGTAGTCCTAGTGACACGTGTTCTACCGTCATCTGAAATATTCAGGGTCCAGAACGGTGGTTCCAGAATAAATACTTTGCCCAGAATTTGAAACTCTCAATTTGTAATCTAATTTCGTTTAAAGTGTCTCTAACCTTGATATCGTACTGCCATTCCTCAGCAGCTGACGCCCTGGTCTCGGTCTCCCCGTCTTCGTGTTGTGTCCCACTTAGTCTCATCTCTCCAGACCGAGACACGGAGACACGTTTAAAAAACCCAAGCAAGTGAGCAAGTGTGGTGTGGTGAGGAAGGAGGTCGAGGTAGTTCAGCCGCACGTCCACATTACGAGTACCTGCTTTCTTGTCTGATCCGGGGTAGTCCGGACCTGGGGAACACGTGTTAGTCACGTGACTTGTTCCGGGGGGGGGGGGGGGGGGGGGGTGGCAGTAGATGTTATGGGGAGTGGGGACATTGTGGTGGTGCAGGGAACTTTGTAATTGAGGGAAGAACTGATGAGTCTGTTTCAAATAATTTGTATTATGATTTTTGCAGTTCTTATCATTTGAAGTACGTGCCATTACATCGTAACGTATTATTAGCCTTAAACTCAGATAATAGCACTATTAAGGGCGGGATAAGTTTTGCATGCTGCTTGATATACCCTAATAAATTAGTAGATTACCTAGCGTCTATACTATGTCTATACTATGTTCCTAAAATAATGCCCGCATTTCACTCACCATTCATGAATATTACAGCATGAATCATAGGAATATTTGCTGATACCAGCACCATATGTAATGCTAAATTCCTAAGTTAGTAATACCATATTACTAATATTTTTGTCGACGCGATATATTTCTGGCGACAGATTACCACGACAACCATCCCACTAGCTGGAGTATGGGCGTCCCCAGGCCAAGTTTCGCGACGTCATCCCGGCAGTATCCGTATTTGGTGCTCACTCCGACACTGCTCCTCCCAAAAACCTGATAAAACACTAGAAGAGGACCGATACAAACTACTATTTCCAGCTACTTGTCGACAGGGCAGAGCTCAGATAGTCTGAGATACAGACCTCCAGCCAGTCCAGAGTTAGTGATGGGCTGGTAAACTACCCTGAAGTACAGAGCTTCAGACTAGAGAGGGGAGGAGAGTTAGAGATGATGGTAGGACCATACATCCTGTTGAACCCCCGCATATCTTAGCGCCCATTGTCATACCTACTGATAAGAACCCCTGTTGTGTTAAATAGAAGTAGCGGGCATGTATAATTAGCGCTGATTGGACTGACTGTAACCAGGGTTACAGGAAGATAACATCAGTGATAGGAATGCACGTGGTTTCTACGATACCGATATAGTTGGGTAGATAGAGGCAGCTGGCACTGGTTGTGGATGGAGCCGCGAGGGTGTAGTCGTGTCGAGAGTTGCATATTGTCATTTGTGGAATTTGTTGGCGACACGCTGGTGTGGCTGACTTTGGATAAGGTATATATACCCTGTATATATTAGTAATATTCAAGTTTCACAGATCAGTGCACTGTTATGTCTCTACTGTTACAGGGCTGCTTATATTATATAGTACTCTGCCAGGCTGCCATGCTGCCATGCTGCCATGCTCCAACTACTAATCACTGCTATCGTATTATATTGCACTTTCCCTTGTCGGGACCGGGCCTTTTTATTTGATACCTTTTTATTTGTTACCTTCAATATCACGTTTATTTCCTCGATACAGTCCTGGTGCACTCTATTTAAGTTGTTGACAGGGGGCAATATGATAAGCGCTCAATGTTCACATCAACAGTTTTGACTTCCGTAATGATGTTTCACATAGTCAACACATAACTATGCGAATTTTATTGCAACATTCTGAAATGTGGAGAATGTCCTCACTACTTCCAAATTTCGTTGGTATATTCTGATTATTATACCATGTTTTATCTGGCTATTATATATATATTATCATATCTAAGTCGACTATAATCTTATTTGAGTAGCATAACTTTAAACCTCATCTTGCGGATAGCTATGTCCCATCAGTAATTTTGTTTCGTGTATCTTTAAAATAGGTATCATTTATTTTCTTATCTTTTAAAATAGTTTAACTGTCACAGAGTCACAGCAGTAAGTTAAAATTTTAGTTACTAACCAGTCTCATTTAACTGTTACTTAAATAACAATAATAACTTAACTAACCTATCTCTGATATTTGCACCATGATGAGGGCGTCGGGTTGGGTGTGATAACCAGTATCCATTGTACTGTACCATTGCAGCTGTTCCCCCCTCGAGTCAGCTGATCGGAAATGTAGTTTTTGTTATTTAATTGTTAATTGTTTAATTGTTAAATTGTTAATTGTTATTTAATTGTTAATTCTTTGATAATCGATTGAAACATTGTAATCGTGCTATGAATTCGCTTGGCACTGTAAATTTGGAGCATTTCGATTAGTAAGCAAGCCTTCTGTTGTTCGTCTAATTTATGCTTTTATAATGCTTTATGCTATAAGTTTTAAAAAGACGTTATTATAACTTGCATTTTGTAAATTAAATTTTCGGCAGAAAACTAGCTAAAGCGCGAACTTTCCAGAACGAAACCATAGTTGATAATAATGGTAATTTTTCTTAACAAAAACCCTATTGATTTTTAACTAAGCGTGATTAACAAAGTGACTAGAGCGGGTAGAGTACTATACAGTACTATAGAGTACTATAGAGTACTATAGAGTACTATAGAGTACTATAGAGTACTATAGAGTACTATAGAGTACTATAGAGTACTATAATATAGAGTACTATAGAGTACTATAATATAGAGTACTATAGAGTACTATAATATAGAGTACTATAGAGTACTATAGAGTACTATAGAGTACTATAATATAGAGTACTATAGAGTACTATAATATAGAGTACTATAGAGTACTATTATATAGAGTACTATAGAGTACTATTATATAGAGTACTATAGAGTACTATAGAGTACTATAATATAGAGTACTATAGAGTACTATAGAGTACTATAGAGTACTATTATATAGAGTACTATAGAGTACTATAGAGTACTATAATATAGAGTACTATAGAGTACTATAGAGTACTATAGAGTACTATAGAGTACTATAATATAGAGTACTATAGAGTACTATAGAGTACTATAGAGTACTATAGAGTACTATAATATAGAGTACTATACCGAATGGGAAGGACGTAGCCATCATGTATGACTCATCCTGGAACTGCTGTGTTCTATCACAGATAGTCAGAGTAGAGATAAGAAGAGATAGTTCTGAGTCGAAGGGTTGTTTTGTGTACGCTAACTCGACATCGTCTATGTGTAGTTCTAGGTCTGATGAGAGGATAAGGAAGTTAAACACAAGGAAATATTTTATTTCAATAGATTTTCTTTAATGAGGATAAATTAATTATAATCTCAAACAAATTCTTAAGCGTGTAAGGTCATGAATTATTATGCAGAAGGTTGTCAAATAAAAGATGAGTTTGTAATGACATGGTAACATTCATTTTAGATAACGTAAATTCATTTTCGTGTCTAGAAATAAAGTCAATAATTACTATTAATAATTACTAATAGCAATAATTAAACAGCACTTTACAATAAGATTTATTAGTTGTAGCACGTCACGGTGCCACGTTGATACTCATGTTAAAGATTCAATTAAGTAGAGTCATGTCTTGGAGCTGGAACTTTATTGTAGATCTATTAAATTTGACCCGCGTTACGTTATGCTCACTTTCTCTTAATATAATATTATAACTTACCGAGTTGATGACCATGCTGGATAGTCGTACTAATCTTCTCAATGTGAACCTTAACATCAATCAAGTGTGCCTGCATCAGAGTCTCTGGCTTCATTGAACTTTGCAAACTCTGCGGTTAATGGGTTTAGTAAATAGTAGCAAATCTCATTGTTTGACTTTATGTAGCTACCTATGAAATGCGTCTCATTAGATTAATGTGTAAACCGATACGGTAGCTAGGTAGGACAGGGCTAGTTTCTCAGACAAACGATATCCTTCTGATTTCACATTAGAATTCACGTTTGAATTCTGATGTAATCGTTTTCCCTTTCTTTTGCCGTAATTTGTTAGCGTTGTTGGCACAATAGATCTGCGTATCAAGGATACGTAGTTTCTTTGTTAGACTTTAATCTTAATAATTTAACATTCATAGTTCTCCAACAAAGCAAGTCGTTCACATTCATAATAGAACTCACAAAGTTTCATAAAACCAGTCTCCGACTTACAGCAGATATGATGGGAGTGAGGACCCCTCCTGCCTCATCCTCTTCTGGTATCACGTGACCAGCAAATCTCTCTGGCTTGTCTCCCGATCTAACGCTCCTTAGAGCTCGTACCAAACACCTGTAATGTTATTTTAGTTGACTTTCTAGTCTTGAATCTATCTGCATCTGTTGGACAAAGAATATGGAAATATGCTAGCTGAAACAATCTCTGGACCTTAAATAACCCCAAGTAAACCAGGATTTGTTAGATTGATAGGGAACAAATATATTCTAGAAATCACGTTATGTCTACAAATATTGCGTTTTTTCTAAAGAATCTCAGAGAACAATAATACTGCTTGTCGTCATAGTACTATGACGATTTTACTGGTAACGTGACTGATTTCTTAGTGTGCTGGTGCGTGGGTAAGACTTGAGTACTTTAAAAAGTTTTTGTAGTATAAAATTCATTATTCAACACTATATAACATTTTATGATGTAATCCGCGACCATTGGCTAGTCGAGAGCAGGTTGTATTCTAAGGTACTGGAAGAAAGATGAAATACGCAACATCACTCAAGGACTATCCATATTTAAAGGAGTAGTGCAGAGTAGAGTGCTATCAGTATCACAAGTTATACTATTACTATTTCTTCGCCACACTTTTCAATTTTCTATAAACTTCATAATAATATTATCAATATATTATCGTAGCAGCATTTTGGGCCGAACATATTTCGCACGTCGGTTTAATAAAAGACCTTAATATATGCTGACTAGCTTTAAAAATTTTTCAGACAATATATAAATTATGCACATGCTATCAAAAGTTTTCATTTTAGAGTTTAGACATTTTTTTAGACAAAACCGGTTAACACTGAAGCGACCTTGTTTAGATAATTTAGCAAAACAACAATTTGGGGATATAACATCATAACAGCCAGATGACCTCATTAAAGCCGATAGAAAAAGAAACTGTATAATATAACGTGATTATAGCAATTGACTGCCTGTTAGTTTTCTCACTGTAAACGGACGTAGCGTCATATTGAAGTGAACCGTCTGATCTTTTCTTTCTCATACGCCATAAAAAATAGCATCGCTTTTATCGATTTCTATAACAAATTTCTTAATAGGAGAATATATAACATATATTGACATGATAGAAAGGTTGTTAACTCACTTCATATTGTCGACGTCTAGTTGGAAGGCAAGTTTGGGCACGTTAGCAGATATGAGGATGTTAGGATGTAGAGGGTCCAGAGAAAACACCAGCCTTCTCTCCAGCTTCATGTCCAGTGATAACCTGGTTAGATGGTGGGAGTGCGGTTATAATAGGGGGGGGGAGAGTTAAAAGTAGGAGGGGGGGTTTATAGCAGGGGGTTGCTTGTTGTTACATAATATTCACTATTCAGGTCTAATCTAGTGAAAGAGTAGGATCTACTTTTCAGAGGCTGTTTTAAATCAGATCTACCAGAAGTGAGAGGTCACCATTAAACGAACCCATCCTGAAACTAACCTGTCCATGATCTTGCCCTTGTTCTGAAGATCACATTGTATCATGTCCTCGAACATGCCCGCATGTACCTTCAAGTCACTGAGCTGCAGTGAGAACGTCTCGTAAAGGGTGTCCACGTTGGTACTAGCACTTCCTGGTGCTGATAAGAGATTAGGGTTAGATAAAAGCTGATTAGAAAACACTTTTAGAGGTTTTTAGAGTTAACTGCAGCCCATCTTCTACATTAGACTGTACATACTAATTATTATGCTTAAATAGGGTATCATGGTTGATACAGTATAATATTATTTACACTGACGTTGCTAAACCGGAGATATTTGCTCTCTTCATTTAAGAGTGTCATTATGATCCATAATACTGTTAAGCTCCATTAAGTCTGCACTGTAATGTATTAATGTCTGATATGCTAATTGATATTAATGATTATTGATGACGCTTGCTAATGACAGGGAGCATTAACAGCATTCTATCATTATCATAAAGCTTAACATTAACTATTATATATGAGATTTGACAGGGTAGTAATTACCGAGTTTAATTATTATACGGGGTCCAGCTCGTATGATTTACAGTTGTCACTATTTCTTTAGTAGTCGGCAGAGCGTTCTCTAAGAGGTATTAATCCCACAATATACGCAGTAGAGGGAGGGTTTCTAGTTGTTCGTTATTAGATCACTCCTGGTTCAGTGGAAGGTTCTGGATTGTTCCTGGTTCCGAGGGTATCCCAGATGAGAACGCTTTTATTTTATTTGTTATTCGAGAACTTTTACTTTTGAACTAGTATTGCTATTTGCTTCAAAACTGTAACTATTACGTTATTACGAGGTAGTTTATGTCGAGGATATTTACCCTTATGTCTAATCACGAGTTAAAATTTGTAGAGCGGTAGTTCAATATTTAGAGTTAACATCACTTTTAAGTGCCTCCTCCAAATACAGAACTAAGAATTGAAAGGAGACAAAAGAAACAAGCCATACGAAGGAGTATAGACACTTTGTTATAACAACTTAACACGTTTTCTCATTTTTATTTGTAGACATTAACTAATCACAACACTAATGTTTTGAGAAAGTCTCCAGCCACAGGTCTGTTTATTACCCTTATTTCCATTGCAGGTTTTGTTGCTCTGCTCAATACCTGCTTATTACCCTTATTTCCACTTTCCATTGCAGGTTTTGTTGCTCTCAATACTCCATCCTGTCCCGGCTAACAACTTAAACTCAGATCAAATTGTTATTCGTTTATTTCACGTAAGTACTCACAAATATTTCTAGAACTGGAAGGGTAGTTGGAATGAGGCTGGGTAATGAGAGGAGGAGGGTTGAAGTAAGCAGGGATATCAGGTAGAGAGTTATTAGGAGTAGATGGAGGGGTACTGAACGCAGAGTCAGATCCGTTAGTATCAGACCTGGTGTGGGTATCAGATCTGGAGTGGTTGTCTGGTCTGGAGAGGATGTCTGGTCTGGGGTGGGGCCGGAACCCGCTCATGTTATCTATCACCACCTGGGAGAGTGGGTTTTTTAAAACAAAGGTGAGAAGTGATCACAGCTCTTGTGGGCACGGGTGAGTTTTTAAGTTGCGAATTGGAATTGAATCATAGACACCCATTTTGAAACCTAGTAAATTCAACGTCTCAGCTTCGATATTTTAATAGTTTATTCTAGATAATACCGACTATCAGTTACTATAGTTAGACACATTGTGAATGGCTATTGGAAAGTGAGATCTCACTGACAAATCAGGGCTTTGGTTGATTTTTATGTTTTACTTAATAATGGAATGCCGATACAATTATAGTTTCCTCATCAACTACCCGAAATCTAATATACCCAGTTAAGGTATGTTATGATTACAGTATCAAACATGACATGTTTTCGATGTTTCATCTACAAAATTTTCCGAATAGACTGATAGACCTACAATCCAATACCCATAGACCCGCCCAAGTGACAAGACCTAGTGAGCTACCACGTTGTTTGCATGCGACTTCATGGTGTCACAGTGCAATGCACAACATATTCCGGAAGTTGTCTCCAAATTTCCACACTGGTTCAGAGGCAATAAGCCGAAAAGTTGAACAAAACGGCCATTAGTGTAAGTATAGACCGATGACACCTGCCAATCTAATAAGAGCCTGACATTGTGCCTGCTCCTCACTCAGCCACATCTCGACACCCAATACAAGCAGCACGTGCAACTTGTTTTAAGCACGTGCAACTTGTTTTACATGTTTTTGGCACGTGGGCTAAGGTCAACATGCCGTCATACCTTTAAATGTTACTTTTGTGGGCGAACTTTTCGCATGAGGGTGAGAGGGAACTTCGTGAGTTCACGTGCTATCCACAAATAGATTGAAACTATTATCTATACCAGTATCATATATATAAAACTGATATGGTGTTAAAACGTTACTGTTAATAAATCCTTTATCACTGAGTGACCAAGCGTGCGTTATGTAATAGTCTCCTTATCGGTCGCCCGCGCCATTTATTCGCCATTTATCGCTATTGTTGTCGATAAATAGCGCTGTTGTCGATTTTATTCTTTTATTCAGAAAGGAGTGGTTTTAGCTTAGCCGTTTCTCTAAGGATTCTGCCCAGACTTGGGAACTATAAATTCCAATCATTGTCGAGCAAATTCAGTTTCAAAGCCTCCACTCCATAATTATACTGATTCTCTGAACATAATATTCTGTCGTAATAAACGGTTACTTAACGACATCGCGCACTTTTGTAGCACCGCACATTAATAATCAAACGGTCAAATTCGACATAATGAATCCTTTCTCCTGTCCATTGTTAAAAAGTCTAGTTTTCCGATGCCCAACTTTATTAGTAGGTTATCACATTTTGTCTTCTTGATGTTTTTTACTTGATAATATGGCACTGTGGCTTTATTTCATAACATCATCTTGGCTTTGCGTGTCGTACTGGCTTCTGAAGTGGGAATTGCATTTTTGTGGAATCTTTGCTTTCTATGTTTTTCAAGTATATTATCGATTATATTATTTAACTTTGTAGGTATATGAACTATGAAGCCAATTTAGATCTAATCTATACAACCAAAAATTAACGACGCCTTAATTCTACTTAGCCGTCACTCAAGAGACCTTTAAAAATGTTTCACCCAATTATGCTGTTAGCAAAGGCTCCAAATTGGGGACCATACCTTTAAACTGACCTAAGGATAGGATTTTACTGAAGTATCATTCCTCGTCTAAGGAAATTCCTAGACAGTATATCTATTCAACTCAATCGAGAGTTGTTAATAGCAGCTTGATTGCCTGCGGAGTGACACTACAACTCTGGTGATTGTTAAATACCTATAAGACTGCAAGTCAGGTAGTTGATTGGTCTGGCCTACATCCCCAACTTTTTATCACCTCACTTCGTAACCAGACGCGTGTTTTACTGCTGTTTTGTTTAAAGCTGGGTGTATACTATTGTTGTGACTGTAAAGCTGTAATAAACCTCTGTTTAATGTTACGCACAGTTTTTTGCTTCGGTTGCTCGAGCGTGAAAACGTTTGTCGTACTTTTAGATCACAAATTCAATCAGTTATTCATACAAGTTGGTATTCTTTTGATGGATAATTTACTTCATTTGATCAGATAAAACTTGATGATGGTTGCATGAAAGGTGTCAGCTACAAATTACTTTGCCACCAGATCAACGTTGATGTCTTTCTATCATAGCTCTTCAGAAGTTGCCACCAGCAAAAGGAGATAAAAAGAGAGGAGGGGCGACTCCTTGTCAAACACCATTAGTTTTGCCAGGCCTTTACAGACAACCTCTAATGACAGGGCACATATATCCCCGAGATAAGTGCTCATTTAGATTGCAATCTCGGTGCCGCTTAATGACTGACACTTGTGCTGATTCACTTGTTTTGATAACATCTCTCATCGGTCACTTCAGATCAGGATAAATATATATTCTGTCAACCGATTAGTTGATGGTGTTGAAACTCGTGTGATGAATTTAAATTGTCACTTTATCCTGGCTGATTGATAATCGTGATGACAAGGTGGGAACTGGGAAGGAAAAAACAAGAGGTTGAATCTGTGGGAAAAATTAAGATCGTTATAAAGTTATAACAGATCTCCCTCGTAATATAGATCTAAAACCACTACTGTTAAGAATAACTCAGCAGCTATCACCTCAGATAAGATGTCTCATAAATTTAGAAGGTTCAGCTCACATAATATAGAACCGTCACTAGAAGGGGTTATTAATAATAGGTGGGTCTCCAATGACGAAACTTGAGAACAATAGTCTGAATCTTCTCATTCATATCATGAGAGGAAGCAGCAGACAAAAGTAAAGCCTAGCAAGTATCAGAAGCCAGCCTCAGCTGGACTAGTGTAGGGGAAGGAGAGAGGAAGAGGGCCGTATACTAGCAAGTTCGGTCTTGCTCTGCTTATCCTGGCTTCAGTGCTCGAGCATTACGGTTCTGTCTCCATAACCTTGCATATTTGCCATATTATGTTGAGTGTCGAGCTGTCTATGTTAGTGTGGTACAGCTCTTCAAAATAACTATGCTAATCAATAGACTCGCTCACAGATTAGTCTGGTTGATAAGCAGCAAGGTAGCTCTGCAGTTATTGTCTAGTGTGAGCTCCACCCACTCTATCCTGGTAACTAGGTTAATAGTACTTCAGGTTACACTTCACACCATGAGTTTGCCTCTACCAAATCTGCTGCAGGACCTCACACTCCAGGTTCTTCAGAAACCTAGGCTCACTCGCCCCAGTACAGGAGAGTGACTTGTCTGGGAGCATAAAGCAGGAGGCCCCGTGCGTTACCCGGGCATCACGTGATTATCCGCATATTTGGTAGGATTCCTCTGATATCTGTACGTCTGACACATCGTACAAGTGTGTAGTAAGACGACCCTTAACTCGATGTTTCAGTTCCTTATCAGGAATATACACCTGTGTAGTGCTTTAGACCGAATCATCCTTCTTACTTCACGTCTTATAGTGAGTGTGACAGTCTTTTGTTGGATTGCTATATCATTTGATATCCTCTGGGGATTAACTCACTTTTGATATAGCTCGCTTGATTATCTTATTGTCACGGTTGGTTACTTTATAGCAGTAGTGTACTGCTTATTGATGGTAACTTTTTAGACGTATTATATACTTTTTTACAGCTACTTTGTTTCTTGCGTCCGGGACGGACAGTTCTTCAAGTGGCATATTCACGGTCAACGTTTCAACAACGAAACCAAGCGAGCATTTAATTTTTGACCGTCTTCTTATTTCTGATACACAAAACTGTGCATTGAAAGATTGAAACTTTACTTCTTGTAACTAAAAGTCAGACCTTCCTACTAACGTGCTCCCTTTTCCTATATCCGTATTAGGAGTAGGGCCGGAGATGCAACTAATTTTGGGAGAAGCCTTTGGGTCACTGGGCCTGCTTCATGATCTTCTGATCTACGTTATAATGATGATATCCTGACCTGGATCAGTGTTGACATAATCAGTCCTCCCCCTTGTTTAATAACTTGCTATTTCAGTTTGACAGTTGCAACTCTAGAAGTGATGCAAATATTGATGAAGGAGCAGAGTAGCAACTCTAGTTGAGTTACAACGTCAACTTGCAGCTCTTATGAACAGAGGGTGAATCTCAACAAATAATTGGAGGGATAATTACATGCGATTCGTTATATTACTGCAGAGTTCTTTCTCTCTCTCTCTCTCTCTCTCTCTCTCTCTCTCTAGAGAGGTCAGTGGTGTCGGGGTAGTTCGTAGATTTGTAATGCTTTACTCTACGAGTACGGTTGTCACTAGGTAGCCAAGTTAACAGCTCAGTGTACCCGAGCATCGCCTCCCTCGCTAAGCCTTACCTAGCGACGCTTCTCCTCGCTAAGCCTTACCTAGCGACGCTTCTCCTCACTTAATGTTACCTAGCGACGCTTCTCCTCACTTAATGTTACCTAGTAACCCTACCTAGTAAGTAGTAACCCTCGCTACTCACGCTCCCCCAACGAGGTGCTAAAACTTCACCAGCTCCTGTCTATTTCCACTCCAACCTCCCAGGTAGCTGTCTATTTCCACTCTAATTGCCGCCCTGAAAACCAGTAGGCTCTGTCTAACCAAGTGTACAGGTTAAAACAGGCCGGCCCACCAGGACGAGGATTAGGCTAACTAGGTGGCAACACGTAAGGGTGACAAGTCACCCGCGCTGTGTCCATAGTTACAAGACTCGCTGTGTAGCCATAGAAACAAGACTGGACACTGCAGTGCGTTCAACAAATCACCTTGTTTTGTGTTAGACTGATGTCACTTGGTATAAGAATTAGTTGGACTCTGCGAGGACTCGGTGTAAACTCTCGTTTTAGTGCTGTCTTTTCGGTGTAACTGTTTTGCAATTTGTCGCCCTCTTGGCTGGAGCGCATCTGTCACACATTTACACAAGTTGGGGGTTGTATGGGACGGCTCGGGTTTTCTTATTTTACACAGTCAGCCGTTCCGTTTTCTACGTTTTGCGAGTTCAATTGTGAAATGAATTAGTGCCACTGCAACACAGCCTGTCGATGAAAACACCTCGGTGTGAAGTTTACCTCCTCCGATAGAATTACCGGTAAAACTAAGCATTAAAGCGACAGAATAAGCGGAAAATTAGAGCATGATTGTCGCGCTTTTCAACAGGTTGCACATTGCACCCTACAGCTATTAGTCAGCGCAGCGCTCGACGTCTTGCTCTTGATCTCGAAGGATTCTAGAGTTGAGTAATACGGATTCTTCTTGATTTAGACGGGTCATTCGTAGATTTTCTCATGTGCATTGTTCAATATTATCTCAGTTGTGCAACTGTGCTTATATTTTTAGAGATGATTTCAATTGTGGCAAAGGTTTGGCATATGGCGGTCTTGACTTTAGAAGTTTGAGCGGATCATTACAGTTCTTAAGGTGTTGCAACATCAGTTGTGTCATTGTTCTACTTCATTTCATCAATTATTATAATTATCAATCTAGACTTTGCCATTTTACATGCGTTTCATTCAACATTATATTCTATATTAAGTCTCTTTACGTGCCGACTCATTGTTTCTCATTGTTTTTCTCTATTTCTTAAACAAACTATTGGTAAAAGTTCAGTTTACAATGGTTTAATGTTTTGAGCGGAGTTCTCCTCCCAACAATGTTTAACACATTGTCCTCTTTGAAGTTTTTTAAAGGTGTTGACTTGAAGCATCAAATGAACGTGTCCTCCAGAGCTCAACATGCTTTTTTAATGTGACAGCCGATAAATCTCGGCAGCAGCATATCAAAAACTGGTCTTTATCAAGTGGGCCGTTGAGTTGTACTCTTCATCAAGTGGGCCGCCAAGTTGTACTCTTTATCAAAATGTGGACCGCTAATGGTTGTACTCTTTTGAAAAGAGAGGCTCGCCTTGAAGGGAGTTCCCCCTCCCTTTCAGACTGAAAATAGCATCAGACTCACAGCATCTGGCTCGCAGTTTCCTCTTGCACAACACCTAGTTAACTCTTATGCAGCACAGGGTGTGAATTTGGATATATAGCACACTATTACTCTATTACTACAGTTGTTGCGACCTTCATTCTATTCGTATCATTGTACATCTTGTTTTTAGCGTGTTTGTGCTGAATGACAGCTACACGGCACCCTTTGCTTGCTCTGCCTCTCTTAGTCAGTTAGTGGTAGCTTTAAAACCTTAAATTGACGAAAAATAGGTTCTTTTAAAATTGAACGGCAATCCAATAGTCATCGGTAAGGTAGCAGAAGATACCACCCCAAAGAGTTTAACACATGCAATTGTAGATAGAGTGAAGTCTAAAACAGTATTGTTGACAGACGACAGCACGGTCCATTGTAGATCTAGTGAATTTAAAACACCTGGACCTTCTAGTAATACCATACACCGTAACAATTCTGCAATGTGCGAAGTTATCTTTAGGTAAAGTGAGATGTCTCTACAACTATACAGTATCCGTGTCTAAACTTAACTCTGTTCTCTATAATATCTTATAATATAGCCGTGTCTGGATCCGTAGCCACTACTTTACTACTTCAGCTTACCAGGTTTCTTTTTGTAGACGCTACTGTCAGATTGTGTCGGTATAAACCTCCATCGGCCGGAAACGTCTAACTCTATATAATACAGTCTACCATAAAATCGTGGTCAGCTATGTCGGTAAGTACTCTTCCGCAGAGTTTTCACAGCTCCTAAAATAGTCGCCACAGTAACCGTTTTCAGGCTTACCGCACTGTTCGTCACGTCTATTTGCACGTGCAGTATCTGACTTCTAAATGGGTACCGCACGTGTTGCAACCCTCATTCTTGGTTTCCTTGTTTCTAGAGGGCTATAATATCTGTATAATATCAGAGAAGCTCCTGCTGGTTTCCTTGATGGCGGTTTTAGTAATTCTGTACTTGTCTAAAACATCTGCTATCTGCAGTGGGCCTTGGTATTTTCGGCAGAAATTCTCGGAATTTGCGTGCGGTTGTTTGATACGCATCCGTCAGTGCATCATGCACTCTTTTTTAAAGATACATTTGTCTTGTTTGCCGTTAACACCCCTTATTGTCGTATATAATGTGCTTTAATACATGACCTTCTCAATTACCGTAGCTTGCTACCGTGTAATCATCAGGGCCGCCCAATTTGTCCAAGTATTATGACATATTGAGCTACTCTGTTGCGGATATTCCATGACGTCAGATATTACCTCATTTGACCCCTTTCCGTTAAAGAAACTGCAGTTGTAACTGGAGATATCAACAGGTTGTACCTGGGATTTCCTTCATTTGCAATAATTACTGTGTGATCAGTCCTGACTCCTACGTTCATTTTAAATTTAGAGTGCAATAATTTGTAATGCATTAAGGGGTTGTTACCTGAACTGATGAATTTAACAGTTTTTATTTTGTATGATTGTAGTACATGCTTTTAGTTTACACATTAATTAATAATTGCACATTTTATAATTTGCATATATTTAATAATCGTGTTTCTAACCACTTCTCACAATTAGACACAGCTGTATCATGTTTGATGTAAACCAGACCTCGATCGATAATGCGATCCATATCGACATGATAATGAGTTCCTTTGCAAGATATTTCCTTGTGATTTTGAACATCGTCATCTTGTTTGTCAGCATCGGAGGAAACACGATCGTACTTTACGGGTAAGTCAGCAGTTTGAAATATTTTTAACCATCAGTAAATAGTGCCATTGCATCAATCATAAACTAATAAAAAATTACTCCAAATTCCAAATAATTTCGCCAATTCAACTAGATCCTGATATTTTGGCGAAATTACTTGATTACTATTGTTGCTGTAAGCTTCATAATATCATATTGTGTTAGTCCTATTTGTGGTTTGTAACCAAGGTCGCTTTTACAGGTCACTGGTGCACAATGCTCTCAGAATGGACAAGATAACGCTACTGTTGGTGAAGAATGTGGCCGTTTCAGACATGTTGATAGCACTTCTCTTCTACCTTCCAGCTCTGGTATGTGCAATTCAGCTTCATTAACACTTGAACTAACTTCAAGTACGCTTCATTAACACTTCACACCTTTTAGTAATCACAGTAAACATCACACTTTCTGCCTCTAGCAAACAGCTCAAACTTCAATTCAAACTAGGAAACGAATGAAATATCAGTTACAGCTGTTTTTACCGGATTTGTTTATTGCAATCCCACACAACTCTACTTTCTTGAAAATTCAAGTCAGTTTCAAAATATTCACTACAATCCGTACTCCGTAATGACATACACACAGAGCACACATACGAGTACCTGCCCGACATAGTGCCGTTAACACGCCGACCACTGTGACACTGTGACACTCAGGGAGAGTGCCTCCAATTATAGTTACTGACTACTTACCCTCCCTACAACTGTCACACAGAGGATGAAGGTTACTCCAAGGGTTCCCACTTCTCACCTGACTCCAAGGGTTCCCACTTCTCACCTCACTGTATTTTCAGACGAATCTCCTGCACGGAAGCTGGGTGTTGGGGTACGGGATGTGCTTTATTAACGGGTGGATGAGTCTGGTGCCTAATGTCGTGGAGATAATCACACTGGTGGTCCTGTCTTGCTACAGACTGTCACTTATTGTCGGTTAGTACGGCAGTTACTCTCTCTCTCTCCCTCTCTTTTGTCTTGTCTGTGTTATTCTAGGATCTCTTTCTTCTAGGATCTCTTTCTTCTAGGATCTCTTTCTTCTAGGATCTGTCCGCTCTGTATTATCTAGAATTACAGGGTGGATAAGATCCATTGTGTCTAGTGGTGTGTGCCAGGTTGTTTTAAAGAGAAACTGTACTTTAGTTTGGTTAGGTTTCCCTGTACTCTTCTCTGTTTGCACTCTATCGTACTTGGTTCGTTCCTAATAGGTTCTGTTGTTGTCTGACAGGTTTTTCTATACCATGAAGCATGGCATTCATATTATAATATGATATCATTCAGTTGATGATCAAATACTTTAGACTGAATCTAAAGTAAAGTAATGTTAAGTAATGGACTGACATAGTTACACAGTGACTTATGAGTATGTCACTAGGACCTAGGTTTTACTAGGTGATACTAGGTATTGCTACTATTTACCAGGTAATCTAACACACAATATCATTTTCAGGAGCAGTGAGTCGCTCATTTCGCCACAACTTGAAGCCCTGGTATGTTGGTCTTGCTGTTCTCTGGTTCTCCATCACCATCCTTCCCTTCTTCTTCTCCGCTCTGGACTTCTTACCGTGGTATGTTCACTTTACAATATTTTTTTTTACTCCTTAACATTAGGTATATTTTACAGTACCGTTTCTTCAAAAGAGACTCTCTAATATAGTTTACTTTACTACTCAAAGTTTGATTATCATTCGACTTTCATTGCTATCGAGAATAAAGAAAGGTTGGATTAATATAAATTGAACAAACATGGTTTCTGAAACTCTGAATATTACAGGTACGATCCGTACACACAATCCTGCAACTCAGCGAACATGGCCAACGCACAACCGCCCATCTACAAGGTACGTCCATATGTGTTACTAGCTGTTACCGGGTGTTACCGGGTGTTACCAGGGTGTTACCGGGTGTTACTAGGTGTTACCGGGTGTTACTGGGTGTTACCGGGTGTTACCGGGTGTTACCAGGGTGTTACTGGGTGTTAGTACTGTACAGGTGTTGCTACTATGGCTGACCATGAACCCCAATTTACAAACTATGTTCTTCGCTCTGCATCCCATCAACACTAAAACACTAAGATAACCGTCCCTTGACTCGGTACGATTTATAGGGTTTGACTCGTTAGGAGAAGTGATTCCGAATTCAGGCTTAATATTGGGCAAAATTACGTTCACCCAATTCGACTTTTCATGGAATCAGTTATCCGGTAACAGAAAGTCACAGCCAATTTTTGATGACAAAATAATAAATTCTTAGCATACTGTGCAATCAAGATGAGGACTGCTTGACTGCACAAAGTTGTAATCATCAGACTGAATGACTGCATATTATAACAAACCATTACATAAATTGCATGGCAAAAAATATAAATGCATATTATGCGAGCATAATATCAGATATTAACATTAAAAATATCCCAGATTGCCCTAATCGCCCTGCTGAACGTATGCCTGAATATCTTCCCGATGTTTGTCATCACCACCACCAACATCTTCATCCTGATATCTATCTACAAGACCTCTGCCAGGATCGACAACAAGATCAGCTACCGAGGCAGCATCAAGGTCCCGGAGGCAAACAAAAAGAAGCACCTCCCCACCCGTACCATCAAGGCGATCCCTATGATCTGTCTAACCTTCATCTTCTCCTACTTCCCCTACCTCATAGCCTGCCTCAGTAACTTCGGAATCTTCCTGCCCGCCTGGTGGCGTACCCTCTCCTTCTACTTTGCTGCTATCAACATAGTGTCCAACCCCCTGATCTACGCAGCTGTCAACCTGGAGTTCAGGAAGTATTGTTTCTCTCTGGTGGGGCTAGCTGAACTGAGTAGCGGGGACACCACCAACACTTTCTACAAGCCTGATGGGAGTAGCAGTATTAAGAGTGTACCTGAGCCTACCCCGCCTGATATGAAGAGTTACATCACTTCGGATGATTATGAAACTACTGCTGATGAGAGCTGAGACTTTGAAGTGTGCTCTCCTTTTTATTGTTGATGTTTGTTTTCCAAAGTGGAACGATTGAGCTGACCTTGAGTTTCTTGTGGGGTCAATCCTTGATGTTAGGCCCTACATTGAGCTTTATTTCAGATAGTTTGATCGTTTCACTTTGTTTGAAACAATTTGCTCCTGTTCCTGGTATTGAACCAGAAATCAGTGAGCATTTTGAAGACCTGAAACAGCCAGATAACCAAAGCTTAATACTCGCTATAAAGCAAGCTTGTTGGATGATGTGAACATTAATCAGAACCGTCCGAATAGTGGATTATTTACGGTGTCTAGTAGGTCAATTGACTGGGCTGGATGAATTGAGACTAAAGTTCATCAAGGACTACTAAGGAATGGTTTAGGTTTCGGGCATATTGACGAAAATATTGCCTTCGTTCTTTTTTATCTGTTTCTTATCTTTACCATTGTGTACTTTGAGATAACTTTTTACTGATGCCATTATGTTAGAACTATTATGTTCACATTTTATATTTAGAAAACCGGCCTTGCTTGTACTCAAGTTCTTTTGATGAAACCAGTGGCTCTAGTTTCAATTTCGAATGTGAACACTTTAGTCTCCGCAAATAATAAATAACTTTTTAATTTTCACAGTTTTTTTATCACTCAAATGGGGAATGGAGAGCATTTTAATGATGACATTAGGAATGATTCTGACAGGCTGATGAAAAATACTTTGATATCTATTTTTTTCCGATTTCCTGAGAACATTTTTGAAATATCAAGCGTAATTACCATAATTATGATGTTATTAATTTTGAGATAAAGTATTTGGTGATAAGAGTTATGTTATGAAGAATATTACCTGTCCGAGATCCATAATCACAACAGCTGAGTTGTTGTTGTGGAAACTCTCGGGTAGAATTAGGAGCGGGGCTTGTATCTTCAACAGGATATCCCATCTGAACAATTTTACAATATTTTAATCGAGATATTACCGAATTTTTATTTTAAAACTTTATTGTCTGACGAGGTACAGCTTAAAGTTAGCTCAGGGAAGGCTTCATAGAAGTGCTGATCGTTTCTTAAAAGCCGTGAACGAGGACTAATTCCCGTACCATCCTGTACCGTGTTCTGTGCATGAACTTTCTCGTTTTTACTGTTTGACTTTTGTATTACTAAGATTATTTGATATTTTGTCGTATTTAAACTTTTTTAGCTACAGCTGACATTGTTTATGTTCAGTCATCCCGATTTTCTGGTATTTTGAGGAATCTGCAAAACAGTGAGAACAAAAAGCAACAAGCATGATAAACCGAAGCATGGAAAATCGGGAGAAAAGCTATGAATAATATTTTGATATACCATTTCATTTCTTTAAGTTTTTGGACTCATCAAATACCAACTGTTTTGTATTATGTTTTTATCATCTGTTAGGTGCGTTTTTATAAAAGATGAAGGGAAAAGGGTAAATATTTGTTCGTTTTAGATCTGTGTAATTTTATCAAATATTTGAACCATCCTTACTTTTACACATTTGAAATAAGTTCCATTGATTATTTGAGACAGAAATTGGAAAGAGTTGTTCAAAAAATTCAACTTACTAAAAATCAATCTAGAACTTATCAATCTCATCTCGAAAACTAAAATTATAATCAATAATAAAGAGTTCTGAAAAAATTAAACTAAAAAAGTTAAATATTATGATAATCAAACCTCCTGAAATCTCTGAGTTTCCCGCTGAATATCTTGTCAATAGTGCTCCTTAACTGGTGTTTAGTTTTGCTCCTCAGCTCTCCTAACCTAGCAAGAGCTGCCTCCACCACAAAGTCTATTGTAGGGTCCAGAGCAAAGAAGTTTGTCACCCTGCACAAATTTCATAGCGAAATTTAGTGAAATTAAGTGAAATTTGGCAATGCCTGAGATATTGAACAATATTTTTTGTCAAACTTCCAAAATTTCTTTCGCATTTAATCTGACTTACTGACTAAGCGTGCCTAAAAAACTTCAAAACATCGCACTAATACCCACCTATCAATTATATCTTCATTGTACACGATATCAATGGGTTGCGTGGTTACTCTCAGCAACAAATCCAGAGCAGCAGTAGCGGGGTTTAGTTCGTAGTACACGTCCAGTACTGGCTGTTGTGAGGGGTTGGGGAGGTGGTGCTCCTCCTCCTCCTCCTTCTTCGCTGCTGACTGCTCCTCCTCCTTCTCCTCCTCCTCCTTTGGTGCTGACTGCTCCTTCCCTGGATCCTCTCTTAATTTTGACCTGTAGTGATGATTTATATGTTGGCCCGGATGGTGCGGGTAGTTCCAATTCATTGTGAAAATGATAAAGCAGAATAATAATAGTGTAACATAAATTATAGTGAATAACCTTAGTATAGTGACCCCAAAGTTAATCCAAAATCATGAAGCTATTATTCTATAATGTGAATAATAAAAAATGTATTTGAACTTCATAACAAGAGTTCCAAGAGAGAACCTACCTGGACACGACGTGGGGGAACAGTGCACTGTGCTGGCACTGGTTGTCTAACGTTATATCCTGAACATGACACGTGTTACTTGTGATTTGTGAGATTATATATAAGTATACTGCTGTCGGAATATTTGATCTTTCTTTTACCGAGTGAGACCTGAGGGTGCTGTTTTATCTAAGAGAAAACTTTGTAAATTCTATGTTTTAATCGCGTACTAAATGTGCTGAGCAAGTTTCTAAAGTATAGAACAACAGCACCTGAGACTTACAGTTAACTACACAAGACATTCTAATAGAGCCGACTACTTACTAATTGTCAACCTAACACCCGACCTGATCACGTGACGTGATCACGTGACCTGGTCACAGTTGTCATGACTACCTTCATTACACGTGCTGCAGTGGTTATCCAGACACACTCACAAGACAGTTAACAAATACCTGAAGTGACGCTGACAGTATGATAGTATCTGTCTTCATCCTGTACTCCGCTCCCACAGCCAGATCAGTGAAAGCGAACTGAACCAGTGCTCGGTGAGCTCCACTGGGTTCGAACTCTAACAGCTGGATGGATCCGTGGAGTAGTTTAGCAGATATCTTGCCGAACACGGAGTCTTTGTCAAAGAAGAGCGAGTAGTCGACCACCTCCTCTTCAGCAATCTCATCTGGGGGAAGGGTTTGTTTATACCTAGTATTATGTTGTAATCTAGTATTATCATTGGAACTTGACGTAATGCACTGAGCTGGATTTTAAAATTGGGAGGGTGAATAGGTTTTAGTTTCACAAGAGATGGGGCATGTTAGAGTATGGCAAGGACTACGACACACCAAGCCCATAATACCAGCAGTATAATATAAACCAATCAATGTTAGACATGTTAGGGCATGGTAAAGATTGAAACTTTGAGTTGAGCACATAAACGTGTCTGGAAGTTACTGTTGTATTAGTTAATAATTGCGCAACATGTTTGCGTGTAAAATAATATGAGTATACATTATACAAGCCTGTTGAATAAAGATAAGAGTTTCCCTGAGGCAGTTGTCTGAGAGTAGTAACCCCACCCCCACCCCCCTAACCCTCCCCCTACCTGAAGTTGAGGCAGTTGTCTGAGAGTAGTAACCCCACCCCCCACCCCCCTAACCCTCCCCCTACCTGAAGTTGAGGCAGTTGTCTGAGAGTAGTAACCCCACCCCCCACCCCCCTAACCCTCCCCCTACCTGAAGTTGAGGCAGTTGTCTGAGAGTAGTAACCCCACCCCCCACCCCCCTAACCCTCCCCCTACCTGAAGTTGAGGCAGTTGTCTGAGAGTAGTAACCCAACCCCCACCCCCCCTCACCCTCCCCCTACCTGAAGTTGAGGCAGTTGTCTGAGAGTAGTAACCCCACCCCCCACCCCCCTCACCCTCCCCCTACCTGAAGTTGATGCAGTTGTCTGAGAGTAGTATCCCCACCCCCCACCCCCCTCACCCTCCCCCTACCTGAAGTTGAGGCAGTTGTCTGAGAGTAGTAACCCAACCCCCCCCCCCCCCCTCACCCTCCCCCTACCTGAAGTTGAGGCAGTTGTCTGAGAGTAGTAACCCCACCCCCCACCCCCCTCACCCTCCCCCTACCTGAAGTTGAGGCAGTTGTCTGAGAGTAGTATCCCCACCCCCCACCCCCCTCACCCTCCCCCTACCTGAAGTTGAGGCAGTTGTCTGAGAGTAGTAACCCAACCCCCACCCCCCCCTCACCCTCCCCCTACCTGAAGTTGAGGCAGTTGTCTGAGAGTAGTAACCCCACCCCCCACCCCCCTCACCCTCCCCCTACCTGAAGTTGAGGCAGTTGTCTGAGAGTAGTAACCCCACCCCCACCCCCCTCACCCTCCCCCTACCTGAAGTTGAGGCAGTTGTCTGAGAGTAGTAACCCCACCCCCCACCCCCCTCACCCTCCCCCTACCTGAAGTTGAGGCAGTTGTCTGAGAGTAGTAACCCAACCCCACCCCCCCCTCACCCTCCCCCTACCTGAAGTTGAGGCAGTTGTCTGAGAGTAGTAACCCCACCCCCCACCCCCCTCACCCTCCCCCTACCTGAAGTTGAGGCAGTTGTCTGAGAGTAGTAACCCCACCCCCCACCCCCCTCACCCTCCCCCTACCTGAAGTTGAGGCAGTTGTCTGAGAGTAGTAACCCCACCCCCCACCCCCCTCACCCTCCCCCTACCTGAAGTTGAGGCAGTTGTCTGAGAGTAGTAACCCCACCCCCACCCCCCTCACCCTCCCCCTACCTGAAGTTGAGGCAGTTGTCCTATAGTAGTAGTACGTTTACATTTTGCATCGATTTTAATAGCTCTGATATATCTACCGATATAAGCAATATTTGCGTGTAACGTGTGTAAGAGCTTAACCTTCTTATTACACCTGTTATACACGGTGTGTATACAAGTGTGCAACACAGTTGTTTTCGAAGGATTATACATATTACTGGATCGATGAGTGTACACGACTTCTCTAGCGATGAACTGCTCATCGGGAAGATTAAAGCTTTAACTCCAGAAACTGAGATTAAGGTCCTCTTAGATGCATACCAAAGCAACAAGTCCCTTGAGCAAAATGTGGACCTGCTAGGTAACTCTAGAACTATCCTTCAGAAACACCTAGCTAATGCGGTAAAGCTTCTCCAGTCTATGGATAGCGACTATCCAGTTCTTGCGGAACGAATTTCTACCCTAAAAAGCGGAAACCACCTAACCAAGGCGGTAGCTGCTACGGCGATTGTGCAGTTTATCCAAGACGCACGTGCAATTCGCTGTCTGAAGTGCAAGGCCGACTTTACCCCCTACTCCTCGGACAACTCGCCCAGCGAAGTAATATGCTGTCGTTGTAAGAGACCCGGTCACCGTGGTTGTTATACTGACACGCATGTTGACGAGGAAATAGGAGTTGTATTTCTGTGCGGCGAGTGTCTCTCCAGCTGGAGTCAACCGTCACCACAGCAAACGGAGCAAATTCTCCCTGTTACTGACCAGAAGGATGTGATAAGCAACAACATATCTATTAAGTCCGATGTGCAGGCTGAATCTGATTCTACCATCAATGCAGAAACCACTGCTAACGATCTGAAAACTAACACGGAGGACAAAGAGATCAAGTCTCCAATCAACGAAGTTTACGATCGCAACATACCAGTTTGTCCTTTACTCTTGAAACAGGAATGCCCGCATGGCATTACTGGACTTACTGATGGCAAGTGCCAACACTACCATCCCACGTGGTGCAAGCGATTTATGCGGAACGGTCCCGGAGGCAAAGATCGTCGCCGCGGTTGCAATCGTGGAGATAGCTGCCGCTACTTCCATACCCAACTTTGCCAAAATGGTCTTGTCTCTAACTTGTGCCTAAACAATGAATGCAAGCTCATTCATATTAGAGGTGTAAAGCGCATCAGCAGCGACAAACCACCCACTAAACCTGTTCCAACAGGAAAGAAAGGGGATGTCCCTCCTGCTCAAGACAATCACAAGCGCAGCAGGAAGAATACATCAACTTTGAAGCCGCCTCAAGAGAAAAATACTTCGAAATATTTTAGCAACAAGGATTTTCTCCAGCATTTGGACCAATTGAAAGCGGATTGGTCGAAAGAGATGTCGTGCATGATTCAGAAATCACTCGAATCAATGATGGCCTCTCATCTACCTCCGCAAACAAGCCCGAACCCCCAGTTATATCTTCGTCCGGGTGTTCAGTACTCAACTGCAGTTCAGCAACCCTACCAACAAGCCCCTCATCTTCCCCAGGGCTACCCTGCACAGCACCTGCAACAGCCTGCTCTCTACCAACCGCTGCTGGGAAAGTAGACCTCAAATCAATACTCCCGATCTCCTCAACATTTCTTCTTAACATACAAGGAATGAATCCTGGGATAAAGAACCAGCAATGGAAGTTGAAATCTCTCCACGAGAATTTAGCAACCAGTCCGCTCCACACTCCCTTCTTTATTCTGACTGAGACTCATCTGAAGCCATACCATGTTGAAGCAGAGACGTGTATCCCTGGCTACAGTACCATCAGAGCTGATCGAGACAAACGTGCTCAAGGCGGTGTAGCTATCTTCCTACACCACTCTATACCTGCTGACACGACAAAAGTGTACTCTAACTCCTATTGTGAAGTTGCAATGGTTCACATCGCTAGCAGTAACTTTCTCCTTGTTGGCGTGTACCGCCCTCCACAGGCACCATTCGACAAATTTGATGACTGTCTGTGTGTGATCCAAGACTTTATAGACCACCTCCCTGGCTCTCCTGAACTCTACATTGCAGGCGACTTTAATTTGCCGTTTGTAGACTGGTCCAGTAAGTCGATCAAACCAAACTCCAGCAAATCGGCTTCCGACACGAACTCGGGACTAGCCTTTATGGAGTTCATATCTTCAAACTTCCTAGAGCAGCTAGTCGATGAACCCACTAGGAAGGACCAAAACATCCTTGACCTGATCCTATCCAACAACACCGACTTAATCCACGGTTTATCAGTGTCAAAGACGGAGAAATCAGACCACGACATAGTGACCTGTACTCTCCTCCACCCGCAGTTCCTACTTGAGCAACCAGCAAGGAAAGAGTACAGTCCTGCCACAGCACTTGATGACATCAACTTCAATGCTGCTGACTGGGCCTTGATTAACAAGGAACTCACTACTGTAGACTGGTCGACAGTAACCAACCCTTCAACTAGCCAAGATGCTGCATGGGATATGTTTGAAGGGATCCTTGTGCAGATCTGCAAGAAACACGCACCTTCTCATAGCCACAATCGTCAAGCCGCAGCATCTTCAAAAATCCCAAGGTCAAGGGTGGCTCTCCTTAGAAAGAAAAAGCGCCTTAATGCCAGGATCAACTGTATTAAATACAGATTTTGTGGCCCTTCTCCGCCTCGCAATAATGTCAAGCTTCGCAAGCTGGATGAAGAGAGGGCTGCTGTCGAGATGCTCCTTAAAGCGGACATTAAACAGCAGCGAGCCAGAGAAGAACTTGTTGCTCTTAGTAAGATCAAGACTAATCCTAAGGCGTTTTATACCTTCGCAAAGAGGTTTAAAACCCCTGCTGCATCTGTCGGACCCCTATTGGATAGTGATGACAAGCTCCAGTCTGATCCAGCCACTATGGGTAATATCTTACAGGATCAATATGCGAGTGCTTTCAGTGACCCCAAAAAGGCAAATCTAGCCGAAGTCCGGACGTCCAAGGTCATTGAGCAACCTCATTCTATCACAGACATCGACTTTAATGAGCAAGATATCCTCGACGCCATCAAAGCGATGAATCGTTTCTCAGCAGTCGGACCTGACAAGTTCCCAGTCCTAATCCTCAAGGAATGTGGAATTGTCCTAGCTCCTGTGATAACCAAGCTTTGGAAAGCTTCGCTAAGCTCTGGTGAAATAGCTACAAAATTCAAGAACCAGAGTATTATCCCCCTTTTTAAAAAGGGGAAAAGGTCGATTGCTGCCAACTATCGACCGGTATCTCTAACATCCAACCTCATAAAGATGTTCGAGAGGGTCGTCCGCGCTAAGCTGGTTGACTACATTGTAGCTCAAGACATCATCAACCACGATCAACACGGCTTTCAAGCTGGAAGAAGCTGTCTTACTCAACTTCTTCACCACGTCCAAGACATCATGGATGACTTAGATGGTGACGAAAATGCTGATATTCTGTATCTTGATTTCAGCAAAGCCTTCGATAAGGTAGATCACGCTATACTATTGAAGAAGCTCCATATGTACGGTATCCAGGGCAACGCCCACCGCTGGCTGGAAAGCTTCCTCAGTGGAAGAACCCAACATGTCGTTGTCGATGGTATTGAATCTCTCGTCATAATGGTGCTAAGTGGGGTACCACAGGGCACTGTGTTAGGCCCACTGCTATTTATTTTGTATATCAACGACCTGTTCCTAGTTGTAAAACATTGCAAAGTAAAAGTGTTTGCTGATGACTCCAAGCTCCACAAAAACATCAGCTCCCCGTCCGACTGCAAATGTCTCCAGGAAGATCTCTGTGCAGTAGTGCGATGGGCAGTAGCAAACAACATGGAGCTAAACGAAAGTAAGTTCCAACTTCTCCAGCATGGTAAGAACCCTGAGCTAAAGAAACCCTACATTTTACCATCTGGTGCATCGATATCTTCTGATGATGTCGTGAAAGATCTCGGTGTGTATGTTGACAGTGATCTCTCCTGGCGTCAACACATCACAAGAAAGTCCTCTGAGGCAGCGAGCAAAGCTGGATGGGTACTGAGAACTTTCTCTACCAGAGACAAAGACACGATGATGATGCTCTTCAAGACATACGTCCGCTCTATTACCGAGTATTGTTGTGCTCTCTGGTCGCCTCACCTGCTGTGTGACATAATCATGATTGAGTCGATCCAACGCTCATTCACTGCGAAAATAGCAGGATACGAGCATCTTAGCTACTGGGAGCGCCTGAAGCAGCTTGATCTCTACTCCCTACAGCGCCGCCGCGAGAGGTACATGATCATCCTTGTCTGGAAAATTTACTACGGTGAGATTCCCAACAGTGTAAACATTTCTTTCCAACACTCTCAAAGAAGAGGAGTTACATGTCTTCGTCCTCTTGGCGGATCAAAATACAAAAGCATCAACACCATGAGGTTCCATTCTTTCCCTTCAGTGGCCTCTGCTTTGTATAACGTTGTGCCTCACGACATCAAGTCTATCCCAACCTTGCCAAAATTCAAGGCAGCACTTGATCGCTTTCTCCATACCGTCCCCGACACCCCTCCTACCCCTGGATATACAGGGGCAAATGGCAATTCAATCTTGGAATGGGCTGTGAGCAAGACATGATAACGGAGACACCGGTGGTGGAGACGCAAGATGTCTTGGCCTGGGCGTGCTAGCCCGAAACGAACCCAAGGTAGGTAGTATCCCCACCCCCACCCCCCCTCACCCTCCCCCTACCTGAAGTTGAGGCAGTTGTCTGAGAGTAGTAATCCCACCCCCACCCCCCTCACCCTCCCCCTACCTGAAGTTGAGGCAGTTGTCTGAGAGTAGTAACCCCACCCCCCCCCCCCCCACCTCACCCTCCCCCTACCTGAAGTTGAGGCAGTCGTCTGAGAGTAGTATCCCCACCCCCCACCCCCCTCACCCTCCCCCTACCTGAAGTTGAGGCAGTTGTCTGAGAGTAGTAACCCCACCCCCCACCCCCCTCACCCTCCCCCTACCTGAAGTTGAGGCAGTTGTCTGAGAGTAGTAACCCCACCCCCCCCCCCCCCTCACCCTCCCCCTACCTGAAGTTGAGGCAGTTGTCTGAGAGTAGTAACCCCACCCCCCACCCCCCTCACCCTCCCCCTACCTGAAGTTGAGGCAGTTGTCTGAGAGTAGTAACCCCACCCCCACCCCCCTCACCCTCCCCCTACCTGAAGTTGAGGCAGTTGTCTGAGAGTAGTAACCCCACCCCCCTCACCCTCCCTCACCCTCCCCCTACCTGAAGTTGAGGCAGTTGTCTGAGAGTAGTAACCCCACCCCCAACCCGGCATCCAACTCGTCCAGCCACTGCTCTGTTGTTGTCTCTGAGAAATGGGAAGTGACATTCTCTGGACTCTATTCAGAGCCAAGGACCTCATGACGTAGATCTCATCGTATGTCAGGACCTTCCTCCAGGGGTTTCAGATCTTGCTTGATTAAGTCCTGGGGAGAGAGAGCTATGGTTAATGTTTGGAGCGGTGGAGCAAGGTTTTATAAAAACAATGGAAACTGTCTTTACAAGTGCCGGATAAGTATTAGTTTCTTTTAAATCTAATTTTCGATGTTTTAAATAATATATATCTCAACATTTTTTGGATTGTTGAACAACATTTAAAAGTTTTGATACTTTTTTGACCATAGGGATTTATAATTTCAATTTAATTTTATGATTTCACATTGCTATATTTCAATCCCGCAAGAGGTCGGAGGATTAGGACTCCTCGGACTTCATTAAATCAATTCTTTTCGTAACGTCCTCAGACCTCAATAAATTTAATATATTTGTAGTATTGTAATTCCAGCTTTACGTTCCCTATCACGGATACGCAACCGTAGATTTAGCAGTGACGTTTTTTTTCTTCTTAACCTTGAGGAGGATCTTAAAGTTTTTTACTGGAAGCTGAGTGTAAAACTATCATGAAATTCAAAATTGTGACAAAAATTTCCAGCTACTAAACTCAATACTCATCTAACTTAGTTAGACAGCTTAATAGAGCAAATTGAAACGCTATGAAAGAATATAATTCCAGATTAAAACACAGAAAACAGCGTGACATACTGGAAACGGAGCCTGCTTGTGGTATATAATTAGTATAGAATGGCACCGATATTTTGAGGAATTTGATTCCGATCGTTGAAAATTACCTCTTTAGCTCTTTGAAATATTTTAGCAACAGTCTCATCATAACAATTATTTATAGTGTTTCTATAGTGGCAATTTCTACCAGTCCTTCTTATTAAAACGTCAATGTTTAATACGCATAACGCCTCTGCATTTTGCTTTACATATTATGCTACATTATGGTAACTGACGGCTTTCTTCCCAATTATAATTGCTGTTAAACAAGACTGTAGGATGATTTAAAAAGCTGACCCACTCATGCTTGTTATTAGAAGAGCAGTTATTCTTCTGAACACACTGTTAAAACGTCAACATTTTCTTGAGCAACACTTGGATTGTATACTGGTTCAATTGTTCGCTTTTTTGTCTACAGCTGCACTACTCTTCCTTGACTGCTTGAGGAGTAAAGACAAGAAGAAAGATGGGAGAGAGGGCTCCAAGACCAAGACTACAAGAGGTCGTGAACACCAGTGTGGGAAGAATAAGTCCCATCAAAGATTACAATAGCTCTGGTCTGGCTGACTTTGTCAGCGCTCTTCCAAGTGTAGACGATCTTCAAGCGAACACTGATAAACTATTCCAGAGTATCAGGTCGGGAGATCACGCTGTGGTGGAGAGGTTACTGGCGGACATGGGGCACAAAGTGGACATAGTACCCAAGATAGGCTGTTCACCCCTACACCACTCCAAGTTTAACCTAGCTAACAGAGAGACGGAGACAGGAGACAATCCTCTGATAGTGGCTGCTAGAGTGGACAGTAGGATGGTGGAAATTGTCTTGAACTATGGAGGAAACCCAAACCATGCCAACAATGATAGAGAAACTCCGCTGAGTGTAGCTGCGTGTAGGCTTGACAAGGAAGCTATTGAGACACTGTTGCTGGCGGGTGCTAACCTTAGGGCGGCCGTAGTAAAGTTAACATCACTGTTGCGATACAAAGCAGAAAAGAACCCAGGATGGTTACAATGATCTATCGCACAATGTTAAACATCTGACAGTTCTCTTGTCTGATGATGTGTATTTGAAGTGCAGGTGCCCCATAAAGGCTGCTTTTGATGTTGGCAGAGACATTGCAAACATTAAAAACGTAAGAGATGAATTCAAGATTGAGTTTGAGCTACTCATAGACGACGCTAATCTTTTTGCATGTAGATTTATGAACAATATTGATAGAATGTGGGAAGCTAGGGAAATCCTTTCATTCCCAGTAGATTTGATGAGAATGGCAATAGATCAGAGGAAGAAGAAGTTTGTGTCTCATCCTTTCTGCCAGCAAATCATATTTGATCGCTGGTACGGAGATCTGGCCAATAAAATGTTTTACGGCAAAACTGCGGTAGCGATCAAATACATTTTCAGCCCCCTTTTTGTATTACCGTTGCTTCTGAAGTTCTTCTTTATCGATACCTGTAGAGGAATCCCAGTTATGGAGTCCAATCTTGCATCTCTCCTTCGAATGAAATTCACCCCCTTTCTCTGTTTCATCACAGATGCTCTTAATTATGTTATATTCCTCTCGATATTAGTCGGCGTGTGTCTGACAGAACAAGAAACCGATGCAATCACCCTGTGGGAATACGCACTATATGTCTGTGTTATATCTCGCATCTTTATTGAGCTTGATCTGATGATCCAACAAGGCTGGAAGAGGTATTTTCTGAACGTGTGGAACTATGTTGACATCTTGATATTGGGTCTGTTGTGTGTGGCAGCTCTATACAAGGGTTGCGTTATCGCTGGAGTGACCCTTACCTCCGAAATCCATGAAGATACTATAGAATCTATGATTAAGATACTTGATGAAGGACTGGAAGATAATACTACAAGTAAATACTACCGAGACAACATTAACAGTTGGTCAAAACTAATCCTGAATTACCGACACTTCCTTAACATAAGTTATGTTTATGCTGTGACAGAGTTTGTTCTGTTCTTGAGATTACTGACTCTTCTCGAGGTAACAAGGTCAATGGGCCCGATGATGATTGCTCTAAAATACCTGCTGCTAGATGTCCTGAAGTTCTCTGTGCTGCTTGGGAGTACTATCGTAGGCACTTCTATAACCATTTACTCGATGTCAGTAAGGTTAGAAAAATGGAGCCTGGACGTTAACGATTTGTGTGACGACACCATAAGTGACTCTAATAAAGGCGGATGGCAAAAGGATAAAGTTTTAGAGCTTGTAAAAAACCTGACTGACATCGAGAATATCAATGATATTAATATTACATTGTCGCTTTGCACTGAAGATATTAAGATTGTACCTCCGAAATCATTCGGGAACTTTCTTGCCACTATAAGGAGCATCATGTGGTCAACATTTGGTCTCTTTGATGTTGAGGTAAATAGTAATTAGTAATTAGTAATTAGTAATTAGTAATTAGTAATTAGTAATTAGTAATTAGTAATTATTCATTTTAAAATTCGTAATTAGCTAATTACTAATTAGGTTATTAGTAACTTATAAATTTAATTGAACGCCTTTGAAAATAAAATCATTGACATGCCAGTATGTTAGTCTGAACTCATTATTTGGTAATAAGATAATTATTTCAAATAAGATGATTATTTCAAATTCTTTCAGAACGTAGAAGAGCCATTTGAAGCGTCAACAATGAGTTTTATAAACATAATGTTGGTGCTCTACATCTTACTATCATGTGTGCTCCTCCTGAACATGCTTATCGGTATACTCAGCAGCACTTTTGATAGGATCCAAGAAAACTGTGATATAGAGTGGAAGTATGCAAGAAGCGAACTACTGAAGGTAGGATTAGGGCCAGGGGGACCAGGGGAGGGCCAGGGGGCCAGGGGAAGCCAGGGGAGGGCCAGGGGGCCAGGGGAAGCCAGGGGGGCCAGAGGACATTGTTATTTTTATAATTTAGTTTAGGGAGTTAGGGCCAGGGGGGCAGGGGACTGGGGAGGGCCAGGGGGGCCAGGGGGGCCAGGGGACATTGTTATTTTTATAATTTAGTTTAACATGCAGCTGTTTTTAGTTTAGCACTTGTATTAATATGCAAAAGATACTTGAACGTAATTGCAAGGAGATTGGGTACTATCAATATTATATACATGTTGTCAGTATGCTAATAAAGCACGACTACTAATCTATGCTGTAAAATACTCGTTTACTTTCAGGAGTATAGTAGAGGCCAGCCTTTCCTTATTCCATTCTCAACATTCCTTTTCCCAATTGTCTACTGGTTCCGAAGGAAGCTGAGAAAAGAGCAAAAAATGGAATCAAAGAAATCAAATAAATTTCTAAGTCCAGCGGCAGAGCAAGTAAAACGTGACAAAATAATCAGTGATGTGTGTGAGAGATTCAAGTCCGATTATACAGAAGATTCGGATGATGAATGTGCTTTTAGACCGAGAACTAGCAGACCTGGGACAAGACAGAGATCAAGACCTGGGACAAGACAAGATGACTTTGATGTTAGGGTAAGGCAACTGAGAAGACAGAAATCTGAGCTGATACAGTTTAAACGAAGAGACTAAAAAGCATGTTGAGGCGACCCTAACCCTAGCGACTCAAATTGAGCCAGTGTTCTTCAATCATTTTAGGTCGATTGATCTAGACAATTAAATTCGGCTCTTAAAGTTTGATGCGTCTTTCTTTAATAACGCTCTTTTTTTTAGGAATTTTATAAGGACGTTTGATGAGTCAAACTGTTGGTAAATTAAATCCGAGAATTTTAACATTGATTAATAATAATTGTAAATAGGGAATCTTTTTGTTTTACATTATAACAGTATAAAATATAGTTAGATTATTTCTTAACTGAAACATAAATGTGATGTGAGTTTTCATACTCATTTGTATTTGGGATTCTTTACAATTTTCAGATGCTGATTTATCAAAACTTTGTACTTGCGCCACACATTTCCGTCACGCCGGTTTGTAGTCGGTTTCAAGGAGTTTTATTTACCCTGTACCAACAAGAACAACTTCCACTTGTCAACAATTATCATAAGTAGATATTGTGGTCTTTCATAATTATGTAACTGTAATACATTGATGTAAAGTTTATTTGAATTTTGAAATAAAAAAAGTCGATTAACTGTAATATGGTTCAGTAATTTGTGTCTAGGAATACGAGTTTCTAGGACGGAAATTGTAGTGGATGGATTGGAAGTGAACTTATTGTATTCGGGAGAATAAAGAGCGTACAAATTGTTATTTACAATAATTATTATTTGTAATAATAATTATTATTTGTAATTTAAACATCATAATAGTATGCTGTGATAGGTAGATGTAGTAGTTTTGTCCATTTCACGCCGGTATAGTATGAGGGGAACAGCTGGTTATAATAGGACGGGTTCTTGGTTGTGAAAAATACACGAGGTCCTTAAATGGCAATTTTAACATAACTGATTTTATAGTTTCGAGATAACAAAATAAACGATACAATATACAAATAATATACATAATATACGACTGATGCTGAACGTTACCTTGATCTCGTGTTTGCAGAGCATTTTAGCGTAAAGGTCTACATACTGGACCAGTAACTTAGCACGTGCACTGACGAAAGCAGACCTCTCGCGCTTCATGCGTCTAGCAATGGGCGCGCACAGCGCGGAGATGGCAAACTGCCACCACTGTCTGGCGTGTCCTAACACTGGCACTCCGGGGTGCCATTCTCGGTTCCTAGTAAGTTCAGGATTAAAATGGAGTATAATATGGATACTTTCTCTTGATGAGTTCAAGTTGAATCAGTAATTAAAAATTCCAAATACTATACACCTATCTAGTTAGATATCGAAATATCCTATCCTTTTTTGAGATGATATTTTATTCAATATGACTAGATAATATTAGGTTACGTTCAATTCAATGAAATTATCACAACAAATTCGTAAATCTCACATTTTCTTCCTGCGTTGCCAGTCGATGATATTGAGAATCTGCGCTGTCATGTGATACTGCCTGCTGGACAGGGTCAGCTGAAAGGTCTGCAGTGTGAGGGAGGCGGTGAAACGAGGGGTCTGGAGACTGTTGAGCGGCTGTGTTGACTTGTTTTGAGTCAGCTCTACTTTAGCTGATATTGGCTCCAGAACGTAGCACTTCTGAAGGAGTGTCAGGTTACATCTTGTCATGTGAGTGTGTCTAATAATAGTGGGTACCAGCACACAAATACTGAGTGTGGGGAGTGTTTGTCAAGAATTTAATTTTAATACTCAGTGCACACGCTAAAAGTAAAATTGAAATTACGTCATCCAATCCAAACGGCACTCTACAATAAGGTTATTTCGAGCGAGTAAAATGCGGTCCTAAACTTAACAACAATGTTTGTAGCTATACAAAACACAACAGTACCTCCTCCTCAACATTGGAGGCCCCAAAGTTCCAATAAACCCCGAGCCCCTCCAGCTTCACCTCCTTCAGGACCCAATCCCCCGACTTGTTAGGAGCGGCTGAGGGCTGGGTAGCTAGGTGCTTTATCGTGATACCCAGGTAGAACGGCATGGCAGGCACTGACACTGTATCTTCGTAACAGAAGTGAACGTCGTTTATCACCAGCTAAATGGTGGTAATAAGTTGTATTTGATAAAGTTGTGTAAGAACTTGGTAGTATCTAAAATCTAGTTATAATTGAGTTATTTAAATATTTTAACTTAAAAACTCTTTTATTAGTTTGAGAACTCAGCTATAAAAACACTGTATAAGATTAAAGGTATAGGCCACCTTCAAATTCTCGATCATGGAGGTGAAATAAGAAGAAGCGAAAGAAGAAAGCCAACTCTGAGACTGAGTGTAGAGTCTCTGGTAAATCTGCTGTTCTAACGCTTCCAGCTTGACGTTCAGAGCTGCCAGACGCTGCTCTTCTTCCTTTGCTGGATCGTACTGAGGAGATAACATTCCTTTTAACATTCATTTTATTACATTATTCTAATCACAATCTAAAATATTATAGGTGTGGATACTGGTGGGGAGGGGAAAGATAGTTGTTTTGACAATAATGGAAGCTGATTGGTTAACATCAGAAACGCTTGAACACCTCCCTACCAGTATCCAGATCTATAAATAGAAACACAGTGTGATAAGACCCCACTTACAGTAGTGCCCTGGTAAGGAGAAGCTCTGATGTTGAGATTAGAGAGACACAGCACCAGACTGCCACTACTTAGCCCGGATACAGGTATCTGCAGCTCCAACTTCCCCACTGTACCTGGGAGGACGGCAAACATGGTTTAGTTTTCAAACAGTTTCGCTTATTTAAAAAACACTGTTTATCTCACATACTAACATGTGTTACTCTTAAGGGGAGATACACCAAAACCGTTTTTGCTCCGAACATCGATTTTATTTTATATTATTTTTAAATAGACAAAAAGAATAAGATTGTACACCTTCAAAAATTTTTAAAAATATTCCCTCATCGAGAAAAAAAATCAGCCAAAAAACTTTTTAAATGGCCGAACTATCGGTATTACAGTGACAGACTTCTCCAAATTTTAAAAATTTTCGAAAAAGAAAAAAAAAATTTTTCTCGATGAGGGAATATTTTTAAAAATTTTTGAAGGTGTACAATCTTATTCTTTTTGTCTATTTAAAAATAATATAAAATAAAATCGATGTTCGGAGCAAAAACGGTTTTGGTGTATCTCCCCTTAAAGGACTAATGATGTAGATTGTAGAACAACTACAAAGATTTCATCAGAATTGTGGTGTTTTACTGCCTATCCAACATATAACATGTAAGGAAGGGAAATATTATACGTTTTTTATATATTATTCAAACAATATACACAGATAATCTCAGCAAAGGTCATTGTCCAGCCATAACTTTTCAGATGATAGAGCACAGTTTACATTACACGTCTTCCTGTTTTTATACAGTTTTAAAGTTGAGAAATTTCAACACGATCAAGTCCATTATTATCATTACATTACATGGAATTAGTTCTGTGACAATGATCCTAGTACAAAGTATTGTAGCAATAAGCAATGTCAGTACACAGTGTAGTACACACCAATGTCAGTACACAGTGTAGTACACAGTGTAGTACACACCAATGGTACGCGAACTGTTCTCCGTTCTAGTGATACCACATAATGTTTTAAAGACAAATACATTTACAAACCATCAATAATTTTAAAGGGTAGATTAAAGTTTTCCAAAGCATCTTCTCTTAACTTCAGATTTTCTAGCTCGACCGAACCTTGTGTCAATCCTATGTGAACCTGTAAATAACCTTGTGTCAATCCTATGTGAACCTGTAACAAGAAGGTTATATATAATCATGTTTATGAATATTCTACTCTTATTATTTCCTCTCTTAATGATTGCATACTTTATAAAACATTCCAGACTAGCTACACATTGTAAATTCCACGGAAAGGAAACAACCACTGGTGTATCTGCTCACAAACTTACTTGATGAAGGTTAACATTGCTGAGATACCGGGCCAGGTATTTGTTGAGCAACCACTCAGTAAAACTATGTACTTGTTTCCACATCCCATCAGCTCATTCCACAGTTATACTAGTAACCAGGCTACAATCTCACAAGGGCGGGTTACACGTGCGGGTTATTGTTCAATCTGTTGACCTACTCAAGACTTGGTTACCACAGGAACCAGGTGTTCAGAGGAACAGGCCACATTCCATTGTTCCTACGGGCAACATTCCGTTATAATGATACTTTATCAGTCCGGATATAGAAATAAATATACCATCTTATGTTTCAGTTCATTGAATTAAACAATATGGTGTTTATGGAAATTTGGGCAACCTGTTTAGATTTTTGCATATTGTAAAAAGTATTTTTTTAAGTCAGAAGTTCTTATTTAAAATACTATGACCAAACAATGTTAGCAACACAGTCCTGTAAGATAACAAGTGATATTAATTAAACTCATATAATTCACTACCCACACTAAGTCTCGATTAGGGCAGCTTAGACTCAAAATTATCCGTAAAAACAATTTCTAAAATTGATATCATTATTCATTACATATAAGCATATAATAAGTTAAAATTTGGCATGAATCTCATAGAAAGTCCTATCCGTTAAAAGAATATTAATTTGTCCAATCAATCTTTAGTTTTCAACTTGTGTATCATCAAAAATAACTGTAAACTTTAAACTGACTGCTTCAGTAGTGACCGGTTGGTCGCCAAAGCTTATTTCTCCAGTTTTGATTCCCTCTAAAAACAACGACTTCGTTCTCGAATACACACTATAGGGAACGTTCAAACCAGACCTTCTATCGTCCTTAATTTTCTGAGATATCACTTTTCTCAACAATATGTCACACTGTTGCACAACATCATTCAAAGTTTCGTCACGATCTGCTTCCCTCTTCAGCTTCTCTACCGCTGGGTCCTTTTCAGGCGACTGTTCACAAATAAAGTCTATAAATTGTGAAACCAGCTCAATCCTACCAGGTGTTGTTGACTCATTATAAGATGTCAACTCTGCAAGATGCAGAACATGCTTCTCCCATGCCTCAGATGGGTACTCTATCAGATTAGACATTTTCCGAATAGTTTCTTCAGCTACAATCGTGTCACATCTACTGTTATTAGCAGATATGGCCAGTTCTTTACTCACTCGAAATACAATCTGTCCGAATACACATGAATTCCTCTGAGCTATGTGGAGTATCTCTTTCCTCATTCCTCTGTAATAAAAGTTATCGTCCAACAGAAAAACCTTACTCCTGACACAACAAGTTTCGGCTTTATTACTAGAAACCAAGTTTGTGATATTCTGATTGAGAGCTTGTCGAGCTTTGTTCCAGGCACTAGGGTCAGTAACATGATCGACAGTTGTTATGTGTTTATCATAGCAGATGTGCTCTATGTCGTAGTTGGTTGCTTGCTTTAGCAGTTCGGAGCAAAGTGTACTTTTACCAGTAGCTGGTAAACCTACCAGACAAATTAGAACTCGCTTTGACATAACTTGAGAAGATTGTTTAAGTTGAATAATTATGTGGATTTTTATATTTGTATAATCATTCATCAATGTTTGATTTATACTAGATACAAGTCATCTTTACTAGATATAATTCTCTTCATTTGATTACAATTTTATACCGTGGAAAACATAGATTTTTATCATTGTGTATACAATATTATAACCAATTACTTGTTTTCACTCCCAAAATAGAATCATGCAATTATAATGAACATCATATCAAAAAATTCCTACTTAGAAGAAATGATTGCAACATTCCTGGACGATTCTTTCGGATCAAAAAGTATTTCAAATTTCGAACTGTATCCACATTCCAGTAAAAAAGAAAGTCTATCTTTCAAGATCACACATTCCCCAACGACCCCTAATGAAAGTTTTACAATATAGACAAGGTAGTAAGCCCATGTTCTCCACTGATCAACAACAGACAGCTCCAATGCAAGTTCCTCTTCCTCTTTTTCTAAAAACGTGAGTTTGTGTAGTTTCAAGTTTTTGTTGATAAAATCAACGATACCTTCACCAGATGATCGTTTCTTGAATTTAAACCAAGTTCTTGAGCACTTTGAGTCTCGCTTGCTCAGAAAAATATCTGCAATCGACCGCCAATTTTGAGCAAGGTTATCGGGATCTTTTAACTGTTCCAGCAGTCTGGAGAGATAAAACTCAGCTTTGTGACAGGCTTGCTCCTTAAGTTGACCACTAAGTCTCATAATACCTTGTTCTTCCACAAAGTTACTTAGCGGAAATCCTCCCTTTTGATCTTCCTCTTTATCAATAAACATATAACAGCAGCTAACGATAACAATTCCTTGGCAAGTTCCACATCCTTTAAATAATCGCAACATAAAGGATCCCAAATTCCCGCAAGGATGTAGACCAAGTAACAAAACACGGCTGTTGCGTTGAGCAAAACTAGTCCCATTTGCCTTGTCGGCCTCTTGTAGTATTTCAATAAAGGAACTAACTATATTGCTATCCAGGTTGAGTCTACAGACCGCAGAGAAAATGTTTGCTGGTTTACTTGCTTTACCAAACCTTTCATCAATGTTTTCTGCTTTGTTTATCAGAGTTGATTGGGCTTCTATTCGGAGAATTGAACAGCTAGGATTCTGTTTCGCAATGAACCGTGATGCGTGACCAACTCCTGAGCCAATGTCAACAATGTGTGAGATTCTTTCATCTGATATCACTTTTTGGACACAAGGCAACATTGCTGATAATTCAAGTATTTTCTTGGGTTTCAAAAACTTTAATTGTGTTTTGCAGGAAATAGGAAGGTTATTTCCTGGAGATAGTTGTCGTCTTCTCAAAGATAATCTCTTTCTAATCAAAGCAATAAAGCACAACAACGATAGAGGCATAACCACAGAGATGTCAAACGTTTTTCCTGGTAGCAAACTACCTGCAGAGTTGCTTCAGGAAAACCTTATGATTTTTTGTGGCAATTTCAAGCCACGGTTTGGGTAGCAGTTCATATCCTGACTCTATGTAGTAGTCTACCATAAAGAACTCTGATAAGGCATCAAAGTGACATAGTATTTTTAAGTCCTCTTTAATTGAGTGTATGCCCCTGATATTCTCTTTGCTGTAAGATTCAGTTGCCATTCACAGATTCCAACCTATTCATAAGATTAAAATAATGTGATTGTGTTACAAATAATATCAAAATGATTCCTAAATTCTACGTTGTAACGATAATATCACAAGAGTACATACTGTGAAACTTAAAAGGCCATCGAGTTCAAAACCTCATTTACTGAAAGATTTTACTGCATTTGTACATTGTCACACCAGAAATCTCTCTCGTGTATTCTAACATTGCATTACTTAGTCGTTAGTAGCTACTCACCGAGGAATCTACCAAGTACTCATCTATCATCATACTGTTTCGAATATTGCAGTAGGAAGTGTTTATCGTACAGTCATAGCGACATTCCAGTTTGGTACATGTTTGATTGGTGTGCAGATTTTGTGTCTGAAAACTGAGCTTCGCGATCTTGCTTTGTGATGTGAATTATGCTAATCGTGGCATTATTTTTGTCGTTTCTGTTCGTGAACAGTTCAGGTAATTAAAGAGTGGATATTACGAATTTTTAAATTGGTAAGATTTTCCAGGGGGGATAATAAATTGAATAAAATTATGAATAAATAGCGACCAAATCTTAGTTAGTTAATTTGATAGTGGCCTATAATGTATCATATCTTCCAATTAATTAGGTAATTATTGTAATAAAATACATCAATGATGTAGTTTCTCATGTCCACACCCGATGTGGCTTGGTAAATGGTAATAATTTGTTTGATACTACTTCCTGATACTACTACGTGCCATGAAATAACATCTCTAAGGAGCCAGAAAATAAGTCGAGTACAATGTGCATGATTATCAAGCAAAGCACTTTTAGTAGTCTTACTCAGTTGTGCAATCCAAATATAACTTACTTTCGTTGACAAAACTTCGTAACATTTCCTGGTAAAACGTAGACCATAATGCATGGATTGAGGTATAGCTTGATTGAAATTAACTGATTTAATGAGCAAATGGAATTTTTCCACAGTCATATTTGATTGTAAATGGCGAAAATGAAGGGGTAAAAAAGGTTTTGTAATTTTTTGCAGAATTTCTAGTGTAGGATCAATGGCCGAAATGTATTTTTTTTTTAAATCACTTTGATTTTAAATTAAGATCTTAGGTTACGGACTAATATATAATTATAATAAGATTTTACTGTATCTTTTCAGTCGCAGAATATCAGGAACTATCATTGGGAGAGGAAGGTAGGGTTTTTGTAACTGATTCTGATGGTGAAAAATTTGATGTTTGCCCTTCCTATGGACTCTTGGTTCACATTCACGATGATACTTTGGCAACACTGCTCTGCCAGAAACTTGAAAAAGGAAACGTTGGGATAGCTAAGCATTTACCAACAGTGCCAGACAGAAAAATGAAGAAGGGGATTAATGTTAATAAGGGGAATCTTGAAGTAGTCTATGGAGATGTTGTGACCGACAACTGTAAGGGTTTCAACAGATCTCTGGCGATAAGTTGTGCAGGTATATAATACTCATTTACCATTCAATTATTTAATTAGGTCAGCTCTGCAGAATAAACATAATATTTGATTATTTCCAGGATTAATGGCAACTAATGTAAACGTCAATATTATACGATTTCGTCAATACAGCTAAAACGTCTGGTTTGGGTACTTCAGAGTTTTAATTCATTTTACTGAATATTTCAGATACCAGCAATATTGTGTTCAAAGGAACGACAGTGGGCAATTTCATTAGGAAAACAGCTAAACTTCACAATTTCACTGTTTACAAATGTGAGGGGCAGGAACTTGAAGAAAGCGAAATTTACAGAATTTCGTCAGAACGGACTGACTATTGCTATTTCACACACATTTGCTCAGGTAACACAATTTCTTACTGCATATAATGACTTATTGAGGGAAATTTCAATGCCATATATATATAATATAATAGGCACCAGAAAAGGAACGGATTGATCCTGCATAGGATATAATAAATAAATAAGAATCAATTTATAATTATGTATGTGGACTTATATTATTAATAAACATTCATCTTAGACTTGTTTTTTATAACTCTATTATATTCTCAATGAAGCAAGACATTTTTCAATGAAACAAGAAATCTAATTTTAGCACATTTTACAGAATAAAAAGATGTAAAACAATTAATAAATTATAATGCCCATTTGGTGTATGACTTTTTGTCCTTGACTGCTAGTTTGGGTTTGGAAGGACAGGTTACTAACGGGGCAAGGAATGAAAGCTTTTGCACACACCGAAACACTAGTTCAGTTAAGTTTTTAGAGACAAGGCTCATATTAGGACTAAAAGAAAATTGTGAGCAGACATTAGGGGTTCTGTTTATAGTTGTTACTATAGGTTGCAGTCTTGTTGTGACAAAAAGTCTACACTAGTAAGAGCAACAGTTTTTTAGTATTAAACTGTACCATTTTTCAGACAGAAACGCCATGAGATACCAAAGCTGTGGTTGTGCAGGAGCGCATGTAATTGAAGGCGTCTGTGAAGGGATGGTATGTATGCAAAAAGACGGTGAGTCCCAATCCTACAAAAACATTGCTTCAAGGCGTATCTGTGATGGTATTTATCACTGTGCTGACCAATCAGATGAGGTTGACTGTGATTACAGTGAAGACAGAGGCATCCGTTGCACACCTAGTAATAGTAAAAATGTTGACTTTGTGCCATTTGTATACATATGTGACAGTTTTAGTGATTGTAAGTATGGTGAGGATGAAATTGAATGTGGGTTTGATTTTGGAATAAAATGCAACATCAAAGGACTTGAACAGCAAGGTTGGGTAGATAGAAAGCATATTTGTGATGATGAGGCCTATTGTGAAAATGATGAAGATGAGAATACAGACCTTTGTCGTGAGAGAGATGAAACAAAGCTGACATGCAAAGAAAAGGGCAAGGATGACATAACGGCCGTTAAAGAGATCAACACATGCTACTACCCAAGATCTTACAGTACTTCAACAAGTAACAATGACTTTTTAGGTTGTGAAGGTCTGCTTGACCAAACCAATTGCACTGCTACTAATGTATTACATTGTTCAGTCCATGATCACTTGAACACAAGGGTTAGAGATAGATGGCTTTGTAATAATTGGGCAGTGTGTGATGATGGAAAAGATGAGATTTGTAACACCTTTAGTGAGAACTGTAAAGTTCACAAATATATGACTTGTGATGGTAAATCTGACTGCCCCGATGGGGAAGATGAACAAGGTTGTGAAGAAAGTTTTGTTGCAAATGTCACCTGTGAAAGGTATCTGACAAGAGAGAAAGTAGAGGAATTGAAAATACCAAACCACTGGATATGTGATGGTATTGAGGATTGCATAAATGGGATAGATGAAGATGATTCTCATTTCAATTGCAAAAAAGGTATTGAATGTCCTGACATTTCAGGCAAATATGTCAAAAAGGAAAATTTTTGTGATGATTTTGAAAGTTGTGGGGGCGCCGAGGCTCAACTGTGCCTTGTGTCAAGAATGTCTCCTAAGGAATTCACTGAAGGTATGACAGACAAGAAACAAAGTACCACAACACTAGAAGTGATAAATACAGGGATTCAACAGACTTATCAATTTCAATTCCCGTGCTTACCGGGAATCATGAAAGAAAATAGCCAGATCATGCAATCAAAGTGTACATACAAAACTAATGATGAAATAAGAGCTGAAGGAAATCGTAAGATTTATAAATACTGGTGGGATGACTGCCAATCAAAAGAAGGCTGGGATTCGAAGAAACATGGCTTGAAAGAAATTTTTTGCTCACCATATGAAACATCATTAAAATTAAATGACATAGATGAAACCAAGTGCACAGCTCAAAAAACAGTCTACAATTTTGCACCGGAACAAGAAAATAAGCTAAAGAAATACATAGAATTAGGTGATAATAATTTGGCTGACAAGGCATTTACATGCAAAAACAAAAAATGCCTTCAGGAAAACCTTGTTTGCAATTTTATAGATGACTGTGGTGATGGCTCTGATGAAGGCAACTGCACATATTCACACACTTGCAACTCAGGATTTCCAAGAACGATTTCAAATAAGAAAGTTTGCAACAATGTTTTTGATTGTTCAGATGGCTCTGATGAATGCTCACAGGAATGTAGTAATGACAGACTCTTAAAAATCACAGCTCTCAGATATCTAGCTTTGCTTATAGGAATAGCCTCATTCTTGATGAATAGTTACACAATACTTCAAGGCAGTTACATGTTCTTCAGGTCCAAGTCAAAATCGTTGCAGATAAACCATTTCTTTATAACTCTGGTAGGAACAGGAGACTGGACTTTAGGCCTATATCTTATCATAATAGCAAGTTATGATATCTACTATGATGATGGGTATTGCAAACTCAAGTACGAGTGGCTCACAAGCAAGACATGTTCTTTTCTTGGTATTCTCTCAACATTTGGAAGCGTACTGTCTGTCTACACAATGGTAATAGTATCCATATACAGGGCCTTGAAAGTAGCAGGAGTAAGCTTGGCAGATAAGCGGGAAGTTATCGTTTCAGTCGGTGCAGGAGCAGTACTTGTGACCATTGCAATGCTACTTTCAGCAATGCCACTAGTCCCTGCTTTCCAAGACTATTTCTCTAATGGTATGTGGTACAAAGAAAATTCCATATTTCCAACAGTTGCTGATATGAATAGTCACATGCAGTTCATAAAGAAATACAAACAAATAAAGAATGATACAACTGAAACCGCAGAAACATGGTCATTTCTAAACAATTTCATAGAAAATTTATACAAAAACGATGAAGCTCCAAAAGGTATACACGAAACATTTTATGGAAATGATGCTGTCTGTTTATTCAAATACTTTGTAAAAATATCAGATCCGCAATATTCGTATTCCTTAACGATGACTGTGATAAACTGTGTATGCTTTGTCATAATTACACTCTGCTACACATTTGTCGTTTATATGATGAAAAAAGACAATGACAAAAATGGCATGATAGAAAATAAGACACGAAAGAGCAATCAAAGAAGGATCCAGGTAAAGGTAGCCATGATTACTATTAC